TTTTTTTTTTTTTTTTTTTTGCATGACTCGTTAGGCGGAACACGGATGGGTTTCCATATATAGAGTTACTCCTTATTTTCAGATCAAAGGTTTAATATTTAGCAGCAATAATAACCAGGAATATTAAAGTGATCAACCTCTATATTCGTCTCTTAATCCAAATGTACTTACTGATGTTTAAAGGTCAACGCAACCTTTCTTTAACCTCCAAAAGAAAAAATAACTTTTCAAAATTAAGATAGGGATTCCGTGTGTTTATGGAACGATTACCTTTTTTGGCTAAAGAAAGAGAAAAAAAAAAAGCGCTTTCATGAAACCCTTCGTTCCCTTGGTGATGTGTAGTGTAACGCTGTATTTTACTCCCTATTTTATTTTATTTTTCACTTTGTTTCCGTGCATGTATTATCAAATATAGATTTAAATGAAGAATGATAGAAAAGAAATATCAAAGGAGGAGAAGAGTGAAAGAATACAAATGGATTTGAGCTTACTTTGACTATTGTGCTGTTGAGTGTAACAGGGTCAGAGGGGTTCATTGCATAAGAGCTTTGTCTTGGCTAATTCCTAGTTCATAACAACGTCATTTACTTTTAATACGCAAGAATGGAACATCTAGTTTTATATTGTAGCTTTTATTTCGTTTGTAGAGAAAAGGTACGATTGTATAGAAACTTTGTCAAAATTAAATGTGACATATGTAATTGTAATACCTTAATTATTAACTTTATAAAGAAAACTGGATTTAAGAAGACTACTGCTACAACATGAATATACTAAAAAAAAACCTTCCTTGCCAGAAAAGTCCTCATACCAGCAGTTCAAGGAAAACACATAAAGTGTACAATGATCAAAAAGAGCATGTTTATATATAAAAAGATACATTTATTACAAAAAATTATGAAACTTTTTTTAAAAAAGAGAAAAAAAAAGGCTTAAGCAAAACAGCCCTGAAAGTTTTGTTTTTTGGGAGATGATGGTTGAGCATCAGAGCTCCAGTCGTCACCATTCCATCTTCTTTTTGACCTTGGATGCACCTGCACAACAGGGAGAGCCATATTCGCCATGAGGTCTTCTTTGGCCTTCAGCCCAGCGGCCCTTGCGTAAGCGAAAGTTCTATAAAAACAAGGAGGGTTGAATAAGGGTGCTATATAAAACCATCTTAAAAAAAAAAGCTTACCTGTCCAGCAGTAACTTTCGCCCAAGTGACTCGCTGGGCTGGGTGTTGTCTTCGGAAGGGCGACTTGCATATTTTTGAAGCTTCTGCTGGGTTAGTGCAAGCACTTTGGCAGAGAACTTCAATTGTTGCTTTAGTTGTTGCTTTAAATCTTTGGCAAACGACATGTTTTTTAAAGAGAAAAAGAGTAAAGGAAACGAGGAAAATGCTTTATCTTTGACTTTCATAAAGACATCTATGATATGATTTTTCCTTGGGAACAAAAAAAAAAGGAGGGCTTTTTTTTACGTGCTCATTTTTCTTTTACCAGTGAATAACAACATATGATAGTGAACCACATGTGCTATTTTTGGTTTCGGAAGTTACTTAGTGTGTGAAGAAGATAAAGATAAAGATTAGGGTCTAGCCATATCATCACGATAACTAATAGAGTGCTGACATAGCCATGAATTTAGTTTGTTTAACAACAACATTTTCATGCCCAAAGATCCTTTGATTCTCATTTTTTTACTACCTTAGCGCCGACTGAAGAAGTGAGTTTACTGATAGCTACGCTGCATGGACCTTGCTTCTTTGTCTAGCTTTAGATCATTCAATTAAAAAAAAAAAAACGGATGAATTTCCATATATAGCTTTATTCCTTATTTTCACTTTAACAGATTTAATAACAAAAGCAACAACAGTGAAAAGTAAAAATAATCCACACACCATATTGTGATTTGGTGGCAACCGGGCCCACCGCTGCTTTAAAGAGGATGCAAGCTTTGACTTTTTGTGTATTCTTTAGTCAATCAAACCATCAAAGGCTTAAAAAAGTACTTCAAAGTGAACAGAAAGGATATCCATCTTTATACTATTTTTAGTAAGAAAAGGCAAAGTTTAATCACATGAAGCTTTTTTTGTTGAGCTCTGTTTAGTGTAACGTTACGTCCACTCCTCTTTTTTACTTTCCTTGCCACTTTTACACCTACGAATGTCAATAACTGGTGAAGCTAACTCACACATGCTTGTAGTATATAGGTAAGCCGAAATAAAAAGAGATTGTATCAAAGTTAAGACGAAGTGGATCAGCCTAATTTCACTATTATGCTATTGAGTGTAACAGTGACATCCGGTAACAAAAGGGTCCAACGCATGAAGGGTTCTCTGTCATCTAATTGTCATCGACCAGAAAATCTCTAACTGTGATATGAACCTTACTGCACTTGGGTACAAATTCTGGGTCTATTATTTGGTGCCAAAGTGATGTTTCATTTTATATTCATGACTACAAATTAGCAGGATAATTATCTCATTGCTATAGAAATAAAGCTCCAGTCGCGGCAACAAAAGTTTACTTTGATGATGACAAAGTATAAGCCTCCCTTGTTCTTCTATATAATATATTCCTGCAAAATTTTCTTATATCACTGTAAAAAGAGAGAATGATTCTGGGTTAGGATTTGGCGTTGACAAAAAAAGGTTGAGAGAAGCTTTTGTTTGCTCCTTGCCTCTGAGTTATATAGTAGGTAGAAGTAATGTGGGAGAGGTATTTTTGTTACTGTCATTCAATTGAATACACCTCTATACTGTGCACATATGCTATTCAACATGCCACTATGTATAACAAGATGTAGATGATAGGTCAATGCGTTATAGGATGAAGTAATAAAGAGTATGTAAAAAGGGAATCAAGTTTATGAAAAGCTACTAGAACTCATAGATATGTTTCTACATTTTTGGAAAGGAAATCGGCTGTATTTCTCTTTTTCAAGGCAGTAAGGGCGATTACGTGTTTAAAATAATGTACACTCATGTATATGCAGCAAATTAGGCTCAAGCTAAAATTAGATAACGTGGTAAAAAACCAATGCTATTCCAAAAAGGAAAAGGCGATGTAACAACCTAAAGTTGTCGTAGATTATTGTCTGCTTATGACTGAAATTGGAATAAACGGCTGTAATCAGTATGCATAGAATAATTTCATAATATAAGATTATGTATACATTTCTAATGATTTAAATATAAGTAGAATATAAATCATTACTTCTCTAAATATAATCCTTCTTAAGGTAAAGGCAATGCCATAACCCAGATCATGAAATAAGCAATAGTGCCAATTTCAGGAACGAATAAAAAGCTTTTTTTTATAAACTCAGGAACCGTTAGTCGATGAAATCCCCAGTAAATTATAATCCTCGCTCGGAACAATGGTTCACTGACCATTTTATAGCAGCTTCAAATTGTGGATGATTAAGTTATTTGAATATTCCTTCTGTCTTTATTTCAGAATAAAGATTAATCAAAAAGAGTACTTTTTTTTTGTCCTGTTATGAGTTATCATTTACCATTACGTAACAGACTTGGGTGTCTCATTTTATTTACTTGCAAGTATCATAGAGTGACGACTTTCTGCATTTGATTTTGTATGAGTTCATTGAATGACAATAATACAGCTGACAGTATAAGTTCCTTTTTTGCCGTATAGAAAATGCAATATCCTGTTGTCTCTTGTGAATGCAGGTGGAGCGTCATGACAAAAACTTGCTAGCCAACACTATTTTATCCTTTTTATTTAATTTAAACTGCTGATTTCTTCTTGTCACTAATCAGAGAGATAATGGGTATTGCTTCGTACATATACTTTTCCTTGGGTTCAATTCAGAATTAGTGTTAAGGAATAAAACGTATAATACCTATGTCTATTAGTGATGTCACTAATTATTATGATGGTAAGACATTGTAAAGGCAAATAGGCTAACTAACGCAAAAGGCATTATGAAAATGTCATTATTTTGTAAAGGTGTTTCTGTTAGACTAAACTCTTATGTCAACGTTCACGTGTCACGTGAAATATGTATTGAGAGGTAACTTAATCTTGATTTGCGCCACATGCAGATCCACTGCAGCCAAGAACCAAATCGAGTGGCTACATTTTAAGGCTGTTAAGATTTGCCCCTTTTACTTCCTTTTTTCCTATAATAGGTATTTACATGCTTAAAATGAAATCTTTAGTAATATTTGAAAAGTTTGCAAGCCATGGGGTAGATTATGCAGCCTATTCAGCTATCAACTTCTCTTTAAAAGTAAACCGTACTGCACACCTATTTCATGATGTTCATGCATGCTAACACATTGTTTAATAAGCCAATTGAACAAAGCTACTATGTTCCCATATCAGCATCTCCCCCTCCCTTGATGGTATTTAGAATTTCACTTTGTGAAAGTGTAGCTCAGGGAATGAATATAGCGCATACTTTCCGTATGGGTACAGAAATCCATTTATTGTGAAGAATGCTTTATGTCTAAGGTAGAACTACTCCCGGGGGTAAATCAATAGATGCAGGAAATGGATGGTTTGATTATACAACTGACGCTATTAAAATGCTTCATCCCATTTATGGTAATTCAAGCTTCTCTCAAAGTGCATCATGCACTTTTGTCAACAAATGTGCAAGAAAGTTAAATAACTAAAAAAATGTGTAGCATCATTCTTGATGTTATAGTATCAATGGCCAGTGATCAATAAGACATCAGCGTCGTAATGGATGGGCATTGCAAGCCCTGTAGTTACTATCATAGGTCGTGTTAAACATGTAGATGTTCGGTTTTGTGTATACACTAATGACTGTTCTCTTTATAATAATAAGTATAATACAGCAGTGATAATAACAATAATAATAATAGTAGAATAATAACTATGGTAATAATAGCAATAGTGATAATAATATAGTAATAGAAAAAAGATAAAAGACTGGTATACGCAAATGCATAAATGGGTGAGTGTGTATATGTGTTGTGACGTGTGAGTGTGTATGCGTTTGTTTGTAGCTGCTTACAAGTCATAACTTTACATTACGGTAATTTCGTGTTACATTCAGTACTCTTCCTAAAGAAAAAATCTGGTGTTGAAAGAGTTCGTTTGATAGTCTTTTTATTCGGCCGGTACATTGAAATTCTGTGCCTAATAGTTTGAGATAATGTTTTTGTTCGGTGAGCATACCGAGGATTATGATAAGATTGATCTGACTTTGCTATTAACAGATGCTCAAACTGAGGGAAGGTGGCAACAGGGTCGAGCGTACTGTTGAATATGTCAGACTGTAGTAGGTTACGAGACTCTTCGAATTCTAAGTCCCTTTCATTAATCCCTATATCTTTTTCTCGTACTGATACTTGTGGAGTAACTGAACTTTGGGTGTCTTGCTCGCTTTCTTCCCTTATAACTTCCTCTTGTTCTACTGGCTCTGTTGATGTTGCCGGTTCTTTTGGCTTTGCTGATGCTACTTCATTTTTAGGCTTTTGCCTTGTATGAAATAAAGAAGTAATGTATTTCTTTAATGTCATGTTTAAAATAAAGAAAGAAAAGAAAAAAAAAAGAGCTGCTCATGTGTTTACGCTAAAAGTTCTATACTATACAGCTGTTTTTTTTTCTTGGCGGTAATTTAAACTCATAGTATTTGATTGGCTAGTTTATTTGACTTGTCACTAAGCTGCTGTTTGTACAGAATTATGATCCAAAACGAGATAATAGCCAGAAAAGGGATCTTTCTATACTTATTGTTTCGTATTCATCAAAATGCCTACATATATTCTCCCTAAACAAGATCGCTTTTGACATTTTTTCTTGCAAAAAAAAAAAACGAGCTTGTATCTTCAACATCCTCCCTATAACCAGCAAAATAAGTTCAAGGGGTTATAATATCAATTTGTTTGTGATTCATTTATAGAATTTGAAGACAACTGCTCTCTGAGTCACATTATGCTTTTCCATATATATCAATAAAAACAAATGAATCTCTTCTTCATATCTTACTATGTAGGTATCTTGTCTCGATAGAATTCAACTAGCTTGCCCTCCACAAAATATAAGACTTTTATAGGATATATCATTTGGCTATGTTTGACCTGTTATTTGAAAAATGAGCACCCAGATCCTTGTTTATAACATCTTTACATATAATGGCCTTTCGGACGATGTTCTTGATCCACTCTTTGTAACGGCTACAAAGACTGTATTGTTTGATTGCTGCATTTCGTGTTGCATTTAGGTATATAAATCCTTGGAAAAAGGTAAATGGCAGCATACAAAATACTCATACCAGATCACTTTATACTTTTTTGGAGTATATTATTTTTCAGAATAGTAGAGTTTTACATCTTAGCAGCTGGGTGATGGAAGGTAGCCGCTATTCTAGTCCTCGTCCAAAACCTTCTTTGTCGTATTTACCCTATAAATGCTTAGTCTTATCGTATGATATCATTATAAATCTATGAATAATACAAAGAGAGCGACGGCAACACATATTAGCATATATAACGCGACATGTTCAATTCTTATTGATCTTAATTAAAGCAGTTCCTTAATAATTATGTCTTCATAATCAGCTCTCTCTCTCGTTTTGATCTTAATAAAGATGTTATATAGATACTCACTAACTTTTGTTTCTCTTGTGATTTCCAATTATTCTGAGCAATGCTTCATTCTTCCATATCTGATAGATGTTATTTTCTGTTTCAATTTCTTTTTCTTCAGGCATAATAAAACGATCGTCATTACTAATTGAAGTAGTGATTACGTTCAATTTTTTTGTACGCGCTCTTCTTCTTTCAAGGGCAATTTCTTGCATTATGGATGGTTTGGTTTACCTCATAAACTGGTAGAGATATAAGTATATATGAATAAACCATACCTCTTTAAACTTGTTGTGGAGGATTCCTTTTTGATACCGTCGGGTTTAAAAACATCAACAAGTTCATGAAACATTTTAGTGCAGCTCTGCGAAAGCTTGACTATGAGTTACAGTTAGAAATGATAATGTTGCCAAAAAGACGACCCTGAGTGTGGTTATAGACTTTCGAGCCGCACTTTATTCTCAGAAAAACAATAAAAAAATGCATTCTCACTCTTCACATCTTTCTAGAGGTGCTCCTTGGATGAGGAAACTAGGGTAGCTTAGGCGGGAACTAGAAAAGTTTTCGATATCAAGGCTGGGTAATTACCATATCTTCTGTCGCCTTTTCGGCAATATTGCTATTTGAATCGTACCTACTACAATTGCGGTTGCCTCCAACCTGACGTTGGATGTGATTATATTCTTGGTAACGTTTACAAGGACCACGTCCATAATTGTAACATCCCTGGCCTGCTGATCTCCTAGATTACAATAGTAGCCCTCAAAGGTTGAGCTGTTTAAATTCCAGTTAGCATGTAATTTGGTGTTTGCAATAGGAACACCAGCCATTGCTTCTGTAAGACACAAACAGATTGATATTTCAACCCCTTGAACTTATTTTGCTGGTTATAGGGAGAATATAAAAGCATAAGCAAGAATTAAAGTCAAGAGCGATCTTGTTTAGGGAGAGTACAAGTAGGCATTTTGTAAATACGAAACAATAAGTGTAGAATGCTCCCTTTTCTGATTGCATCTGAATGTAATTTCCTTTTATGGAAATGTACTGTTCCAACTGTAAATAGCGCGTTCTTTGACAGTTTGGATAAATTGTTTTATATTCCCAGGGGTTGAATTGCAGTCAATCAGATACAGGCTATAGCATCAGCTTCTAGTATCATTGGCCATTTGTGTGTGTAGACATTGTTTATTGCAGCAAGTATTTTTACTAAATAAGAATTGGTCTTCATTCTCTTTACCTCCTTTTGTGTTTAATGCAGCAAGTCATACAGTAGACAACACATGTATGTATATTTGACACCAAGTCAAGAAATTTGCCTCTAATGTAGGTGATCTCAGGATACAAAAACCTCCTTTTACTTTCATATACATTACTGAAAAAGACGATAATAATACATACTATACCACTTTCCTTTTCTAGGTAGGTGTTTTATTGTAATATACACAAATATATATATTTTTCTAACTAAGCTATTCCATTCACGTACTTTAACGCAGCTCACTTGCTAAAAGAGCAGGATTTTCAATCAAGTTCTTCCAGTGGTTACCAAATCGGGCAATGGTTGCCCCATCAATAATACGATGATCTGCCGACCAGCTAATAGGCAGGATTTGCTTAGCTACAACATTATCGTGTTCATCAAAGCGAGGCAATTTTTGCATTCTTCCCAATGCGACAATAGCCAATTCAGAAGAAACTACCACAGGATTGGCATAAGTGCCACCAATCACACCAATATTAGATATCGTAATGGTGGTTCCTTTCAGATCGGACATGGGCAAAGAATTAGACTTGGCCAGCTCCTGTAATCGGTGAATTTCAGAGGCAATCTCGAAAACAGTCTTTGACTGAACATCCTTGACATTTGGCACTATAAGACCCTGAGGTGTATCCATAGCAATACCAACGTTGTGCGAGTTTCGATAGACAAGCCTGATAGAGTTAAGATCGTTCATGTCTCCTTCTAGCTTGGCGTTCATGATAGGGTAGTGTGACAAGGCAATAGAGAGACATTTTACAAAGATAGGGAGGTACGTTATCTTCTTGAATGGATACATGTGAGGATGAGCTGCAATATGTTGATTAAGTGCTGCACGGTACTTGGTGGTAGCGTCTAGTTCAATGTCATCTTTATAGCCAAGTTGTGGAATACTGAGAGATTGCGTCATGGACTTGAACATGGCTTTCTGGATCATACTGAGAGGTTCGGCACGATCATGTGCAGAAAGGATAGATGTCTGCTTTGGCGCAGCAGCTACATCTATACCAAAATTTAGACTATGAATCTTTCTCTTATGATGTATTTATACCTTTTCCTTGCTGTTTACCAGCGGCATAAGCCAACACATCCTCTTTTAATATCCTACCGTCCTTTCCGGTTCCAGTAACTTTGGTAAGATCTATATTTTTTTCCTTTGCCAAATGTCTGACAGCAGGTGTTGCAAGTACAGAGCTATCGCTTGACCTGTCTACACCTTGATTGGATGCAGCGTTTGCAGCTGGTGGCTGCTGCTTTACTTCATTGGGTGCCTTTGTCTCGCTCACTTGGTTCTTACTACCACCATCATCTTCATCATCAGCGGTCTCTATATCAACTAGAGGATGACCTACTTTGGCAATATCATGAACATCATAATGCAACTTGAGAACCTTTCCAGCGAACCGTGATGAGATTTCCACTGAGGCCTTATCTGATTGAACTTCGCATATCTTATCAAACTCATTCACTTCTGAACCTGGCTCTACAAACCTAATATATATACCAATCAATAATTTGTTGTGTATACACGTATATACACGTGCATGGTGTATGCTCACAATCATTTACCATTGGATCACTTCACATTCTGTTATGCCTTCTCCAATATCAGCCAATAAAAATGGCTTGACTGCTTCTTGAATACGTGATGCATGGAAGAATCGAGTATTGAATCGATATGCTGACTGCTGATTATTCATTAGAGCAAGAATAAAGAGTGAAGCTATATAACTTACCGTGGGAACTGCAAGACGATGGCTTTGAGTTAAGGGCTTCCTAATAACAGAGGAAATAGACTTGATTGATCGAAGATACATCTGATGAACAAAAGAGAGAGACGATAATGAATGTATACAGAAAGAGATGAAAGAAAGAAAATAAGATAGTGGGAAAATGATGGTGTCTTATTTACTCGCCCGTGGGAAACTTGTCTTGGTGATGTGTCTCCATAAAGTATACAGAGCGAAAAAAAAGGAACAAGAACTCCGAAAGGTTTCTTTGAATAGTGTGACTTTTTTGGTTGGCTTTTTAGGCTCTATTTCTTTCTTCTAAACATATACACACATACACGATATAATGAGTTTATTTCAAACAGCACCTGTGAGAAGATATTTAGTAGAATTCAATGCAGGCAAATGTATTATAGAAGGTAACTTGATCAAGCCAGATCTAAGGAAAGGGTAAGGACAAACAAGACCAAATTTATAATGATGTTCTAAACTTTATTATTAGAACGATCTACATGGACCAGGTATTAGAAAGACTATGATATATTCATAAATATATATTAACTTTAATTATGTATAGTCTGACGATCAATTACTGCATTTCTATTGGAAAGAACGTGGCTCACATGCTGAACCTGAAGACGTAACGTGTTTTTATATACATGTACACGTCATCTAAACAAAAATTGTAGGATATCATCATTTTTCCTTCTGAAGCCAAATTTGTCAGAGTATCTCAATGTACAACAGGCCGTGTGTATATGTTAAAGTTCAACAGTTCTCGTGAAAAGCACTTTTATTGGATGCAAGACAAGAGTGAAGAGAAAGACGATGAGAATGTCAACAGTGTGAATGAGTTTATTGAGAGTCCAGAAAGCATGTCGGCTGATTTAGATGAGTCTGCCTCTCATGCAGAGATTATGCGTCTGTTAAGTGGCGCCGAAAGTCAAGGTAGTCAATAAACAAACAGCAGGGCAACAGAAAAATAACAACTACCTTTTATTAGATGCTAATATCACAGAGGAAAATATTTTGGAATTTCTCAATAATATCAGCAGGTAAAAAAGATAGAAGGAAAAACATGTTTGGATAGTGTATTTATTGGCATGTATATATAGAAGCAGACAAAGATCAAGAAGCGAACAGCGAGTAAGAGGCACATCTGCATTAAGAGAAGAGGTGTCGCGTCCTGTTGCTGAACAACAACAGCAGGAACAAGAGCAGGAGCACGAGCCAGAACGCGAGCCAGAACCAACAGTCGCTGCACCCACTTCTGTAGATACACCTACTGTCACTACTACTGCCGCCACTACCACTACTACTACGGATTCTGCTGCTACAACTAATAATGCAAGCACTGGAAATAATCCTGATTATGCACAACTTGCTCAAATGCTTGCGAGCATGAGCGGGCAACGAGGTAAATAAAAATAGATAAACAGTAATAATAAGGAGCTAACTGATCCTCATTAGGACCAGCACCATCACTTGTATTGACAGATATACTTAATAGCCAGACACTGACACCTCTGCTAAATGACCCTGAAGTATGCGAGTCATTGGTACCTTATTTACCTGAAGAATCTGAAAAGTCAGCCGAAGAAGTCAGACAAGTAGTCAGAAGCCCTCAGTTCAGCCAAGCTGTTCAAAGCCTGACGGTGGCTCTTCAAACAGGACAACTAGGACCATTACTCTCACAGTTGGGCTTAGATCCTTCTGCAGGATACAGCGTCGAGTTATTTTTGAATGCGATTGAAAAACAGGCACAAGAGAAAAACAGTAATGCGATGGAAGAGGATTAAAATAAAGTAATAATTTTTATTGACGATTGTAAAGGCTGAACCTACTAATCAGATCCGGCGCTTCTTCTAGCACAATCATCTTCCCTTGTATCATGTGTGTCGTAATGTGACAATGAACTGCCCAAAATCCAGGATTGTCCTGAATAATAAAACACAATATTAGAGCCAATTATAAATGTTGTGAGTATTTGTCTTTACCGCTTTGATTCTAACTTTAGTCCAACCACAGCCTTCTGATCCGTCGTTAGAAAAGTAAGGGTATGCTACCGATGTATCCTTGTATAATGGATATTTGAAGTTTCTGATATGCTTATGAAGTGTATGATTATAGTCACCAGGCCCAGAAGCAATCACGTAATGAGAATGACCGTGTGTGTGCCAAGGGTGTAGTAGACAGCCGCCATCTCTGTTTTTACTGTTTTGAAATACTAAATCTACTGTTTCATTATATGCAATACGGTAAGTATGCAAGTCTGTATAATAATTATCGTCATATTCATCTGTCGCTCGCTTGTGGTGATGATGTCTAAAATGTCTATAATGATGGATGGCTGGGATATGTCTATCAGGATTTATGCGATGGTTCACCAAGTACCGTGTTGTGTTGTCTGACATCTGGTTCATGGTAGTATGAAGCTTGATTGTTCGAACGTTCATCTCGTCTAGCATAGGATCACGGCCTGCCAAGGGTGCAATATTATGCCAGAGCCAGTCAGGTCTATCCAGTTTAGGAAATGTCGGTAGCTCTTCAATGAATGGCTGAGGACGATGATGATTTCCCCATCCCCCTCCCCCTCCCCCTCCTCCCCCTCCTCCTTTTCCTCCCCATCCTCCACCAGATGACTTTTTGTTGTCATGTCTGTTATGATGACCCTCATCTGCACGTTTCCTTTTTTTTCCATTCCACTGATGATTACCCTTTTTTCGAGAATTGCCTCCGGTCGTCAAAGGCTTGAACAAGTAGCTCACGTTATCTTCCCTCTCACGTTCGACATAACGAATATAACCGAACCCGTTCTCGGTGATGCCTCGACCACGTTGACGCCAGAGATAGCTTGTGCCTATAGCAAATACCATACCAGGTGTATAGTCTCCTGTACGAAACAAAACAGAGAATCGCTGACCAGGAGTTACTTCCAAAAAACTTGTTTCATACGGATGAACCAGTTCGCCATCTACCTCGATCAAGGTCATATTGTGATGCTTGATAGCCAAGGCAAGGGTCCTAAACGTATTTCCACCAATGATGCGAAGACGATAGACTGTGTTTGGCTCGACGTCAAATGTGGTATAACCCGGACAGGTCTCTTTGCTAGTCTCGCTTGGATCATGCACAGTTCTACCGTTGATTAATATACTGTCCGATCCGTGATCGTACTTGAAGACACTTCCCATGTAATAGTCTTGACGGCTATCTAGTTCATCGTGCCACCATTCACTTAGTTGAAGAACAAGATCTTTTTGGTATGTGTAGGGACCAGCTCTGAGCTGCCGTTTCTGTTTGTATATTTTAGGGGTCACATAGGCCGGATCGTAATCTTCATCGTAATCGTAATTTTCTTCGTCATCATAGCTATCAGCAACTTGATCGTACTCCCTGGAATTGTCGTAATAATGATCATGATGATAATGGTGACGAGAATGGCTGTGATCGTAAGCAAGGTCATAATCACCAATATCACTGAATTCAATATCATCATCACTACTGCTGCCTTTATCTTTACAGGAACGCTTCTCTACGGATTTATGGGCGTTTGGATCGGCTTCTGAAGATTCATAGATAATGAACGCGCCTTGAACAGAATCATCTTGAAGACCAACATGAGCATGATAAAAGTACGTTCCTGCTTGTTGATGAAGCAAGAAACGGTGAACAAAAGTAGAGCCTGGGGTGATTGCATCTTGAGTGACACCAGGTACACCATCGGATTCGGTGGAACCGATTTGTCGAATACCGTGATAATGAATGCTCGTGTTTGCATTAGGCAGACTATTTCTTACCAATATCTCGATTTCATCGCCTTGAGTGGCGTAAAGGGTTGGGCCAGGAAAGTGGCCGTTGATGGTAGGAACTCTGAATGAACGACTGTGACAGTCAGGGTTGATATCTTTATAATTAATATTCAATTCAAATCGCCTAAGAGCAGCGTGACAGAGAGTAAATAACAAACTGCCAATGATTAATCTCTTCATGACTAGTAAAGAAAGAAGAAAGAAATGAAATATTTTCAACTACACCAGCTTTAATTTTTTATTCACATTCTTTTAAAAGCATGCATTAGGCCGTAAATATCAAGCTCATCTTTATAATAGACTCGGATTCTATTTTGGACCCTTTTATTTTAATCTTGCTGCTGGTGTGTCAAAAAGAAAAGAGGAAACTATATTTAGGAGAGGAAGCATATCAAAACACGATGTGGCATCTTTTTTTTGTTGATGTGGGCACACTTTGCCATTAAAACACCGATATTTCACACGTGCTGACTTGTATTTATTTTTATTTCCCTTTTCTCACTTCTTTTTCTCTTTTCTTTTTTCTCTTTTTATTATTAAAGTCATTATGGAAAAGTCAGCCCATGACAAGTCAAGTAGTCACAGCAATACTTCTTCTACAAGTACCATCGTTGGTGTTCATTATCAAGTGGGAAAGAAATTAGGCGAAGGAAGTTTTGGTGTCATTTATGAAGGCTTGAATCTTTTAAATAATCAGTCAGTTGCCATCAAGTTTGAGCCAAGGAAATCAGAAGTACCACAGTTGAGAGATGAATATAGGACATATAAAATATTAGCTGGAACATGTAATAGGATATGATGTCTTTATAAAAAAAAAAGAAAGCTGACTTTGTTATTTATTATTATTACTATTATAGCTGGTGTGCCCAGTGCTTATTATTTTGGTCATGAAGGATTACATAATGTGCTTGTCATTGACTTATTAGGACCAAGTTTAGAAGATTTATTTGATATGTGTGGTAGAAAATTTTCGATAAAGACTGTAGCTATGGTGGCAAAGCAAATGGTATTTTCAACCTTTTTCCCTTTAGCTTTAACTCATTTTCTTGTACAGATTTCTCGTGTACAAAGTGTTCATGAACGCAATTTGATTTATAGGGATATCAAACCTGATAATTTCTTGATTGGTCGTCCAGGCACTAAATATGCAAATATGGTCTTTTTGGTGGATTATGGCATGGCTAAACTATATCGTGATCCAAAAACAAAGAAACATATTCCATATAGAGAACGCAGGAGTTTGTCAGGAACCGCACGTTATATGAGTATCAATACTCATTTGGGAAGAGGTTAGAAAAAGAAAACATCATCTCCTTATTTATCCCTCCTTTTCTAAGCCTCTCCTTATATACATAGAGCAATCAAGACGCGATGATTTAGAAGCATTAGGTCATGTCTTTATGTACTTTTTGCGTGGTTCACTTCCTTGGCAAGGCCTTAAAGCGGCAACAAACAAGCAAAAATACGAAAAGATTGGTGAAAAGAAACAATCGACGTCTGTCAAGGAATTATGTGGAGCATTTCCAGGTAAGCATATTAGATCAATTAAAGGGGCTGAGCAAACATATATGTATATATTAACATCTTTATAGAGGAATTCGGTATTTATCTTCAATATGTTCGAAAATTAGGATTTGAAGAGACACCCGATTACGACTTTTTAAAAGAACTGTTTGATAAAGTGTTGGAACGTGTAGGTGAAAAAGATGATGGCATTCATGATTGGATGCTACTAAATGACGGTAAAGGATGGGAGGTAAGAGCTTTTCTTTTTTTGTTCTATTTTTATAATTGATTTTCATTGTTGTTCTTGTTAGAACCGATTTAAGCAATTAAAAGATGCTAGAGCAAGAAGATCAGGTCATCATCAATCCAAACACCATAATAAGAGAACAAGAGCGCCTGTGACAGCTACAAATAACAACAATGCAGACAATAGACATAGATCAACAACTGATATGCCAGTTGCACCTGCCTATGTTCCCTTACAAGATCCTTTTAGTCAACAAAAAGAAAGAAGAGAAAAGCATGGATTTTGGAAAAGCCTTGTCAGTTTTGTTACATGCAGTGGACATCAAGATTAAAGAAAATAATGAAGATACCCCCCTTTCTTTTGCTTTTGATATAGAATCGTCCCTTCGTTTTATTATTATTATTTTACATGAATTTTTCTAAAAAATTATTTAATGGTGTTTGCTGTACTTGTGTCCAAATTGTTCTACGTTGAAGCCATCTTCCATTCAACTTTTTGGCAGTGCTAGCGTTATTTCTCGTTCTTTGCCCTCTCACAGGTAAACCCATCGCGTGTCGTCTGCCAATGTAATTACCAATGTTTCTATGATGCATAATACTCTCTCGCACTTGTCTCCTTAAATCAGTTTCAATTGTCATGTTGGCGAGGGTATTGGTCAATTCGTTGATCTGAACTTCACTTAATTCTGCTACTTTAACTGTAGGTGCAATTGACAAGTCTTTACATATTTTATTAGCCGTAGTTTCACCAATACCATAAAAGTATTGAAGTGCTCGACTAGGGTGATATGACAAGGGTTAAAGAATGTCAAAGATGAGTGATATTAAAATTACCTAATAATCTTTCTGTCTGGCAAATTGACACCAAGTAAATGAAGCATATTTGCAAAGAAAAAAAAGGAACGGAAAAAGAAAAAAAGAAAAAAGAGGAAAGGGCCCTAGTTGATGTGCACAAACAACACTATGTGTGTGTGTGTGTGTGTTTATAGTGTCTATGGCCATGGTCCGCTGCTGACATTCAAAGCCACCGGGGCATTTTTTTTTAGTTGTCACATTAGAGGACTACTCTTTATTTTTCTCCTTTTTCTCTATAAATACAACAACATACATAATGTCTCGTCCTGAACACATTGCACCTCCAGAAATTGTAAGCCTTTACTTAGCATAATAGTATGATATATATATTAATATAGTCTTTAGTTTTATGGTGAAGATGAAGCTAGAAAATACACAGACAAGTAAGACAAAAAGACAAAAAAAATGACAACATGATATTAACGACAATAGTTCACGTATCACTGCTATTCAAGCAGAAATGGCATATCGTGCGCTTGAATTACTCAACTTGTCTGAAGGACCGAAATATTTATTAGATATTGGATGTGGATCGGGCCTAAGTGGAGAAATATTGGAAGAAGAAGGACATATCTGGGTTGGCATGGATATATCATCTGCCATGTTGGACGTAGCCAATGAGCGTGAAGTAGAAGGCGACTTGTTCTTACAGGATGCTGGACAAGGTATGGGATTTAGACCTGGTGTGTTTGATGGTGCGATAAGGTAATATTTATAAGACAACTAGAAAAGGAGGAAAAAAACTTATGATGAATAGTATATCCGTCTTACAATGGCTATGTAACGCAGACAAAACCATCAATCGACCTAAAGCTAGATTACAACGATTCTTTTCAACATTATATGCTTCACTCAACAAGGGCGCTCGTGCCGTCTTTCAGTTCTATCCAGAAAATGACGATCAAATAGAGCTTATCATCGACGTGGCCACCAAATGTGGTTTCGAAGGTGGTCTTCTCGTGGATTATCCCAACTCCAAAAAGGCTAAAAAATATTACTTATGTCTCTTTGCTGGCCAACAGTCAGGTGTAAAGAATCAGATGCCCAAGGCACTAGGAGAAGACGGAGAACTGCATCCGGATGAAGCTCAATCAATTCAATATGAAAAGAGACGACAGCATACACGACGTAGAAGAAGCGATAGAAAGAGTGTCAAGACAAAAGACTGGATCAATAACAAAAAGAAGATTGCTCGTGAAAAGGGCGACAAAGTGGTGGCTAATGATTCTAAATATACAGGAAGAAAAAGAAAGATCAGATTTTAAAAATAAAGTATTTATTCTCATTAAAGGGACATTACGAAAAAGGTCTAAAAAAGGGAAATTATTATTATTAAAAAAAAAAAATCAAGGAACAGACCAGACTAAACTTTTTGAAGTCAAGATGATCCTAAAAATAAACTTTCTCGGGCCGCTTTTTTTTTTTTTTCTTTTCCTTTCTACTACTGACCCTGGGCTGTAATCACCATGACAACAAAGCCTAAAAGTCAGTTCGATCTATGTGATCGAGAACAAAAGACTGAAGACAGCCTAACTCAGTGTCTAAAGGATGCATTTCTAAATAATGTTTTTTATAGCAAGATTAGTGATTCCGCATTTGTTGCTGTCAATCCTTACAAGTCTGTACCTTTACAAAGCTTTCAATATGTGACAGAATATAAAGATACCAGCGCTGACAGTTTGGAACCTTTACCGACTCACATTTACAAGTTAACGAACCAAGCTTACTTGCACATGCGAAGAACCGGTATTGATCAGTCTATTATCCTTGGGTAAAGTTAAAAGCAGTATTTGTATATAATCCTTTTTGCTAATATTTAGTCTCTAGTGGCGAGTCAGGAAGTGGAAAAACCGAAAACTTCAAATATATCCTCGATCATCTTGTCCATTTATCTTCACAAAAGAAAGAAACCAAGCTTCAGTCACAGATATCGAATGCTCAAATTGTTCTCGAATCATTTGGTAATGCGCGTACAGGACTAAACGACAATGCTTCTCGATTTGGAAAGTATGTTGAGTTGCAATTTAATGAAAGAGGTCGGATGACTGGCGCCAAACTCCTGAATTATTTACTTGACAAGTCTCGACTGACACAGTGTCCAGTCAACGAACAGACATTTCATATCTTTTACCAGATCTTTTCCGGAGCGAGTACAGAGGAAAAGACAATCTTGCAGTTAGATGATGATGTATTCTATCGATATATACCCAGACGAATGGCAGCTTCCGGGAAGGAAGGACAGCAATTTCAGCAGCTCAAACTGGCAATGAAATCATTAGGGATTAATAAAAAGTATCAAGCACGCATCTGGCAGTTTATTGCCTGCTTGCTTCACCTTGGACAGCTCGAGTTTACAGAAGATCATACGATTCAAGAGGCAGCCTTTGTGAAGAATCCAGATGTACTTGATATCTGCGCGGATTTTTTGGGCGTTGATCCTCGAGCACTAGAAAACTTGATGACTTACAAGACTGTCATTATCAATAAGGACGTAACATCAGCCATTTTGGATTCCACCGGTGCAGCACAACAGCGAGACGAAATCGTGAGGGCTTTGTATTCCCTCCTGTTTTCTTGGCTGGTGGAGTATATTAATACAAGGCTCTGCATAGACACTACACACAGCTTCATCGGCATCTTGGATTTTCCAGGACCGCGATTACATAATCAACCATACAACAATTTTAATGCATTTTGTGTCAATTTGGCAAATGAACGACTACAACATTTCTGTCAGCGTAACATATTTGAAGCAGATACAGAAGAGTACCGCATGGAAGGATTGCCAGTGGTAGATATCCCTTATTTCAACAATCAGGCTTGTGTTGAACTGCTTGTACGACCTAAGCATGGACTAATTGACCTGGCCAATCGACAAGCCAAGCTATCAGGCACAGACGCCCAAATGCTCGACAGTTTTACAAAGCATAACAGCAACCATGGATCGTTTGTGCCCAAGTCTTCAGAGACTGGTCAGCGCCTATTTGCTGTGCAACATTTCGCTGGGCAGGTTACATATAATCCTGAGGGCTTTGTAGAGTCCAATAAAGATGTCCTTAACGCAGAACTTGTACAACTCATTCGAGGCAGTGATCATTCACCTGCATCCTTCAATAGTTTTGTCGTAGAGCTGTTTGCAGATAAGAGCATCAGCACAGAAAGTCATCCAAAGCATACCGATGCTATATTGAACGCTCAACAACCAAGTGGCCCCCTCCGCGGTCCTTCGATGCGTCGATCGAAAACAACACGACGAAAGCGTCAGTCGGGAGCAATAGAAGCAACGATCCCAGAGGCCGGTGAACCTACCTACAAGAAACATGTCTCCATGCTGTTGTCTCAGCTCAACAAGTCATTAGACGATTTATTTGCCACGCTAGACGAGACAGTACCTTGGTTTGTATTCTGTATTAGACCCAACGACAACGCGGCCCCCAATCAGTTTGATAGTAACAAGGTGAGAGCACAGATCAGAGCATGGGGAATTCCTCAGATATGTGAAAAGATGAAAACGGTTTACACCATTTCTTATTTTCACGATGAATTTATCGAGAGGTACGCCAGCCAGCTAGAAAATATAGATTCATCTGCAAGCAACAAAGACAAGTGTCAAGCGGCTATTGCTCAATTTGCTTGGTCTTTACCACATGCTCAACTAGGAGCGACCAAGGTAAAATAAATAATTAAAAAAGAAGAAAATTTGAGCTAAAGAATGATGAATAGATATATTTAAGTGAAGAGGCTTGGATAACATTAGAAAATAAATTACGAACAATTGAAAAAGAAGAACAAAGACGACAAAAGGACGAAAGACGATACACAGAAAATATGGCTAGCTTAAATGCACCCATGATGAACATGGACCGCGACCAGAGTTTTGACAATCTATCTCACGTCTCATACGGTTCCAACTCTGAGTTTTTGCTTTCTGGACAAAACGATTATGGACATCGCCATGGCGCTGCAACAGCAGCAGCAGCAGCAACAGGCCTACCGCTTCCTCGTGGACCTGGCTCAGTATACACAGATGATCAACGGTCATTTCTATCAGATAATGAAGAGCTTTATCATCTACAACAGGCACATAGTTACAACGAGACCGAATCGCACTATGGTTCAGACTATTACATGAATCCCGAGATGAAACAAATGGGTCCTACTGCCGTAGTAGAAGAAGAAGCGCCTGAAGAAGAAGAACAGATGTCGCGTGTTCGTCGACACTGGCTGAATTTTGTTTGGTTCATGACATGGTGGATACCAACGTTATTCCTAGTCAAGTGCGGCAAGATGAAACGACCTGATATTCAAATTGCATGGAGAGAAAAGATGACGCTTTGCATGATTATCCTACTTACTTCTGGATTCATCATCTGGTTCTTGGTTTTTTTTGGCTCGTTGATATGTCCTCATCAAGACGTCTTTTCTACGTCCGAACTGCAAAACCACGCAGATAAAAATAATGCTTATATAGCGATTCGAGGCGAAGTGTTTGACCTCACCAAGTATGCTCCTCATCACTGGGCGGGACAAGTTATACCTCAAAGCGCCATCTTGCAATACGGTGGCAAGGACGCTTCTTCACTATTTCCTGTGCAAGTATCTGCACTATGTCAGGGCGTCAATGGTCAAGTGAGTCCGTATGTCTCTCTGGACTTTAATGCAAACCTGACAGATCCAAACGCACAATACCACAACTTTTTGCCCAGCAGCAACGATCCAAGGCCGGACTGGTATTTCGAAAAGATGATGTACCTTCGAAAGAACTATAAGCTTGGTAACATGGGGTTCACACCCAAGGATATCAAGTCTCAGGCTGAAAACCCTGTGGACATGTCTGGCATCACAACACCTAGACAATGGGCCATATTGAATGGTAACGTGTATGATCTGACGTACTATATCCTGGGTGGACGTCGATTTGATTTACCTCCTGGTGTGAGTCAGCCTGATAACTCTGAACTCAATTTTCTAGACAACGCAGTGGTCACCTTGTTCAGTCAGAAGGCCGGCCAAGATATCACCGATAGTTGGAATGCATTACCACTAGATGCCGACGTCAAGCTTCGTCAAGAGGTATGCCTAAGAAATTTATACTATGTCGGCACTGTCGATCAGCGTAATTCAGCACGTTGTCTATTTGCAGAGTACCTGCTGCTCATCGTCACTGTCTTCCTATGTCTAGTCATTGTCTTCAAGTTCTTGGCAGCCCTCCAATTTGGCACTCGACGAGATCCTGAAAAGCACGAAAAATTTGTCATCTGTCAGATTCCATGCTACACAGAAGGTGAAGACGAGTTGCGAAAAACAATTGATTCGATTGCTTCGCTACAATATGATGACAAGCGTAAACTTTTGTTTATTATTTGTGATGGTATGATTATTGGTGGTGGTAACGATCGTCCTACGCCCCGTATCGTCCTTGACATTCTTGGTGTCGATCCCAATGTCGATCCCGAGGCGCTTTCGTTCTTCTCGGTCGGTGAAGGTCAAAAACAGCACAACATGGGCAAGATTTATTCTGGATTATATGAAGTCAAGGGCCATGTCGTACCGTACATCGTCGTGGTGAAAGTAGGCAAGCCTACTGAACGACAAAAGCCTGGTAATCGTGGCAAGCGAGACAGTCAGTTGGTGTTGATGAACTTTTTAAACAAGGTCCACTTTAACTCACCCATGACGCCCATGGAGCTAGAGCTTTATCACCAGATTAAAAATGTTATTGGTGTGAACCCAAGTTTTTATGAGTATGTGCTAATGGTTGACGCCGATACAGAAGTCATGCCGGATGGTCTGAATCGACTTGTATCAGCATTTACACATGATGCAAAGATCATTGGCCTATGTGGAGAAACGATGCTTTCGAACGAAAAGGACAGTTGGGTAACGATGATTCAAGTGTATGAATATTATATTTCCCACTACTTGATCAAGGCATTTGAATCATTATTTGGCACAGTGACCTGTTTACCTGGTTGTTTCTGTATGTACCGAATACGATCACCTCAAAAGAATCAGCCATTGCTTATTTCAAATCAAATCATTCAAGATTATGCCATCAACAAGGTAGACACACTGCACAAGAAGAACCTGCTACATCTTGGTGAAGATCGTTATCTGACAACACTCATCCTCAAGCATTTTCCCAACTACAAGACCAAGTTTGTTTCCGATGCAAAGTGTGCAACCAATGCACCAGACCAATGGAGCGTACTGCTCTCCCAGCGTCGTCGTTGGATCAACTCTACAATTCACAACTTGGGAGAACTCGTCTTTCTGCCTCAGCTCTGTGGCTTTTGTTGTTTCTCTATGCGTTTTGTTGTCATGCTCGACTTGCTGAGTACCCTAGTTCAACCTGCTATTGTTGGATACCTCATCTACCTCATTTATTCATTAGCCACATCGACCTCAGGCGTGCCCATAATGTCTATCATTACCATCGCTGGTGTCTACGGACTTCAGGCACTCATCTTTTTGTTACGTCGCAAGTGGGAACATATTGCATGGATGATTGTATCCATTTTGGCTATTCCTGTATTTTCATTTGCTATTCCCATCTATTCTTACTGGCACTTTGACGATTTCTCATGGGGTAACACACGTGTGGTCATGGGCGAAAAGGGCAAGAAGCTGGTGATGGCCGATGAGGGTAAATTTGATCGCAAGTCTATACCTGTGATGACATGGGACGAGTATGAGCGTAGCATGTATGAAGATATGAACAATGGTAACTACTTTGATGACAGTGCCTCTGTGGGCTCTCGTCGTTCCGAGCGCAGCCAAAGTTCATATTATAGTCAGCAAAGTAAATACTCTAATCCTTTCCAGCCATCAAGGGTAGCATCACCTGCATTTAGCCCTATACCACCTTATCATTCACCGGCACCAGGCTCTGTTGTCGGCTATCCTCCTCAAGGACAGTACCGGTCTCAATCTCCGTTTCATTAGATGATATCTTTGTTTAAAATAATGTTTATACACTTGTCACATACATATGCACTTATTATCCCCTCCTTTTTTTTTCTCTTCTTGTGCTTTACAAAATAAAAAAGAATTCCAATGTTTGTACTATATATATATGTTCTATGTGGTCCTTTTTTATTCAATGATAGAGAAGACAGCTTTACCAGATTTGGCATTTGTTGGAAGGATTCATCGGCTTCTGAGGACACTGAAATGCTTGAGCAAATTCAGCACTATTTTGAACAGCACCATTGACACGAACACTAGAAGGCGAATGTACATCGGTACGAACACGTTGAACAGACAGTTCAGGACGCATGTTGTTACACCATATTCTACCAAAGTTGATGAAAAATAGCTGTTCTGGAGTATATGTTTCAAGACCAGGCAAGAAAACCGGGCTGTCCTCTGTAAGCGTCTTTTTCATGGCTGTGTAGGCGGCATGAAGGCCACCGTTATCTGCAAGGTTTTCACCAAGTGTCATCTTTCCGTTGACAGAGTAGTTGGTTTTATCAGGACCCTGAATAGAGAATTGATTATACTGGTTGATAAAGCATTGAGATCTGCTTTCAAATGCAGATGTGGTTGCATCTGTCCACCAAGTATTTAAGCGGCCATCTCCATCATAAAGTCGACCTGCGTTATCAAAAGCATGCTAGGAAGCGTGTTAATTAAAAGATATGCATTTTTTTTGTAGTTATCACATACAGTGATTTCATGACCAATGACTGCACCAATACCACCATAGTTGATATAGGAAGGTAGATCTGTATGATAGAATGGAGCCTGTAAGATTCCTGCAGGAATAACAATCTATATGAAAAGGGTAAATAACAACAAGATAAAGAATAATGATGCTTTTACCTTGTTAAAGTTGGGAGAATAATAGGCATTCACTTCATGGGGTGTCATGAACCAATCATCCTTGTTTACTTTTTCTTCTATCCTACTCCACTCTTTTTTGAATTCGGACATCATTACAGATTTTTGATTTCCATAGTAATCCTTTTCTTTGACCTCTATACCCGAGTAGTAATTTTGAAGAGAACTAGGCGATCGATCATCAGGACTGATAATACTGTATGCTTCTTGATGTGTAAGTTTTTTGACCTATATGATCCCCCCAAAAAAAGAGTTAGAGCTTCCCCGCAAAAAAAAAAAAGAAATGACAATGTGTTTACCTTTTCTAATGCACGCGTACGTGTTTCAATGTCCAACCAATCACTCTGTTTCAATCTTCCGGACCAAGCCGACAAAAGGTTCTCAATAAATGCAGAAACCTGCTGTCGTTGTGGCTCACCACCAAATGACTTCATGACAAAGTATCGACCCAACAGTTGACCAAAGGCACCACTTGTGCTTGCTACACATTCTCGACTTCGGGGAGGAGCTTCAATAGCGCCATTGACAAGTTTGCCGATCGTTTCCCGATGGAGGTCTCTTGTCTTCTTGTCGATGCTGTGAATATTGGACAAGATGATTCTGATGATAAAGTATTCGCGGATGGCTTGAGTGGACGTACCATCGGGACGTGTCTGGCTGTTAACCAACCAATCTGTTAATTCCTTCAAGTAACCGGGAGAGGTCACGATCACGTTATCAGGCAAAGAGGCGTCATTAGGCACAAAATGACGAAGAGTTCGGAACCAGTCTGCAATCGGATATTTTTGATGTAACTCACCAATCGTCATTGGATTATAGACTGCCAAAGGATCTTGTAACTCGTCGCTAATGAAAATCAAGGTAAGCTTTTGGTTCTTTTTTCTTCATTTGTTTGTCTTACATGGGAAGTGATATACTAGCAAGCTGTGTTTCAAACTCAATAAATCTGTCCACCATAGCTTCTATATCCATGGCGCCAAGTACAGGTAACTTGTTTTCAGTGAGTTTTTCAATACGCAATCTACTCGAGTCGCCTGTGACATCACCAAGAATGGCAGTAACCACAGAGATCAAGCCGTTACGGTACTGGGCGATGAGATTTGGCTGTTTGTAATATTCTCGAGAAGGCAAACTTAAGCTTGGTTGGTTTAAGAAGATGGCATACTTTTCGGGATTTTTGTCGTCTATGCCTACGTCGAATGATACCAGGTTGCCAACACCCTGCGAGTTTAATTCGATCAAGGCATCCGTCAAGGCATGCGCATTTTCAAGACTAAATCGACCATCATCCATACCTGGAGAATATCCTAGACTTTTGAGTACTTGGGCGATGTCAGGAAATATGGGCGTGGGTCCAAGATGGTCAACGGTGACCTCGTCCATACATGCATCATAATACATCTTTATCTTGTTAAAGTTGCCCCTATCCTGTTCCTTTTCCGTCTCATTCAAAAATCCCGAATTGGCGTCAACTCCAGTGAGTAAATCATCATAGGTGCCTTGAAGCAATTGTTGAAGACTATCAAGGTTAGTATTACGGAGATCGGTAAATGTGCCGACGCCTGGCATAAAAGTTAGTAAATGTTTCACCTCTCTGTGCAACGTAGCTTACTTGGGTCAGAAGGAGGAATAGGGTGAGTCTTTATCCAACCACCGCCTATAAGAGTGTATTAGTTGAATAATCAATTAAGAATCCATCATCATACAAGTGTATTGATAAAAGTCACTGCATGGATCCATGTTCACATCAATGTCCTTTAGAATAGAAGAAGCAACAGATTGACAAACGTGGGAACTGCATGTATTGTTGGTAGCACGAGCCAAAAGATGAGTTGAATGGGCAGTAAGACTATGTAAAAGAGCACCAGCTGCCATGATAAACAGAAATGAATAATAAAAAGAGAGAAAAAGAGTAATAAAACCAAGCGTTTATATACACAATAATAAGAATAATAATAATATTCCGGTTCTATTGTCGAGAGAGGTAGCTTTTTTTAATTTTATAATACTTTGTATTACAATATAAACTAATTACGAAATACACTCCTCTTTGCTCTTTTCTTTTATTTCCTTTTTATGTATAATGAATCAATGACAATGACTAAACTTTAAACTTTTCTCTATTATTCAATAGTTTCAATTCTTATAAATTTTTACTTTGGTTGAATTTGAAAAAAGACCCTTTTTGGACTTCAGATTGTGCTGTGTAGCGTTACTTTATTTTTTACCAAACTTGTTTTCCATTTTACTTTTCTTTTTTCTTTTTTTGGTTTATTGAAGCTAATACAAAGAAGAGGAATCAATTAAAGAGCTTTAAAGTAGAAGAAAATCATCTTCTCTCTCTCTTTTTTTTCTCTTTGTTTCTTGACTTTATACAACAATGAGCACAGACACTAGACTTATTCTAAGTTTAGTAAATAGAATAGCAGTTAGAGTAAAGTATGACACATTATGTTCTTTGTATATATATGTTAATACTGTTTCTATATAGTTACCAACTACCAGTGACACTGAGAATGACTCATTACAACACGATCCCTTAATTCAACAATCGTAATTATATACATCAAACAAACTCTCCCTTTTAACTAATCTATTCTTTTTATATTTATCATTTGTCTTGACGTCAGAGGTATGATAATAAACTTTTTGTGACTTTTACCATGACTGACACAGAATAACATAGTGGCAGCATTGATTGAACTATCAAAATATAGATTATCCACTATTGCAAGCACTATCATGACTATGCTTGAAAATATGTCAAAGGTTAGACCAACATAACGTAGCTTACATTGACCAACCCTTCGCTTTTTTTTTGTAGCCTAATACACTTCCAAGAAATGATGACAACTCCTTCCATTTATTACAGTCACAGTTATTCATGATTCGCATACTCGCAGCCTGTATGCAACATTGTTGGAAACAAAATGAGGTTTCACAAGAACAGTCAAAAAGACGACCCAACCTGATACGTACAGACACCGATGTTTGGGAGCTACCTGAGGGTATACCGCCTGCACCCAATGATCCACCACCACTTGATAATGCTTTAGCAAAACACATCATCAATGTCATGTCTCGTTATTTATCACAAGTTGGAACACTTGAAGATCGTGAACATGGACTTGTAGCCAATGGAACGAGAGCAGTAGCTGTCTTGGATCAAAAACACCCGTTATGTAATGATATTTATCAGGCAGTCTGTCGTATATTGTCCTATGTTAGCGCAAGTAATTGGAACATCGTATTTGGCAAGTTCAAATCAAGAATCATGTGTTTGACATCAGCTGCCGATGAATCACCAGAAGTGATTGATATTGCCATTATCGAATGTTCATCTTTAAACTCAAAACGATTAAGTATGATTTTGACAGGTAAATGGGAAGAGAGAATATAGGTAGTACACCGATCGAGTCTATGTCCTTACTTGATTATCTATAGAACTCTGTACATCTACTCTACATTTGAAAAAGACAACACAGCAGTTGGTAGCTATGGCCTTGAGAGGAGCCATTTGGGGTTGGATAGAGAGTTATACATCCGAATTTATGATGCTCTCTCGTAGTCAAAAAAGATTAGAAGGATCACCCGAAATCCTATTTGATATATTCAATTCATTAGCAGACACAGCAAAGAAAAAGGCGGTATATTGGCCAGTCCAGATGATGCTACTCACACTCTGCCCGGACATCATGCTTTCTACAACTGTGTCAGGAAGTGCGAATAACAAGAAGGTAAAGGACACTGTTTATCTGCATTCATTGTATAACTCATTATCTGTAGTCTGCATTCTTGGCTTCTTTGAGAAAGGCAATGAAAGGTGACCGTATGGCAGATTTAGCAGCCATTTGTTATGTGGACTGCTGTCGAGCTGCTACTTATATTGCAAAAGATGATACGACAGCCCTTCGTCAAATCGTGCCTGATATCGAAAATGAGCTAGTTGAAAAGCTGTTTGATCCTCATCGACCCATTGGTATCGATGGTCGTAACAATAGTTTGGGTGTGTATATCGATTACCAGTCTCTGATGGCAGATTGTATTGTGGCTCTTTTTCGATTGGATGTTGAACGAACAGTGAATACGATTATTCCAGCCTGCTTTGAATTTTCTGCACCTACTCTCTTTAAAGTAAGCATGGTCAAGGCAGCAGTGGCAATAGCATCTGAAGAAAATAAGTTACCTTGGGTTCCACCTGTATCTACCCTACACAATTCGCTCTGTTCTCGTATCCGTACTCTGTTTTTGGAATATTATAGTCGCGAAATTAGAGAAAAATCAGATACAGCTAGTCAGTCTTCACGAAAGGGTATGCGCCCGAGAAGAGATACATCCGCGGTTCCACCTGAGCGATTTGAACTCATTTTGGATGTTTTACATTTATATCAAACAGATCCACAGTTTGCTGTTTTGGTAAACACTCTTTTATTATTTCTCTCTTTGTTCTTGCTTACATTTTGTCTATAGGGCGACGATTCAGATAGATATGAGCAGAATGCTTCTCTGATGATTGCCATTACCAATTACGTCAGCGATCCTAACCCTTCCGTCAGGGAAGCAGCAGCTGACTGTTTGGCCAAACTTCATGCGCCCAACTATATCCTGTCATGGGGGCCACCAAACCACGTAATGGAAGCATTCTGGAAGTTATCGTCCGAGGTGTTATATACACTTGCAAAACAAATCCTGGCAGAAAGAGACAAAGGGCTGAGAGCTCTTTTGGACCTCTTGAGGCGTTTACTCACACTGCGTAACGAATTTTTGCAACAGCATCGCAATGTAGCAGCAAGAGGCGCCGATACAAAAGAAAGGCGACAAGCTTCTATAGCGCTTGAAGTGGCGCTACTAGTGATGCTCTGTTCCTCAGACACCAACATATGCACGATTGCCATTGAATGCTTTGCCTTGATATGTACAGAAATTGGACTGACAGAATGTTTTGAGGAGTATCAGCCTTCGTCCACAATCTTTGTGGAGAACATGGCATGTTATACCAAGCTGATCGAAGACGCCAATGTGGTAATAGGTAGAAAATCACAGCAGCGTCGTATTCGTCGATTGCTACGTATGGCCACACATGGCTCTCCAGGCATGTTGAGTGCTTGGGAGGAAGCATGGAAAAGATGGAAATTGATGACACCACTTATCGTTCGTCCGCCTGAAGAAAGTAGAGATGACACTTTAGAAGTAAATCGAAAAGGTACCGGCTGGCAGGATAAGCTGAGAAATACGTCAAGCCGACATACTGGTTCAACTAGTACCGTTACAACCACAAATCGTGTAGAGTATCTAGATGAAGAACGAGCGGCAGAATGGCAGAATTATGCTGGTTTTCTCGCAGCCCTAGGTGGTGTGTGTCTGATGACTGCTCAAAACGAAGAGTTGCTCAATAGTCAGATTAGCAGCAGCAGTGGCACTGTACATAGTAGCGGGATACGTTATGTGCCAGAGTCAGCCGTGTTGGTGGATAAGTTTCTCGTAGAGATGGTGGATTTGCTGGCCTGTGATAATTTGCTAGTCAGAGAGTGGGTCAGAGAAATTCTTGGAAACGACCTATCACCTGCTTTATACCACACTATGTTTCGCTGCTTAGAAGATACCCTAACACAATGCTTCTCCCAAGCCAACAAGAATGAGCCCATATGTGAGCCTCGGTACACACTCTTTGTCGAACAGGCCATCTCGGTGTTGAAGCTCGTCTTGGATCGCTTAGCAGATAAATCAGAAAGTCTGTTTATGGTCGATTTTAGTACCCTTATTAGCCTGTGTACTTTTTATGTCAATAGGCTTACAACAGATGCTGGGTCAATCAAGATGAAGATCAAACTATGTCATCTGATTGAAGTGCTTATGCTCAAGAAGGATCGAGTCACCATTAGGCAAGAGTTCAGATTAAGAAACAAACTACTGGAAATCATTGCTGAGTGGATCAGTGATTATACATTGGCAAAGGTAACAATGAAAACACTATCAAAAATAAATACCAACTCCTTTGCATAGAAGCCTTATCTTTCGTCATCTCAGTTATCTTCAAATGATCCATCTCAATTAGAGAAGCTTCAGCAGGATTTGGATGTTGCCTGTTTAAAGACTATCGTGGCTTTACTTCATCAGCTTCCCCTTCAACCGGTGGAGTCGCTTCAGGAATCAAATGCAATGGTCGCGAAAAGCAAAATTTTCTTCAAGTATTTTACCTTCTTTTTCAAAGTACTCAATCGTTGCCGTCTGTCTGAACTAGACTCCTCTGCTCAATCTCGAAGCAGTGTTGAATTTAGAACTGTAAATTATATATATAACTGTCCATTATACATGGCAACTAATTTTATGTTAGGAATCCGGTATAGAAACTCTAAAGAATTATACTATTCTGGCTCTTTCCAATTTACTAAGTGCCAATGTGGATGCTGGTCTAAAGTACTCTTTTTCCATGGGCTACCATGAGGACACCAGCACTCGTACTGCTTTCATGGAAGTATTGGCCAATATTTTAAATCAAGGAACAGAATTTGAGAATTTGGCAGAGACAGTGATGACTGATAGATATGAAAAACTGATTGATATACTGATAAACTCTGATCTTGATGTTACCAAATCGCTCTGTGAGGTGTGCCCTTCTTCTGAAATCGATGATTGTGCTAATGCTCTGTATGCCTGTTATTCATCGAGAAACAAGATAATGCAACTTCTCAAGACAGTCATTCAAAAAGAAATTGATACCACAGGTAAATAAAATGAAATACAAGTAAGCGTCAAAGCAATACACTAACGTGATTTAGATAATGAGACTGATTTGTTTAGAAGAACAAGTATTGCCACTCGCTTACTCTCTGTGTTTGCAAAAGATAGTGGTACTGAATACGTCAAGGCTGTGTTGTCGCCTGTATTCCAAAAGCTATCTGAGCTTCCTAGGGAGAACAGATGCTTTGAGCTAGACCCTTCAAAACTATTACCCAATGAAGACGGCAATAGGAATAGACAAAACGTGATTGAGGTGACCGAGTTGTTCTTACAAGCTATCTGCAACTCGGTTGACCTTGCTCCTCTATCCTTTCGCGAGATTTGCTCCTACATCGCTATGTCTGTCCGCGAACGATTCCCTGAAGCTAGATACACGGCCGTGGGCTCTTTTATCTTCTTACGGTTCTTTTGTCCAGTCATCGTTTCACCCGAGATCGACGGTGTGACAAAAACCGCACAGCTCAACTCACGTGAGATGCGTCGTGGGTATCTGATAGCAACCAAAGTGATACAAAATCTTGCCAACAACGTCCTTTTTGGAGCAAAAGAAACTTACATGATTGTTCTAAATGATTTTTTGACCAACAATATTTATAAAGTAGCTAATTTCCTGCGCGAGATATCAACAATGCCATCCGAGCCAATAAGTGAGCGACCAAGAGAGGCCTATGAACTGACGGAAGAAGATTATGTTTTGCTTCACCAAGTGTTGGCTGACAATATGGAACGTATATCACGAGATTTGGCCATACGAAAATTAAACCGAAGCCATGATCAAGAGTCACTCACTGCTTGGAAACGTGAATTTGATAGATTTGCGAACATACTTGCTCAGCTGGGTCGTCCTCCAGAACTGCGAAAGAAAGAGTCGTTGCCTTCAAAGAACTACATCTTTGCTGCCTCCAACCAGATCTATTCGGACTTCATACGACGCAATAACCATCGAAGTGTAGAGCCCATTGCTTCCAAAAACATCTTTTATGAGGGAGGTATCTCAAAGGCTGGTCGACGTGTTTATTACTTGATTCTGCGTCATATCGATGTTGATAATATAGACTTTGAATTACTCATCTACCATATATTACGAGTAAGATTTTGACCTTGGAAGGAATTATACTTTAGTAACTTGGTTTATTACAGATATTGGAAGCATCCTCAAACAAGTCCTTTGAAGTGTTGATTGACTGTACTTTGTTCACAAATAACAATGAAGTACCGTCTCAATGGATTAGTCAATTAATGCAGCTATTATCCAGTGATATCATGGGCAATCTTGCTGCTCTTCACGTCTATAACCCCAACTCTTATCTAAGAACTTATCTGAAGAAGATAGAAATACAGCAGTTACCACACAAACTTTCAAAAAAGACATCATTTACAGCTACATTAGTCGAGCTTCAAGAATACATACAGGCATCAGAGATAAAGCTTCCAAAGTTAACAAGTAAAGATTTAAAAAGGAAAAGAAAAAAAAGGGGGGCTGAAGCTAATGTTTTTATTTTATAGTTGGTCTAGAAACAGATCCTAGTGCAGTATTTTTCCCTGTATACAAGATTGTACAATACAGAACCAATATTCCACTTACGATCAAAGTAAACGCAGAGTATATACAGATCATGACTGTCCGCAAACAAGAAATCTCCTATGGCATACATGCTGTTATTAACGACGTCTATCATATTTCTGAAGTTGAACAAGTAGCTATAGTTCAGCATGAGCATCAAGGCGCAGAACAGATAAATGAATTCACCTTCAAAACATCGCGAGATAATGTGATCAGTACCTTCAGTTCACCAAAACGAGAAGCCATTGTGAATGTAAGTGTATAAAAGATGACATAGAAACAGCAACTTAGCGCGCCTTTGTAATAGACAGTTCGTCAAAGCAAACGGCGTTATGATTCTTCTCGACCAACGAATATAACAGAGCGAACTATACGTCCAAAGGATGTCCCTGGAAGATTGCTCAATATGGCTCTACTTAACCTTGGCAGTGATGATCCTAACTTACGACTCTCTTCATACAATCTGCTGTATGCCCTGAGTAGAGCATTCAATTTTGATGTTGGTAAACAGCTGTTGGATGCAAAAGGTAAGTCATCCTCTTAAGAAATACCCTATTATTAACCAACTCATATTTAGATCTTTGTCTTCCATCAAACAGTACTGACTTTATCGTCAGTATTAGTGAAAAGATTGCTGAAAAGGAACCAGGTCTAACACTTGAATTTTTAAATGAATGTGTAATGGGCTATGCAAAGTCTGAAGAAGGTCTTAAATACCTTATACTCCTTTACATGATACCGTGGCTATCTAACCTTTCGCTATACTGTGAAAGTTCCGTTAAAGATATGGCAAAGACTAAAGAAATTTTGCGGCAACTGATAGACCTTACTATCAATGGGGAGGTAAGACTTTGTTCTCAAAGCCTACTGAATTTTATATTCTGATGAGCTTTTTTTTTTTTAGATGGCTAAGCTTGTTCAAGCCAAAATATGGAAAACTATTGCAGATGTAGATGATCTCCTTGGGTTAGTCATTGACACTTTCTTACAAGTCTCTAACGAGCACGGTATCGGTTCTCGTCAAGCAGAAGCTCTGGCCGATACGCTCGTCACGCTCTCCAATATCACAATTCGTTCTAAATTAGTCATGCGCTTGCGTAAAGTGTTGTATAGCACATCATTTAAACCAGCGCGTTCCTTAGCGGAGCACTCAGCCTGGCCAGAAATCGCTATTCTCATCCGATTCATCCTGATGCTCTCTTTCAACAACCACGGCCCCATAAAGCGAACAGTACCCGAGCTTTTTCACATTGTCACTCTTGTTGCTGGTACAGGCTCTACCATCATCAGAGCTTCTATTCATGGTATCGTAGTCAATTTGATTCAATCTCTCTGTACCTGTTTACCACTTCCAGCAGTCAATGTTCAAAAACTACAAATGATTTTGACAGAACTATCTGATTCCAAGAGTCGACTGCTGTTTGGATTGAATAGATCTTATGCGAATGCCTTTGCCATAAGCTCTGAAACATTGAATGACACTTTGGAACCCATTTCTTTGTCATCCTTGGAGATTATTGTTGGTAAACTATCAGAAGTGATTAGCACTGCAGCTCCGAATACAGGTATAAAAAGCGATGCGTATACATATGTCGATGTATTGCTTTGTAAATACTCATGTTCCCCCTTATAGATATTGCAAACTGCTGGAGAGCCAGATGGATGAGCTTAGTAGCTAGTACAGCATTTCAATTCAATCCTGCTATACAGCCCCGAGCCTTTGTCGTTCTTGGTTACCTAGGTAGAGAAGAAGTAGATGATGACCTACTCTATCAAATTCTTGTTGCGCTCCGAGGAGCTCTTTCCATCTTTACTGAAACGGATCCTAATCTTGTGACAAGTATTATCATGTGCTTGAAGAACGTCGTTGAAAGTCTCCCAAGTGACTCTGTATATCTACTTCAGCTATTTTGGGTAGCAGTCGCCTTGGTTCAGATCAACTCAGCATCCATTTTCGTTACGGCATTAGAACTGCTTGAAGCAACGTTCAGGTCTCTTGATTCCAACAACTTTTTCTCTGGAAGCAATGTATCTGAAGTCTTATTGGCTGCTCGAGCACCCATATCCGATGTGGCTCTACAGCTGGACAGATACTGTGGCGTTAACTTCAACACACACTTTTCATTTGCAATTGCTGGTATCATCATGAAGGGACTACGTTTCAGTGATGCCAAGGTGGCTATCTACAGCACTCTTTGTACCTTTTTAGATATTGAACGTAAGCAGTATTACAAGAATTTCTTGGGAGAAAAGAGTGTGGTCATCGAGGCTTCTACTTTGGGCTATGTGACAGCGCTGTTGCCTATAGCTGCCAAGAACGACTCTGTAAAGCAAATGATGAAGCTCGTTGGTCTTTCAGAAGTTGAAACTGAACCTAGTGAAAGCACGTATGCAGGCGTATTTGATAAGTTGGATATTCCTGACAATGTTACTGCCTTGCTCGTCATGTCTCTATTGGCCACAATGCTTAATGCTACAGACAGTGAATCAGAAAGGTTGTTTATTTATGGCCTTTTATCAGAAGCCGCTGTTTCTTTACCTGACGTTTTTGCTTTAATGTAAGTTACGGATAGATTTGTGTGCTACAAGTTATGCTTATATGTTAATTATATAGATATGATTCCCTTTTGCCACGAATGAACCAGATAGTTATCAATAGTCAAAATCAACTACTCATTGAATCTGTAAAGTCTATTCTGGTAACTGCATGTTCAAATCCAATTTTTTCACAACCCAAGAACAGAACATCCCAAAGAAGCTTATTAGATCAATTTGGATTTTCAGCTTTAGGTGACACCACTTTTGGAGTGTCAACGTCAAATTGTTTAAGATATGCCAAGCTGGCAAGCGAAATAATGGACAGAATTATTTTCTAGGAGGCAAATACATAGAAAATATAAATATATACACACACAAAAGTACATATCTTCGCACTTTATAGATTCAAACAGCATTCATATAAATATATACATTTTCGTACACGTTACAAGTAATATAAAAGCGCATTATAATTAATAAAGATCTATGTTTAAAGTAACAAAGAAAAAAAAAAAAAAAGAATTCAGTGTCATTGCATAAAAAAAAGGCCGCTGATACTTTTTTTTCTGTCTTTTTTTTTTTTTCATTAAACTAATGTCGACACATCAAACACAGCAAAAACTGTCTGGAAGTCAAGATCTACTAACTTACTATGATTTATTACCTATTTATAATAAAGTGGTTAAACCATATCCACCAGAGAATAGAGCATCTGGCTTAAATCCTACATTATATCCATACATTTCAGATTTGCCTGGTATACATTTATCAACGTACTATTTATAAACTCTAACTAAATAGCAAAAAGGAAAGTTGGAGTTTGAACCAGACGGCTATCTAGTAGGCCTAATACAAGATCCACAAGCAATAGACAATGGACCTGACATCAGACCATTGGATTCAGACGTATTAAGAGATTCATTTTCACTAAGAGAAGGGCCAATACCAGGAGTAAAGAGAATATACATGTTTTTATAAATGTGTGATTGACTTGTATATAGTTTGATGCATCTGTGCTAGGGACAGACGAGCCTACGGGTGAAGAAGATACATCAGAAAAAGTAACAATGGATGATCATGATCCAGAAAGACGGCATAAAAAGAAGAAGAAAAAGAGACATGATCATGAAGATGGACATGGACACGATCATAGCAAAAAGAAAAAGAAGAAAAGAGAAGAGTTTATAGATATTTAATACAAAAACTTTTTTTTATTGCAAGTCTAATGTGTCTATAATGATGATAATGATAATAAAGGGTATCTAGTTTAAACTGCCGCTATTTGACAAAATGGAGCATCAGGTGTATTGGCTACGACGGCATTTCGGCGTCTTAGAGTATAAACAGGCAAATGAATAGTATCACCACTGTCTAAAGTTAAGGTTGCCTTTGTACTCGGGTTTGTTTTTACCCAATGAGCAATACAAGCAGCAGTTAAATATTGTACAGTTTGTTCATCCGAAACAATTGAGAATCGATGGCTATAAGTAAATGATTCTCTATGGTTACTGTTGTTATGGTTGCTATTGATTGTATTCATTATATAAAAAGAAAGAAAAGAAAAGAAAAAGACAAGGTGAGAAATTTTTGAACGTAATTTTCTATTTTATACGGTTTTTCATGAACTACCACATAGTCCGCTTTTGGTAATCTGTGAACCAATCTCTTTGCACATGGATCTATCACGTTGTTTTTTCAAAATTTTATGAAATTTATTTTACTCCTTATTAAGCGATATCCTCACCTCGCCCTTTTATTCATTCTTTCTTTGATGTTTACTCCTTTAAAAGTAAGTAAACTATACTTATTGTTATAGAAACAGAGCCTACACTTTTTTCTTTTTCTTATCTTTATCGTAGCGCGCTAAACGAAATAAGGTTTATAGATATATATCCATAGTAACATGGCTCTAGGCCCTCTCTGCTCGATTGGCTGATATTTTTTTATTCAAAACAATGGCCAGATCACGCCTTTCCCCTTTCTCTCTTTCTTTGAAACTATATTTCTTCAGAGATTATTTTTTGAAAAAGCCCTTGCTAGTCATCTGCTCTTTCAAGAAATTCCCGGCGTTCCCTTCTTCCTCTTCTGATCTGACAAGGGCAAGTGATCTTATGTCAACGCCCATCACACACCTATTTTCATTCCGCGCACGAGTCATCTGGCGCTTCAGAGTGTGTCTGACAGGGTTGGCAAATGTAACAGAATGGCTTTTTCGATTCGCTGTGATTTCATGGCTAGTTGTCTGTATTCGATAAACTTTCAAAACATCCAATTGTTATCAACCGTAATAAGTCCGAGACTAAAATTAACCAGACTAAAGAAAGATACTCTTTATAAGAGTATTTAATTGTAATGCGTTGATATGACAACCTTCACTAGTCTTCATGAGCTTATTTCACGATTGAATGATTTGCTTGATGTATAGCTTAACTGCCAAGTATGAATACAACACTCAATACACAAAAAGAATAAAAATAATTGAAGCGCAAAATGAAAAAGTAACCACTATTCTTTTTTTTTCTAATGCCAAAAAGAACTTCTTCAGGCAGCCATGGCGAAGAGAAGAAGAAAGCCAAAACAGAGTTACCAGAACCGCTCAAAGACTTGAAAAGCAAGTTTGAGCGAGTGAATGTGTTTTATGCTTTTTGTGATGCCAAATTGACGACCTCAATCACTTTACAAACCATGCAGAAATCAATACAAGATCTCACATTACAAGATCTTGCTGCCATCAATGTGATCATTCCAAACTTTGTTCAATTCAACTACATCAATCACGATGTTCTTGAAATACAGTTTGGTAAACCTATTTGCAAAAAGTTTACAGGCAATAATCAGGACTGGTGGTCTAAAGACAACAGTATGCCAGTTGTAAAGCCAAATGTCATAAAAAAACATATAGAGCACCAGAGCAAATTGTTTCAAACAGCTTTAACCACATTCTTAAATCGCTGTCAAGAAGAGGTAACAGATACTTCCCTTTTTTCTCTGTATGTGACGTACAGTCTTTATGTATACATTATATATATTAGGATATTGATCCAAGCGATCATATATTAAAGCAAGTTGAGAATACCATGCCTATCTATATTCCACTTGATAATGATGACAATTGGCTTGACCCTATTGAGCCCAACGTTGGTTCAGTCGCTCATGCTTTGAATGGGTTAAGGTCATGGCCATTTTATGATGGTCAACTTGAGAAATCAGATAATCAAAAGACCTTTTCTGCAAAATTACCTGTATTTGGTGACCTTGACTTATCAAACGAAATAAAGGACGCTCTGTGTAAAAAGGGTATTCAATCATTATATTTACACCAAACCGAAGCAATTCAAGGTTTACGCGATGGCAAGCATGTTATCGTCTCTACTTCCACAGCAAGGTAATTATTATTTAAAATGTTTCCCCTTTTGCTGAGTCATAGATATTAGTGGCAAGTCCTTGATCTATCAGATACCTGTCCTAGAAAGGCTATTAAAGGATCCATCGAAAAAGGCTTTATTCATATTTCCAACCAAGGCATTAGCCCAAGACCAAAAACGCTCTCTGCAAGACATGTTGAGCTGCATACCCTCCTTACAAGACATTATGGTATACCTTCATTCTCTCTTCAACGCAAAAAAAAGGCATGCTAAATATGTGTTTATACATAGATTTCAACTTTTGATGGCGACACACCTCATGATCAGCGTGCATATATAAGAGATAATGCTAGCGTTATATTCACAAACCCTGATATGCTACATCATGCCATTTTACCAAACAATAACCGATGGAAGACGTTTCTCTTGTCTTTAAAATATATTGTCGTTGATGGTAAGTTGACCGTATATTCCTTTGGGCTTTATTAATTTGGGCTTTTTGTAGAACTACATGTCTATAATGGGCTCTTTGGGTCCCATATTGCCTTTATTATGCGCAGATTGCGTAGATTGTGTGACTCTTTTGGAAACGTGGATTATCAGTTCATTTCATGTAGCGCAACCATCGCTGACCCCGAGACAGTAAGGGTCTCTCATTTTATTCAACACCCCACTAATATGTGTGTATGTATTCTATAGCATATGACTACACTATTTGGTGTAAATAATGTCAAACTGGTGAATCAAGATGGCGCACCCCATGGACAAAAAGTATAAGCATTTTTTTATGCATTAAAAAGATATCTAATTTTTTTTTTCTTTATTTAGGAATTCATTATCTGGAACCCTTCTCTGACGAACCCACATGATCCCAAATCGGAACGAAGAGGTGCTGTAGCCGAAGGCGCCCTGCTTTTGGAATACCTCTTGGAAAATAACGTGCGAGTTATTACATTTTGTAAGACGCGTAAATCATGTGAACTTTTGATGAAGCATGTACGCGAGAGCTTAGAAAAGAAACAAAAGAGACATGTACTGCAGAAAGTAATGTCTTATCGAGGAGGATATACGTCCGGCGAGAGACGAAGGATTGAAGAAAAGTTGTTCAATGGTGGGCTATTGGCAGTGGTTGCAACGAACGCTCTAGAATTGGGTGTTGATATTGGCAGTTTAGGTAAGCGTAAATAATTTAATACGATACTTGCCGCTGATGTATAAAACGCGCAATGACAGATGCTGTACTTATAGTTGGCGTACCTTGGTCAATATCTGCGATGGTAAGCTTTCTTTTTCTTTTAAAAAGCATAAGTTTCATTGCTTGCATATAGTGGCAGCAATCTGGTAGATCTGGTAGGAGGAGTACGGATTCTCTCTCTTTTGTTATAACAGACAGGCATCCTTTGGATCAGTATTATGCAGTAAGCAAGAAACAGGACAGAAAAAAAAGTTCTTTAACAGATTCTGTTTGTTAGACTCATCCTTTAGAACTTTTTAATAAACAACCAGATGCCTTGGCCCTTGAATTAGAAAGCTCCATTGCTTTAGAAAGTCACCTGCAATGTGCTGCAGAAGAGCTGCCTATCCGCTTGCCAGATGATGAGACGTACTTTGGCACAGATATCAAGGAAACATGTAATAAATACCTTAAACCAATTGGTGAAGGAGTAAGATATAAAATGATCTTGTGTTTCTTTTTCCATTCTTATGCTATCCTGTAGATCTATAGGCCTGATCCTCGTTTTAGACCCTATCCTTCTCAGTATGTCAGTATCCGTAATGCAAGCGAAGATACTTTTGTTGTGATTGATGTGACAGATAACAGATATGCGATTTTGGAAGAAATTGAAGTTTATCGTGCAGGGTTTGAGATATATGAAGGTGCAATCTTTATTCATCAAGGAAGAACTTTCTTAGTTGAGGAGTGTAATATTGATCAAAGATATGCCAAGGTGCACTTTGTGAGAGTGGACTGGACGACGACTCAACGAGATTATACAGATGTAGACGCTATAAGGACAGAGAGTAGCCGACATATAGAAAAAACAAATAATTTTATATCCTATGGTGAAGTTAAAGGTATATGCAAATCAAAAAATGACGATATGCTGATTTTATATATATAGTATCTACAACTGTATTTGGTTATTATAGAATTGACAAGAGAAACCGTATCATAGATTCACATGACGTCTACATGGACCCTATCATCACACACTCGAACGGTGTATGGACAGATGCCCCTGCAGCAGCCATTGATCAACTAAGGAAACTTGATATAGATCCAATGGCCGCAGTTCATGCTGCATGTAAGGGCTTAATCGCATCACTCAGCACATGATTTTAAATTTTATTTTTAGCGCATTGCCTGATATCAGTATTACCTCGTTATACCTCGTTTGCTGCTGGGAATATTCGAACTGAATGTAAAAACCCCCATGCGACAAGGCCCAGACCAATAAGGTAAAAAGAATAAAAGACAACCATTGTGTGTGTCTTATCTTATTATGAATACAGGTTATCTATCTATGAAGCAGAGCCATGTGGCATTATGAGACAAGTATATAAATTCTTTGACCAAATCCTGCAAGCATGTCTACAGCAGATCGATACATGCCCATGCGAAGAAGGATGCGCGTCTTGTAAGTTACATAGAACCAATTTTCCAAGGGTTTTTTTTTTTTGTTGTTGTTGTTTATTTTATTCTTTTTAGGTGTACATTTGCTTAATTGCTCAGAACATAATCAAGTCATATCCAAACAAGGTGCTTTAATCCTTCTGCGTATTTTGAAAGGTTGATATACTATGGATTATGATAGCATCTAATAGAATGATTCTACATGTAAAAAAAGATTAAACCCCTCTTGATATTAATGCCACTTCCAGTACTTGTTTCACTTTTTTTTTTTGATGATGATAGAATTACGCGTAATGATAAACTCACCTCCTGAATATCAGTTTTATTCAATAGATTTAATCTTGATATAAACTTTCAATTTCTATAGACCCCATGATTCTTTTATTTCTTGCAAACAGCAAAGAGAGAGAAGCATATCAAAGAGTGTAAAAAAAAGAAAATAGACAGTATAACAAAACTCCTTTCCTATCCTGTGAATATTCGTTTGAAACAGGCTCAACAAGCGTTTCATATTTTTTTTTCTATTAAACAATGCTGTGTAGGGGTTTGCAGTCGAATATATATAAAAGGCTACAAACACTCAACTTTGTTCAAAACATTGATCATTAATTTTTTATCTCCAACTATGGATTCTAATACTGCCCAACCACACATTGTCCAAGACTTCTTACCAGTAAACGTCTTTTTGGCTGACTGGCATGTTCGCGTAACATGGATTGCTTTCACCACTCTCTGGGTTCTCTGGGGCTTCGCTTGGTTTATTCGTAATGCCTTTGGTGGTGATGGCTCACACGTCATTCAACCTGCTGGTCGCACTACTACTAATGCTAATACTGCTACTACTGCTAACGCTGTGGACCCTACTGCTCCACCCTCCACTGATCCAGAGGCTGGTGCTGCAACCAATACGACTGCAGCTCAGAACCAAAAGAAATTCCTTGCTGCTCCTGCTTGGTCCGTGGGCGTGTTTAACCGTCTGAACCGTGCTCACGATATGCTTCGTGACCTTGTTCTTATGCTCTTATCTGTTCTTACCATCAACACCTTTGCTCATGGCTCTACCAGAGCAGTAATGATCCTTGCCTGGATCTTCTTTGCATTTGCTGTTGTCTATTTCTTTGTTGAAGCCTCTTATGAGCATCGCTACCTTCGATTGCTCTATTCTTTGACATTCTATGGTATTTCTCTGGCAATCATCGGTTGTGCTTGGCACCAAGGTTTCTACTCTTATTATTAATTTAATTAATGCAGCAATTCTTTTTACACACTTAATAAATCTTAATTTTTAATCTTTTTTTTTTTTCTTTTTTTCTTAATGTCAAACTGGACCATCAACTACTCTTCGCTTGCTAATAATAATTCAAGGTTTGCTTGTTTTACTTTTGTTTGAAACACATTGTTCATGTTTGTTTAGTAAGCTGCCCAGTCCTCGCGGCTTTAAACCTTCCACATCTCAAAAGCATTCAAGATCAGAAAAGGCAGCTCCTGTTCTTGATAGACACGGTCAAGCAGAATTAAAAATGAAAAGAGCTTGGGATGTAGCATTAGCACCAGCCAAGTCTATACCCATGAGTTTATTCATGATGTACATGTCAGGAAATAGTCTACAAATCTTTTCAGTGGTCATCACTGCAACTATGCTCTTTATTCAACCTATCAAAGCAATCATGTCTGTTCAAGAAAGTAAATATTTCCTTTTAATGTCTCCCTTTTTCAAACTAAACCTTTTTTCCTATTGTCAGCCTTTAGTCGATTCGAGTCAAAAGAGTCAGACTTGACTCTACCCAAGCTCTCCTTCATTGGTCTTCAAGTCATCGTTCTCCTACTTGGTATCTACAGAGTCAATTCGATGGGTTTATTGCCAAATACTGCTTCAGATTGGTTATCGTTTATTAAACCAAAGGAAATACTCGAATTTGCAGCATAATAAAAAGAACAAGGGAAGCTTTATTTTTATAAAGAAAAAAAAAACGTTATGTACAAGATGGATTTAAATAGACCTTAACATGACTTCCTCTTTTATTTTATTTTTCTTTTTTCCTTCTTCATGAGGATGCTTCTGTAGCAGCAGGATTTGGTGTATTATTAGGAGTATTCGGTGTAGTGTTGGTTTCACTTTTTGGTTCAGTAGACCAAGCAAGTTGGAGTTTGCCCTTTGTAAAATTGGGCCCAAATGACATTGCTTTCTCGGCTACAAATCTCTGTGCATATTGAACAACTAATTCAGACTCTTTCTTTTCAAACAAGGTAACTGCACCATATTGCTATGATAAACATTTGTATCAGATGTTTGAAATCATACACAATAATAACTTACTTCAAAATGTTGACGCAATTCTTCCTCAGTAGCATCTTGAGGGATATCTTTAACTATGATCTTTGTAGGTCGATTATCTAGTGTCATTCTAGAAAAACCACCTCTTGCACGGGGCCAACTGCCTCGACCTCTACCATAAAAGCCGCCACGGCCAGGATAAGCTTGGCTGGTATTGACACCTAGCATAGCAGCCTTTTTTACATGTATGAGTATAGATACACTTCAATATTCACTATTATTATTACCTCTGCTTCTAATAGCTCGAGTTTTTTCTTGAGTTCCGCTGATGTAGCATCCTTTCCATCTGTTGTCGTTGTTGTCGTTGTCGCTTCGACTGGGGCAGTAGCAGTGCTAGCAGATATCGGTTTTTGACTATCTTCAATGGCAGATTGAACACTCTTGAGCTGTTTCAGAATCTCGGCTTTTTCCTCTATACTCATGTTGGGGTTGCCAGATAACTTTTCCAGCAATCGTTTCTGTTCTGCAATTTGCTGTTCCAACTGCTGTTCTCTCTTCTTTTGAAGCTCTAAAATAGCCTTCATATGTTCTTGGTGCTTCTTTTGTTTTTCTTCTCTTATTTTTGCAAGTTCTGCAGCACGAGCAGCAACAACCTCTGGGTCAGGCTCACTTGTCTTTGGCTTCTGTAGCTGTGGCTCCTTGACAGCTGTAGGAGCATTGGTACCAGCTGCAGGGACACTTTCTTCCTTATTCCAATAAACCTTGACAAATCGATTATCAAAAACAGCATCAGGACAAGTATATGCTCTCTCTGCTTCAGCTCGAGTACTATACTGGATGATTGCTTTCTGAGCATGAGGTTGTACGCTAATATTAGTAATGGTACCAAATTTTGAGAAGAACTCATTAACAGTAGCAATCTGACAAAATTCTGGTGGAATCTTTTCGACTGTCAAGGTTGTATTCGTAGGGTTCACGTTCTGGTGACGATAACCTCCACGTCCGCCACGTCCGCCACGGCTACCACCTCTACGATGTCCAAGACCAGGTACCATATTGTTGGTTGGCAGCAAAGAGGCCCGTTCTGGATCATACGCGTCATTCGCACTACCAACGAATTGCTGATTGGGTATGCCTCGGTTGGCAGGTACAGGAGCTCCACTAGGAAGGTTAGGCATATAGTTAGTCTTGGCCGCGTCCTCCACGATAATTCGATCTCTGCCGTGATCATAAGGACACATATCACCCTTCATGCAGTATCCTTTTTCTAAAGCAAAAGACGTCAATTCAAATGCTCGTATTTCAACAAACTGTATAAGTGTCTCTTACCAATATAGTCGCGACACATCGGAGGTTTTGACATGGGTCGATTAGATCCAATGTTTCCACGGCTACCGCCTCGACCTCTTCCTCTGTCATAGGATGAATAGTTACCAGATGGTATATTATAAGGATTTCTCCTATCATCACTGTTATTGCTACGGAAATATTTGGCAGAAGGCTGTGCGTTGTCATCGGGATAACGACGTTTCATCTGTTCAGGCATGTCCGTTCTGTCTCGAGATTCAGATCGTTGGCGTCTATGCTTGAAGTTACGGTCACCATCGTCGTCTTCCTCGTCAGAATAAGCGTTGAAACGATCGGAGCTTTCTTTGGATGGCTTACTGTTGCTATCAATATCATTAAATTTTTTAAATAAACGGTCAATGAAAGGTGTCGTTTCTACGAATGTTTGTTAATGAATATAAAGAGAAAAAAAGTTTAACTTACGATCATCAAAGAATTCCTTGAGTTTGTCTTCCAAGGAAGCTCTTAGAGCATCGTTTCGTTCACCATTGCCAATGAGTGCAATGATATACTGAGCCAGCACTTTAGGATCAGCATCACAGCTAATATACACGTTAGTATCTACAAGCTTTTTATTTCTCCCTAGTTTAAATTTACAGTGAAGCAACTTCATTACAAACAAATTCTTCTAAATCTTCAGCACTCGTAGACATTGTTGCGTGAAACTTGTAAAAAGAAAAAAAAAGGCAACTGTATACTGTAGAATATGTTGCTTTAAAAAAAAATAGTAATACGTCACCGTGACTTGCGTTGACACAAGAGAGAACTGGGACACAGAGCAAGACACATTTCTTTACATTCAAACATGTCATTTAATATAAAAAGTTCATTTGTCTCTCGTGCTATTGTACAAGCTAATACAGAGCAAGCATTAGAATCAGATAAGAAGACTTCAGAAGGTATAATTTATAGAGAGTCCTTTCTCTCTTTCTCTCTCTCGCGCGCGAATTTATCTAAAATTATCCTCCCAAAAAAGTTAAAGCACAAGATTATGATCCAAGAACACTATACGAGCGTCTTCAAGAACAAAGGATGCTACGCGAAGAACAGTTTGCAGAAGAATCTCGCTTATCAAACCATATCAAACGCATCGATGAAGAGGAGGCAGAATACTTTAAGACATTATCTGAAGAAAAAAGGAAAAAGGAAGAAGAGAGAAAACGCAATGAACAATTAGAACTGGAAAAGTTTCGTCAAGAAGTTGAAAGCGCAAGGAATTCGACAACTACAACTACTATGACTACTACCACAGCAGCAACAGCAACAACAACAACAAAGACAACTACAGCTACAACGTCCGTGGGACAAAAACGACCACTTCAAAAGAAAAATAAATACAAGGACCTTGTAGTGATAAAGAAACGAGGTAGGGAAGACGAAGAAGAAAACAAAGAAAAAGAAGAAGAGAAGAAAGAGGTGAAAAAGGAGGATAGTCCAGCGACGAAACGAACCAAGACAAGTGGTAATGGGTCCCTTTCTTTACTGTCAGCCTACAGTGATGATGAAGAGGATGATTAGATATGCTTTTGATCCGTAACTGCAAAAATGAGAAGAGACATGTAAAGCAAACAAACTGTTTTTATATGATTTTCTTATATATATTCTTTATATTCCCCTTTGGAGCCTTACATGTATATGTTAATTGATATGAATTATGCATAAATTTAGGGAAAAGAATAGCAATGAGAAAAGAGCAAGAAAGACAAAAAATATAAAAAAATAAAGCACAGCTATTAAACACATAAGCAAAGAAAGGATCTCCCTTTATTTCTTTCTTTTTGACTTTTTCTTTGTCACATATCATCTGTTACTTCGAGTTTAACACAATACTTGATCATGACGCAAGTGTTTTCCTGCTACTACTATTATTTTACCCCAGCATAGTTGTTATTCAAATAGAATCCATCTATGACGAAGCTTCAAAGTGATGTACACTCTCATTGTTTTTTGGAGAAAGGAATGAGATTGGAAATAGCAGAAAATCAATATTAACAACTTTTTTTATTTTCACTTAAATATGGGTGCATTTGTTATTGAACGAGCTATGCATTCTTGTATTAAAAGGTCTTCTTAATATCATGTAACGATATTTTAAAGAAAAAGTCAAGTAAAAAAAGCAAAGAAAGACAGCCTTGGAGTGTATGTTATATCTGTATATCTTGAATAAAAATAAAAAAAAGGCAAAAAATGAGATTAAATATGTGATTTATTTTCTGATTTTAAGGAGACAGGAGGCTCAACCAAAAGGGAAATTAAGTGTCCCCTTTGCCCCCCTACTTCTTCTTCTTTGTGTATCTCTTTTAAGGACAGAAGATATACATGCATAAACAACAGGGACAAAAAGATTATATTGTTTTATGTTTTGAAACATATTATTTTTTAAATTTCGATCAAATGGAGGACCTTGAAGAATGCTTTTTTCTCGGTCCCTTAATATATTGTAACTGTCAGTCGGCTTTCTTGCAATCCACTACTTTCTCCCATTTCTCCCGTCTTTTTCTCTCTTCTTCTTCTTCTTCTTTATTGACCCGCTAATAATTACTATTGTATTATATATTTTTTCTTTTTCATGGACTCTCCTTTGATCTACTCCCAATTGATAAATCTCGAAGACTCCGAAGCAGAAAGTTCCGATGAATTGTCAAGCAAATTTATAGCAAAAGACGATGACGTTGATGATCCCACAGCCATCTATGATACTCTAGATTCATATAATAAACTTTACTTAAACTGTCTTCAACCCTACGAGTATAATAACCATCCTTTTGATAAACCTATTCTTAAAGACGCGATCATTTGCGATGCTCCTCTAGGAATTGCCTATGACGATTCTTTACAACAAACCATAGATCAGCAAAAGGAATCTTACAGCTGGATATACAATGATCCTACAGATAATATCGTAAAATCACCTGGTAATTCTCGAGCCTACGTTAATCTCAATGTAAGATATCTAGGAAGTTTTTTTTGTGTGTGGTCGATTATGTGTATGTGTATGTGTATGTAACACGCCCCTGTAGGACATTAACTCGTTTGTGGCAAAGAGAGACTCCATTCACCATTCGACACTGTTTCCTTACAGTGAAGATCCATATGGCTATCTAGACAACTATATGCCTCCGACTGTATTCGAAGATAGTGATCTGGAAGATGAGGAAGACGAGGACGAAGATGATGAAGATGAAGAGGAGGATGGCGGCGGCGAAGGTGATGACGAAGGAGGCAATGATGATGATATATTCTCTGAAGACGAATGGCCCTTCTATAACGTAACAGCTTCAGCAAGCACGTTCCATTCGGACAATCAAGCAAAACTCACCATCAAGATCAAAAAGCCCTTTTCGACCACTGCGATCAATAGCACTCTCTTTGATGACTGGACCTTGCCTAATGGTCAAACAACAATGGCTGCGAATATAGCAAATATAGCAACCGCAGCAGCAGCAGCTGCTGCATCCGCGTCGTCATCATCATCGACAACAACAACATCTCTTGCTAACGCTCACAAATATCGCAAGTCAATGCCAAATATCCAAGCAGCTACCTCGAAAAAGTCAAAACCAAAGACAGGTCGACGAAAAAGTACACCTTTTCGTTTACCTGAAAAGAGTAAAAGCTCCAATAGTCTCTGTCTCATGACAGCTTCCTCTTCTTTATCATCACTTTCAAGTAACCTCAAAAGGTCTATGAAAGTATCAGATAGCCTGAGCTCTTTACTAACTCTCGAAAGCGATTTGGCCGATACAGAGCATGAAGACCTTACCGCACAAGAAACTGAAGAGGACAAACAGCTGCTGTTAAAGCAAAAAGCCAAGGCGCTCACTTTAGGTGTACAAATAAAAAAGGGGAAAAACGTAGATAAAGCTTGTAATCATTGTAAGAGATCTCATCTACGCTGTGATGACATGAGACCTTGTCGTCGGTGTATTGCTACTGGTAAGGTTGGTTGTAAAGATGTACAACATAAGCCTCGTGGTCGACCAAAGCTTATAAAGAATCAATAATAAATATAATTGTGTATCCTTTTTTTAAATGTCTGCTCTACGAAACAATAGCAAGTGTATCTAACAAAAGCTATTATGTACTTGGTGTTAAAGAATGTCTATTAACTATTTACAAGAGAAACATTCGATGTCCTTTTTCTGCAAATGGATACAGACTTTGATCTCATGATTGTACAAGCCTTTCTTCTTTTATACAACAGCTTAAACATTATCAAGATAAGTAAAATATGATTGGATAATAGTTAGATATTGGTAATGTAAACAACAACTTGGAAATCCTTTGGTAGAAGAAGGTACAATGCTGGATACAATGTCAAATGGAAAAAGAGTACTAATGCAGAGGACATCATCATATGACTATCTGTTTTTGGTATAATGAAACAACAATAATTTTATGTGGCTTATTTTATAGTGTGTGGACTCTTATTTACGCGCATGCGCGTCTATGCAAATGTACGCGTGCTGTAGATCAAAAAGGACGATTTAAGCCACCTGCGAAGAAGACGAATATATGCCAAAGTTTTTCTTTTTTCTTTTTTTCTTTTTCTCTATTCAATAAAAAATAGCATGGCACCTTTGACTGATAACCAAAAGATCCGCAAGCAGGTCAACTTTTACTTTTCAGACTCTAACCTTCCTTATGACAAATACCTCTGGACTCTTCACGCAAATGCAGAGAACCACTGTAAGTGATTGGTTTTCAACAAAAATAAATAAATCGTATTGACGCGTATATAATCTATAGGGATTCCCTTGTCCATCATTGCAGGCTTCAAAAAGGTCAAAATGATCACTGAAGATGAACAAGCTGTCTTGGATGCTCTCAAGGAAGAAGAAAGCGACATTTATGAGCTTGACGTTGAAAACAAAAATATCAGAAGAAAGGGTGAAGTCGTCAAACAGGACCATGTCTCTCGTTCTATCCACGTCAAGGGTTTACCTTTGGTTGATGAAGGCGCAGAAAAGCCAGTTGATGCTTTGATTGAACTTCAAGACAAAATGGAAGATTTCTTTAATGAAAAGGCTAAAGTACTTGCTATTCGTTTAAAGAAGCACGATGACACCAAGAAGTTCAAGGGATCTGCTTACATTGAATTCGAAAACCCTGAAGCTGCAAAGAAGGTTGCTGAATTGAAGGAAGTTCAATTTGATGGTCATAATCTTGCTATATTATATAGACCTGAATATCATAAATTAAAAGAAGAAGAATATAAAGGTCAGCCCATGAGGAGAAAGAAGAAGAACTTCAACGCATTCAGACAACAACCTGAAAGAACAAATAAGAGAAAGCGTAATGATCCCAAGTCAAGACAAAACAAGAGAACAAAGAAGGAAAACGAGACATCAAAGGCTGAAGAGGCTGAAGGTGAAGAAATTAAGGCTGAGGAGAAAGTAGTAGAAGAAGAGAAGAAGGAGGAAAAGACTGAATAGAAGATCATTTGTATCATAATCATTTAATAAAACTAAAAATATTATCCCTTTCTATTGTTGAGGAAATGTAACGAGCCATCGCTGTAAGATTCTCTGAACGACAGCACCTCCACTTGGGTCTAACTTTTCTAGAAAGCGTACAGTTATTGGTTGTTGGCTGTCAATCATGAGCATAGTTCCAAAGGCATTAATAGCCTTAGGTTCAGCTGACGCTATATTCATCTTTAGAATTTCTCGCGTATTCTGAGCATCTCCTTCTTTTATAATTTCAAACGATGAATTGACCAATTCTCTTTTATCGATCTGTATCGTGGTCTGCTCATATCCATCTTTACATAGTCTGATAGAGAAAAAGATGTCCAGGAGTGTGATGCCACAATTGGGATGAGAAAACGTTAGGGCTCCTCCAAAATCAATGGATAACGTTGGCAAAGGAATACCACCTGCACTATACAGAGAAAAAGGTTGAGTTGTAGGAGCAGGAATACTTGCTTGCTGCTGCTGTTGTTGTTGTTGTCCTGGTGCTATCGGTATCATTGACGGTGGTGTCGTGTTGGTGGTGTTTGTAGGTGTTGGAGGAAGTGATATATGGCCTGAACTATTGGACGCACATAATGAAGCTTGATCGTTGGTGGGAGAAGCGTCCTTTTTGAATTTGTTTTGTCGCTGTTGAACCAACTGTGCTGCAAAATAAGCACCTCTTGTTCCATCTGAACATGACGCATCAGTTACTGTTCGTTCGAGTTTTCTTTGTAGCTTTTTGTTATCTTTTTCCAACTTTTCCATCTCAAGTGCTTCAGCTGCTTTCTCTCGTTGCTTTCTTTCCCACAGCAGCTTTCTTTCTTCCCTCAGGCTGATCACAGGCGCACCTTCCAAGATTTCACCTCGTTTCCACTGAATGCCACAGCTGTTACAAAGCGTACCATGACCTCCAGGGCCAGGTCTCCACATGGATGTATATTTAGTACCACAGTATGTACACCGTAACATACTTTCGTCTCTTATACCAGGCATTTTTGTCTTGGGCACTATAGATAGTATAAGCACTGTACTATACATCCATTATTACTTACACTCAGCCTCAAACTTTTCATCTCGCTCTCGTTTGCCGAGCTTTATAGCATTCAAGATTTCATTTCTCTTTTTTTCTGCCATGATGGGTCCAGTTATGATATCAGGCACTGTCTGTATCCTCATCAAGAGATTCTTAATCTCTTGTGCCTTATTGTTGTCGAATTGAATGTATCTCTTTTGTGGGAACAGGCTTACTTTTAGACTTAGTCTCTTCTTTACGTCTTTTGGATCTTGAACCACACGTTTCACCGCTTCTACGATCTCTGGGTTCACGTTTGATAATAGAATGTTGGCTGGTTCGTACTGTTCAAATGGTAATTCTATCTTTTGTTTTTCTGTTGTCGTCGCTAGGATATGGTTAACATACTCCACATCATACTTGTGCCCATGTTTTAGTATTTTGTCTTTTGGTGTATCAAAAAAACCGTCTGCCATATCTGGATCTAAAGGTAATGCAAACGATACCCTCACCTTAAAGATGTTTAATGCATGTTTTAACAGCACGTATCAATGAAAACTTACTTCGAGTGGGTCATTGCATACGGAGATCAGTGCTTCCTTTGGAAACACATAACGTTCACTTGGTACTTCTTTCAGTTCAAACACGACATCAGTCCATTGAAGCTGTAGTGGTTCTTGCTGATGGTTGCCATTTATATTCCCTTCAATGTTGTCATTACCACTACTACTACTACTGCTATTATTTTGTTGATCGCTACTTGCTATGTCTATTTCATTAGGTTGTTCATTAGTTGATTCTTCAGGATCGTCTCTTTTTACTGAAACGCCTTGATGGGCTTCAATAATCCTCGACCATGATTCTGACCGAGTTGCTTCATAAAAGCTTGTATCTTGAAATAAGTGTGGGCCTAAATGAAGTGTACACGATCCCAAGTATTTCATGTTTGGCCACTTTCTTCGAGTGGCTGGAGCTCTTCTTGGTTGCTGTTCTCCATCTGGTTTATATTTTACAAAGATTGATGTTGCCCAATTGAGACGTGACTGTAACAAAGATAAATAAAGAGCACCACTAAAGACGATAAGGTAGGAGGCGATTAACATGATTATGATATTGTAACCCTGTCATAGTTACTTGTTACATTCTTTTGTCTTTTCTGGTTTATTTTCTGTTGGTATTTCAAATTTCTTTAACGAGACTTCGACTCTCTTTTTGGCGGCAATAAGCGCAGAACTTGACATGAAGAAATAAAAAGAGAGAGAAAAACAAATTAAAATGCCGCACTGAATACATCTTCTGCTATTTACGAGCACCCTCCATTTTCAGTTGTGATATAGGACCAAGCTCAACAAGAGATAGATTGGTAATTTATATTGTAGAACGGGCATGGACAGTAAAACCACAGCTTCTTGATCAAGTATAGCATCGCCTTCCGCGTGTATAATCTCGAGTTTTTATTAAAAATATCCGGTAAAATTTATACTTACTCCAGTAATCAAAAAGAAGAAGTTCTGTATAGCTCAAGGCACCATATTATGCACCTCATTGTCCGAAAGAAACACATTGGTTAGTGCAAATTGTTTTATATCCATTTGCTGTCATTACAGAAACTGAAGTAATGTGACTGTTTCATCGTGAAAGGATGGTGTGTACTTAGGGATCAGATTGAGAAAGTGGGGGTGCAACACTAGAGCAGTAGGAGCCAACAGAGAGCCGGGAGTGGGTAATTGAAGCATTCTGCTCAAGGTACTATTGGATCTCTCTCTCTTTATCATCTGAACGGAAGGACAATATGGTTTGCAGAGTAAGCGATCATGTTTAGATGGATGGATAAATGGAAATAGATATGCGCACATAACTGAAGGATGGATGGATGGATAAAAATGATTTATGAATTGGGGGATATTGGAATGACATGCATACAGTCTAATGGATTAACCTTTTCCTCTCAGCAATGTGTGCGCGTGTGCATTGTCCATTTATTCATCTCTTAATCGACCATTACTAATTTTCATTTGCTTTTCTTTTTTGCGGATTTAGTTGAAAGAATATCAGGTAAGAAAGAAGAAGAAAAAGAATAAACAAAAAGCTAATGCATATCAAAGGTTGTTGGACGTAAACTCCCTTCTGAGCAAGAACCTGCTCCTAAGCTCTACCGTATGAGAATCTTTGCTCCTAACGAAGTTGTTGCCAAGTCTCGTTTCTGGTACTTCTTGAAGAAGCTTCGTAAGGTCAAGAAGGCCGCTGGTGAAATTGTTGCCTTGAACCAAGTAAGTTTTTTTTGGGAGAAAAGGCAGATCATAGCAGAATGATGCTTATGCCAATGATTAGATTCACGAAAAGCGCCCTGAACAAATCAAGAACTTTGGTATCTGGATTCGTTACGATTCTCGTTCTGGCACCCACAACATGTACAAGGAATACCGTGCTATGAGCCGCGTTGAAGCCGTTGATACTTGCTGTAAGTTATAGATGACGTTAGATGTTGAAATGATGCTAACAGTTTAAATTATAGATCAAGATATGGCTGCTCGCCACCGTGCTCGTTTCAGATCCGTTCAAATCATTCGTGTTGCTGAAGTCAAGGATGCTGATGTCCGTCGTCAATACATCAAGCAACTCTTGGCTCCCAAGCTTTCTTTCCCCTTGCCTCACCGTATTGTCAAGGCCGACAAGAAGCACCGTGCTCTCTTCATCGCCAAGAGACCCACCACTTTCTACTAAACTGTATATTCCTTTTTATTTCTTTCGCTTTGTATAAAATAAAGTGAAAAGAACATAATTCGTTGTGTGTTGCGGTCTTGCAGACATGTGAGTTTCTATTTCTGACTTGGATGAACCATTCATCCCAACATTGTTTCGGATCTTCTCAAGCTTGATTCGGTTCAGGGAGATTATTATGCAACTGGCCAGGGCTGCATAAACCATCTGTCATGATGAAGGCGTAAGTAAGCTGATAAAAGACGTCGGTTTATTGTTTTCTCTTTCTTCTTATAGTTGATCACATTCTCTTTCCCCATGCGAAAACGATTGCATTCTTTATCATCGAGCGAATCAAGTACATCTTCTATCTGGAATCGTGTGAGACAACTATTTCACTTTTACTCTACTGAACCATCACTTTCTTCTTCTACGACTACGCATTCCGAAACCGATAGTGGATATTGGGTGAATGACTATTTACCGGACAGAAAGGCAAAGCGTCTATGTTGCCGCCGTTACCGTCGTCATTCTGGCAGCAGAGAGCAAGATGAACAACAGACACCAGCTGTATCATTTCATCTTCCGCCGTTCAGTCCTACTTACGCAAGAACAGATGCATTCCCCTACTCTAATTTCTATTACAGATTGCCTAACGGTAAATGGATGATACGTTATAGATCGGGCACGAGAGATATACTAGGAACAGACGAAATTGAAGGTTATATGATATGATTCACACATTTGTATATATTTATATATATATATTTATTATTATTCATGTTGTAAATAATGCATTTAAATACGGGTAAAATCTCGGACAATTCATATTGTAATAAATCAAAGAACCATGTCATGCTTATGATGTATATAATCACACCCTGGCTTACCACAAAAAACAAAGAGATGACGTTGAAGAGATCGAGATTGTAGATACAGATCCTAAACTGTTGAGAAAAGGCTTGTTCAGTTAGCACGATATCAGGTTCCTGGGGCTTGAGATCTTATAGCGCTATCCATAACAAGATAATACCCTTTCACATGTGGATACCAAGCCAGCTTCTATGTAAGGCTTTTAGAAAGCTAAAGTAATTACTAGCTACTGTCCTTGTGCTCGTTAGTTCAACATAATCTTGCTTTCTCTTCTTGACTGGCAGCTGTGGCAATCTCAGGCTACATTTTATTAAACCTGACACAGACATTGAGCCTAAAATTATTGTTATTTGTGCTCGGACTCTGGGCACTGTGACCACAGCAGGCAATCCTTTCTTTGACCCAGGCCATATTGCGTTTCAAATTAATATGAATGCAGACTCATCGAGAAAGACGCAGTTAGTTCTAAAGACCATGTCCGTACGCTCCCACTTATGAATCCAGTCGAAGCGTTCTTGAATTTCATCTTCATTGTTCTTATCTACTAGGCTGAAATTGAGCCTTTTTGAGTGGCACAATTACATTCTGTTCTTACAAAATTGTAGACAGTACTTTTAGAGACCTTAAGATCTTGAAATTTTTGAACGAGTCGCTCCATTACTTGTTCCAAGACGGCAGAAGGGTTCTCATCTATGCACTCCAAAGTCATTTGCTTGTGTTCTTCATGAAGTGCATGCGAGCGGTCGGCTTTCTTACACTTGGTAAAAGCACCATAAGCATCCGTTTTGTACATTTGAGCCATTTTTTATCTGTGCGAACATGAATATCCAATTGCTTTGCAGCAGCTGAAGCACTCAAAAAAACAATTTAAAGAATCTAATTTTATCTCGATCTTTATAGAGTGTATATGCTCACTTAGTCGATAACTCCTTCATGCGAGCATCTCCATCATCTTTTGCATTTCCATCTTGCATAGGGACTTATTCAAAATTATTCTCCTTAGGCTGGTTATACAAATACGGAGTGTGCGAACTAACTGTTTCTAGAGCATATCGCTCCTCATCAGTAATGTAGTCTATAGGCCCAGGTCTACCGTATTTATCAACTTGCATTATCATATGTCCGTCTTTATAGAAAATTTGAAAGCTCATTTTGTGATACTCGGTTTTTAATAAGAAAGAGAGTCAGAGAAACAAGAGAATGGACAGTGCTTTCATGCTTGATATACTTATATTCTGTATGGTAATGGTTAATGTGACATCAGTATTTAACAAGTGCGACTTTTACTCTTCGCAACAGCGTCATTAATTCTAGGAAATACCGCTAATTCAGCCGAGCGCATATACCATTCTAGTTGGTATATCTGCATTATTATTACTACTATTATTTTGGTTTCACATTGGATTCCGAACAGATCATGATCTGCTTCTGAGAAAGATTGCTCTTGTTACAGGCCTTGTGTACCTGGTTATTCAGCCAATCATTTCAACTCATATGGTAAAAAGGAAAGACCTGGTTGGCGATCATAGCATGAAAATTCCTATTGTGTTTATTTAGGTCAGCTTACAAAAAGTGTGTGTGTATGTACGCGCGTTTATAGCCTGTGCGTTGTATATTTAGAAAAGGTATAAATGTTGGATATTACTGTTTTTCTTGTAGAGTATCGTCGTTACTATTGTCATTACTGGTATCTTTATACGGTTTTTGAGCAGCCCAAGCGATCAATTTAGGTGTCCAGTGTTCTTCTATAAGGCCTTCTATATAGTCATCAATAACTGAGTTGTATTCATCTGGGTTTTCTACGATTTTATGAACCAATACAGGTTTTAAGGCAAGCATAGCCATTTTCCAATTTCCAAGCATTTCTCTACTGATAGGCTCTAATGGTTTTTCTATATAGATCCATTGAGTCAATATGTTTGAAATTGCGCATAGAATGTGTACATACTATATGTCAAAGACCGCTCTTGCCTTTCAATAACCTCAAAATGTTGTTCTTTTAGCATTGTACCAAATTTAGCTGCTGTGCACGGGTCCTTTCCATTTTCTCTCAACATTTCGTAAACTGAGAAGATATGAGTATGAATTTGATAATTCTTCTTCATTTAGAAACTTACATGCTTCATTTACAGTTCGTACAATGGGTACTCTGTCGTTCTCCTATATGTAAACTAAAGTCAGCACATCTAGACACCTTATCAATCTAAAAACTTACAGGGAACTGTGTTTCCATGAGCTCAACAACTCCGCCCGGTTTTAATACACGATATGTCTCTTTTAAGACAACTGGCCAGTCGGATACGGCAAAGGCGGACAACATAAAGCGCATATTTACAAAATCAAACGTGTTATCAGGATAAGGTAGTCCACTAAGGACATTGTATAGTTCAAAATTAACATTCTCTGGTCTAATCGTTGTCGGAAACATGTCTGTTACATCAACACCTGTAAATCGATACTCTGGATATTCTACAGCTAGTTCCTAGTAAAACATGTGTGATGAATGATACAGCTATGATCAGTTATTCTATAAGAGTTTACCATCACCCAACAACCCGTACCACAGCCAAGATCAAGAACAGATGCTTCTTTGGGTAATATCCTTTGAATGGAATCTAAAATGTTCTTACTGAAAAGAACACAAGTATTAGCCATACAGTTCAATATATATGAATAATTATACGTGTGTACCCATTGAACATTGCTTTCACAGTAAAGTGTTGCTGATAGAAAGTGAGTTACATGAGTGAGTATAGTTTCTTATAGTTACTGAATTAAGTCTATCTTGCTCTATCTCATCTCTTGGTAAAATATAAGTACTTGTCTCGTCTTGATAGTATTGTCTCCCATCAATGGTAACTGAATTATTCGATTGGGATACACCTGATGTAGTGTTTGTATTCACACTCTCTCTCCGAGGCGAATTATCTCTTGGCTGACGTTGATGATTAGAGCCGCGGTTATAACGATGATATCGAGATTGCTTTATTCCCATTACTTAAGAAGAATAAAAAAGAATAAAAAAGATTTTTTTGTCCTTGTGCTTAATGGGCTTTATTAAGTTCGTATTACGTCGTGCAGATGATACATGATTGACATTTTTATTTGTTTATCTATTATTGCGCACTCGACTCATTGTTGGCTGTGTTCACTTCCCCCTATTCTCTCTCTTGTTTTTAAGATTTTAATGACAATAAGATCAAGTTGACTCTGTGAATTTATTGTTGCCAACTCTATTTCCCTTTTTTCTTATAGACTCTATGCATACGTCATTGGACCAACGTTAAGATGTACAGTGACCAAGTTCCTTTTTCATAAACATTGATGGCACTTTTTTTGTCGATCCTTTTACTTTTCGTACTATATATTTTATTACCCGCGTTTTAATGAAAAAGATCCTCTTTGTTACATGATAAAGATGTTCTAAAAATGTATTTTATAAATCATCCGATTTCTTTCTCTTTCAAGTCATTAATATAAAAAATTTATATACATATATTTTTACGCTTTTTGGTAATACGGAGATTTTGGGTTACGTGGGCCCTGGATCAAAACAGCAAAGCGGGATTATGTCCACTAATATATCACAAATGCACATAGCAGGAATAACGTGACCTTTTGTCAAGTGATGACTAAGAGTGAAAATGGAATTCATCAGTTCAATATATGACAGTAAAACAGTAAATAGAACATTGCTTTCTTTTCCCTTTTAACCTTTGATATAAAGTAAAGGTAAATGAACAAGTGCTTATTGAGATTACATAAAAGAGGAGAAGGTATGTTCTTTCCTCATTACTATCATAAAAAGTTGATGTAACCGTTATAATATGAGCCACCAAAAGAATAAATTTTTACTCTTTTGAGTTTTTTAAATCATTTAATGAGATAGAGAAAAGATCAATTAGACATAAAAGAGAGACAGAATGATCCTATTCCCTTACCCTCTTCTCTTCTCCCTCTTATTTTTCTCTTTGCAACAAAACCAAGCTCATGTTATGCACAAATATTGCTTGCATACGTGAACACGAGGGAAAAAGTTGCTGCTGTACATATAAAAGATGTATAAGCTTGTGTTGCAGAGTCATGAGCAAGAAAGTTACATTTATGAGCAGATAAAAAACTACTGACTTGTAGATCAATTAAATGGATCAGCAAATGCACAAGTTCATGCCGAGTGAATAGGATGTTGTTTTATTTTTATAAAGAGATTGCATTTATAGTTTCTATGTAAAGAATGAATCTCCTAAACAAGGTTTATACCTAATGACCCTATGCATATGTTATGCATGAAGTATGGTTAATGATGAAGCCATACGACGTCATTAATGAAAAGTATATGTTTATCCTTTGCTTTTATATTTCATTTTCACATAATGCGGACAAGAACAGCAAAAGCGAAATGGAAAAGGAAAAGACAAGGTCCGTATTAAAATTTATAGAAATAAGTGTAACGCTTACAGGTGTTACTAATACAAAAAGAAGAGGAAGAAACGACATAGAAAGTCTAGAATGCTTTGACTCAGCTTACTCAGTATATGTCACTCTTTCTCTCTCTCTTTATATATATATGCTTTAAAAACATTCAAATAATAAGCATTTATAAATATGAGCCATGCAAATCATTAGAATATACGTAAACGTGTCATTTACTTTAGAATTGAACTATAAATGTTATATATCCAGGCTTAAACTGCAAGAAAGCAACGGTATCTGAATAAAAGCACCTAGAGCCATTTTAAAATATGTTCTTTAGCGTCTTACCGCAGAAGCATTACCTCGGTCAAATTTTGTCATTTTTAAAAAAGGTGGTTCTTGATTTAATGAGAAAAGAGTAATCCATTACGCTAATAGCTTTTACGTACTGCTGGCCAATGACAAAAATATGTAAAGACTATAGTACAAGATATGCTTGTATACACTTCAGGCAAAACGGTAAGACTATATTCAGTAATACTGTTACTAATAGAAATAAGATTAGACATGCATACACTGTCAGCAGGTTGGATGAGCACTTTAGGTTTAGGATTCCGTCTTGCAGACTGAGTTAGTCGTAATATATCAAAAGCACGCACCTAATTCTTTTGCTTTTACTTTCTTACCGTTAAGCAAAAGTGATATATGCAGTTATTAGATATTATTACCGAAAAAGTTTGGTAGCAAAGAGCAAAATTATATAATCAGTTTTGTAGCATGGACATCTATGGTAGGAGTGACAAAAATGCATATTCTGAGAGATAAATGGTCAATGGTAAAGTCAAATAGAGTTAAGGAGATATAAAAAAACAATAAACATGTCTTGAGGAGGCTGTCATATGACATCAGGGACAAATGACTTGCTTGACCATCCTGAACCAAATCACAAGGGCTAAGCTCATAGATGTAAACAGGTACAGATTATTTCTACTTTCACTTTATGCTTTTAATCAAGCTCAAAAAACTCTAGAGCAAAAGGAGTATAGATCCATTCTCAAAATCTAACACAGACTTTAGTTCAAGTCTTTTCTTGGGTCTATTGTTTCTAAAAGTTTAATATTATTGGCTGGAATTACTCACATTCGCATATTCGATTTGCTCAAGATTAAGTATGGAGCCTTTCTTTTAATTGGGAGCTCATTAATGGGATGAGATTTAATATCATCGAGCAAATTGATAGAGCCCCGAGTGACGTTTTGTGATATAGTTGTAATAATAAAAGGAGAAATATATATGTATGTCTTTATTAAGAGCAAGAAGAAAGAAAGAAAAGCCTCATTATTACAGTATCGTCAGCTCATATGAAAGCAGGGTTAATAAGGATTGAGCATGGCGCGTTATATGATAATAACGTACGTTTTGGTCAATCTTTTAACGTACATGTTTATACAATACAACTAAGTATCTATAGAGTAAATATGACAATGTTGCCTTCTCATAGAGTTGGGCGCAAGAAGTATATGTTCCCCTTTTCTTTTTCGAACTCATTGATAGGGTAGACCTTGGCGTCATCAGCAAATTCATTAATCATATACCACTGTTTTTTTACTGGTCACAACAGTGTAATAATGATGCATTTACTATAAATAAGGACAATACTGTAAAGTGTATAAGCTATTAAAGATCTAGAAAGAGAGAGTTTTACTCAAGTTTTATTAGAATAAAACGTCGAGTTTTCATCCACGGATCACCTTCTACATTTCACCCAGTGGGTATAACGCGGATAAAATCCTTATTTTGCGCCCCTGATAAAACTTGCAATTATTTCTAGTGATATCAGGTACGGACTTCAAGATATTCATTTTCAGGGCAAAATTTCTCATTGTGGTGTTTTATACCCTACGTTTCCTATGAAAAATCTGTCTATCTGGAATCCACATCTAAAAGTTGTCAATACATATTGCAGCTTTTTCAGTTGAGAAAAAAAAAAGCTCCCCCTTGTATATAAATGCGGATAGTTGTTGTTGTAAAAAAGTAACTCTTATGAATAAACTGTCCAACTCCTTATTTTAAGCCTTGGTTGGGCCAAGGATGCACGTGACCAGCTTGTCAACCTGGTAAAGGAGCTGTATGCATTTTTAGACAATCTATGATGATAAAGATGGATTGACGTTGTCTGTAACACCTTTTTTAGTATAAGATACGTTTAAGCTTTTCTTAAGACACTTTCTATTCGCCCTTCAGTTACCGCCTTCTGTTATCTGTATCCCCTCTCTTTTCTTTTCATCTAACTCTGGTCTACAGTACATCTTATACATTCGTTTCAAGTCATTTTATAAAAATAGCAAATGGTAAAGTCTCTGCTATTCTTCTTTTGTAAACAAACTAGCCTTTTGTGTACAAAAAGGATTCCCATTCTTGAATAAAGATGTTTCTCTACAGGTAAAGTTTAGCGGGGGAAGAAAAAGTTTGTGTACTAATTTGCCAAAAAAGTATAGTTTGTTTCTTTACAAAAAAAGTCTTTAATGCGAAACGGTAGACAACGAGATAAAAATAGACTTTCTCTCTTTTTATCTTGGCCAAGATTGATTTTAATTCCGTGTTTGTCTCCTGAAATTCGTTCATAATTTTATTAATACTTTTCTTTTCTTTTCTTTTCCTCTTTTAACACTTTTATGCTAAAAGCCATGAATGAATCCAGAGTGAAAAGATTATGGAAGAATAGACTAAGTAGTCTAGGATCATGTATTCACTCATCTGATACATCAGTTGAAGAAGAAGAAGAAGGACGACAAAGCATACAAGAACTAAAGAAGTTACCGATAGTGAGGAGAAAACCTTTACCAGCTGATTGTCCTGCATTTGATTTTGATATGTGTGAAAAGACATACACTGATATTCCAGTGCGATGTGAAAGTAAACAGTATCAAGAAAGAATATCTGATATTGATCATCATCTCGAAAAGATTCGTAATGATGAAAAAATAGTCTTGTTGACAAAATTACTTCAAGAAAAGTCATCAAGAAACCAATAATCCTCTTTGTGTCTATAACCACTCTTTTTTATTATTATTGTTTATACATTCATTCTTACACCTTTAAACCCTTCTTCTTCTTTTGCGTGATTTTGGTTTCTATTGAAAAAAGTATTACTATTAATTAAACTGGTCTATTTTTAATATATTTTCATTTTACCTTCAATATATTTGACATCTTCTTCATCATTAAAGCCTATTGTTTCTTCATTAGATTCAGATGATGCTTGTTTAGTATCTTTATCATTTGTTGTTGTATATTTGTTATCCATCTTTTTGAATTTAGCAACATAGAAACCATCCATGTTGTGTACATGAGGATAAAATCTACGTGTCAACTTGAGACTAGGATGGAATGTCTTTCCACGGTATGAAGCAAAGCCTTCTCGACCAAAGTCAAGTCCTGTAGGCACTAATTTGACATTGGGACGTTTTAAAAGAGCATAATTGACAACTGCTTCGTTCTCTTCTACTGTGACGGAACATGTTGAGTATACAATATAGCCTCCTGTCTTTGATTTAGCATCTACGGAGTCAATGGCAGATAAAATAAGTTGCTTCTGAAGGAAAGGAATATCAATAAAATCCTTCTCTGTCTTGTTTAGTTTGACACTGGGATCTTTGGAGATAACACCAGTACCTGAACATGGTGCATCAAGTAAGACACGATCAAAGCCACCAATCACCTTAGGGAATTCACGACCATCGTAGTTACATACAACAGCATTCTTGACACCCAAACGATGAATGTTGGCCACCAAACTCTTTAAACGATCTTTTGTAGCGTCATTGGCAAATACCATTCCCGTATTCTTTTGCAGTGCGGCAATATATGTTGTCTTACCACCTGGGGCAGATGCCATATCGAGCACACGCTCGTTAGGTTGAGGTGCCAATGCCATGACGGGTAAGAAAGAAGAAGCAGCTTGAAGCATATAGTGCCCAGCAAGGTATTCAGGCGTAGCACCAATAGGTACTTGAGATTCAAATACTTGAAGGCCCACCTTGCTCCATTTACCAATAGGTTCAAGGTTAACACCACGATTAATCAATGCTTGCGCAAGATCACGGCGACGAGTCTTTAATGTATTTGTTCTAATGGTCACAGGACGAGCTACTTCGTTGGCTTCAAAGAATTCGATAGCTTCGGAGACAGGAAAGAGGTGGAACAGCTTCTCTGCCAGAAATTCAGAGTATCCATAATAAGCGGCAATATCCTTGATCAATCGATCGACATACTCCTGACGGCTTGTATTAAGGTCACGGAGTTTCTTGAAATCGTTTAATACGCCCACGATATCTTTAATTCGCTGACTAACAAGAGTGATGTCTGACACTAATTCTGCTTCCTCTCCTTCAGGTAATTTGTATCGCTCGCCTTCTTCAAGTTCTTCTTGTTGGTTGGCTTGCTCTCTTAATTCGGCCTCAGCTTCAGCTGCTTCACGGGCTGCGCGAGCTTCAATTTTACGAGATGTACGTTCATCAAGTGCTTGTCCCTTTTTTTTAGAAGCAAGTTAGTATAAAATACACCATATTTGAGGAATATGCTATATACCTCAACAAATTCATCTTCATCAAACTCATCATCCTCTTCGTCCTCCTCCTCCTCTTCTTCTTCTTCCTCTTCTTCCTCTTGCTCTGAATCAGAGCCCAGGAAATCAGCATCTGCTTTAGGGAAATATTTTTGTTCTTCTTGTTCATCTTCTTGTTCACTTTCTTCCTCTTGTGCACTGCCGTTCATTTCAAACTCATCGTCCATTTCAAATTCGTCCATGTCCTCACTATCTTCAGCATCGGAGACAACTTCAAGGTTATCCCAAAGATCGTCACCATCAGTGTCTTTCTTCTTGGTCTCTGTCTTGGCTTTCTTTGACTTTTTGGAATCAACCTCTTCTGTGCTTTGACGTTTCTTGTTATTCTTTTCAGCAAGTGCTTGTTGTTTCTTAAGTTTTGATTTAGCTCGTCTTGAAAGTTCTGTGCGTTCAGGCTTTTCAAGAGGCTCAGGATCTTGTTGCTTATTTTTAGCGCGGCGTCCCATTTATGTACAGATTATAGAAAGAGTGATAATTTTTTGAAAAAGGTTCAGTCGTTCGTTTTATTCATTGATCGTCACATCAAGTCACAATTTAGGTCTCTGTGTGGCTTGGTGCTCCCCTTTTTTCAATTTTCATGCAGTGAGTGACTTCAGGGCTCATGCTTTATTCTTTATGTGTTGTCAAATATATGATGACATATGATTTTGATTGACGTTATAAACCTTTATATATATCCAAAAGAGATTGAAATACAAGATTTGGGCTATTTTATATAGTGTTGAGAAAGTCAGCCAGTTGCAGATACAGTATAGTAACCTCACTTTCTCAGGAAATTCTGTAATATGGCAAGAAAAGCTAGGGTGGGTGTTTATTGAACAATATATAGTATGCATAAAATTACAAGTATAATACATGTATCTATTCTATTAAAGAAAAAAATTATTCAGCAGAAGGTGGTGCACTGGGTGCGTCTTCTGGGAAAGGGGGTGGAGAAGAGGTCTATAGAAAATGAGAAACTGTATATCCAAGCTCATATTTCAATTACCTTCTTTCTAACGTATTCATCATACACAGTATGTTCATCAAAGGGTCTCTTTCCTAATAATTTCTCCATGTCTTCTCTTGTCAAAACCTCCTTGTCTAATAGTAATCGAGCAACTTTTTCGATATCTTGTTTCTTCTCATTTAACAAGTTCAATGTACGCTCATAGGCTTCATTCACCATTCTTCTTGCTTCGTTATCAATCAGGGTAGCGGTTTGCTCTGAATAGGGCTTCTGGAGTTGTTGCTCATTTTGATCTGTGAAGGACAGGGCGCCCACCTTTTCATTCATACCATACTGAGTGATTTGAGCGTATGCAATCTTTGTCACCTTTTGCAAATCGTCATGTGCACCTGTTGTGATGGAATCAAAAAAGATCTGTTCAGAGACACGACCACCCAATGTCATACACATGCGGTCGAGCAATTGATCCTTGGAGTAAAGGTATTGGTCCTTGGGCAAGTATTGAGCATAACCAAGAGCAGCAGATCCACGAGGAATGACTGAGACCTTTAAAAGAGGATCGGCATGCTTCAAGTACCAACCAGCAACAGCATGACCTGCTTCGTGATAGGCAACAGTCTTCTTTTCTTCTGGTGATAAAACTCTTGATTTCTTTTCCAAACCAGCAATGACACGCTCAATAGCATCTTCAAAGTCTTTTTCTTCAACTTCTTCCTTGAGTCGACGAGCAGCAATCAATGCAGCTTCGTTACAGACGTTGTGGATGTCTGCACCAGAGAAACCTGGAGTAAGAGCAGCAAGTTTGCGAGAGAGATGCTCGACATCAATGGTAGTCTTGATAGGTTTCAAATGGACCTTGAAAATCTGAGCACGACCTCCGATATCAGGACGGTCAAGGACGATATGACGATCGAAACGACCAGGACGCATAAGAGCAGGGTCCAAAACATCAGGACGGTTGGTACCGGCTAAAACGACAACATGTTGGCTAGAGTCAAAGCCATCCATTTCAACCAAAAGTTGATTCAGAGTGCTTTCACGTTCATCGTTTCCTCCGAATTGTGCATTCTTTGAACGAGCTTTACCGATGGCATCAATTTCATCTACAAAAATGATGCATGGTGCATTCTTCTTGGCTGTTGCAAACAAGTCTCTTACACGAGACGAACCAACACCAACGAACATTTCAACAAATTCTGAACCAGAGACACTCAAGAAGGGCACACCAGCTTCACCGGCTGTGGCTTTTGCGAGCAATGTTTTACCTGTACCTGGGGGACCCGACAAAATGGCACCTTTAGGAATGGTTGCACCAAGACGTTCATAAGCAGCAGGGTTCTTTAAGAATTTGACAAACTCCATAATTTCTTCCTTGGCTTCATCTGCTCCAGCAACATCCTTGAACTTGACCTTGATGTCTGTTTCTTGATTGAACATCTTTGCCTTGCTTTTTCCGATACCAAAGATGCCACCTTGCCCACCAACACCGCCTGGGCCACGGCGTGTCATGTAGACGAGGGCACCAATCAACAGTAATGAAGGCGCAAAGTGAGCAAGTACATTGAGCATACTGACTTCGTCGCGATAGGCTACTGGAATACGTTCGTTGGGAGGAATGCCAAGTTCGTTCTGAGCTTGGTCTAATTTCTGTTCAAAGCTGTCAGGTGATCCAATAGTAAAGACAAATGACTGACTAGGGCTCAATCCAAGTGTATTGGCTTCAGGTCGCAAGTAGACTCGAACTCTATTCTTATTCAAGACAACAAGTCTGTCAACAAGACCTTTGTCGAGTAACTGTGTACGGAACCCTTGCCAGGTAATTTCCTTTGAAGATTCTGATGGTGCTGTCAATTTCCATAAAAGCCAGGTACCAAAGGCAGCACCTAGTAACGCATTCCAGTTGGTTGGAATTTCAGGTGTCTTATTACTGTTGTTATTCTTTGGAGGTTTAGGGATCTGGTCAGTCGATTTCTTTGCATTTTCAGAAGCGGCTTCCTCGGCAGCTTTCTTTGTCTGATTCTTATTTTGCTTTGAGAAGAAGCTTTCGAATCCCTTTGGAATGTTGAAAGGTTGATCATCGTCTTTCTTCTTTGGTGCTTCCTTGTCACTCGAGTATTTGCGAATGTCTCTACGTAAAATAACATTGGCACGTTGGAATCTTGCAAGGACTGGGGCCCTCAAAGCATTATTAGAAATAGTGGTACGACCACTAATTTGTATGAATCTTGACAGCATATAAGTTATAAAAACAACGGAAAAAAGGGCAAAGTGCGCAGTTGGCTCAATTTAAGCAGGCCAGACCAACTTACAGGTGACGTGTACACCAGTTGACTTTTTAAACATTTTTTCAAGTACCGCACCCTGACTTGCAAGACTATATCAACTTTTTTTTTCTGTCTCTCTTCCTTCTTCAACTCCCCACTCATCCAATTACTAAACATGCTTCGTGCTTTCTCCTCTGCTGCTTGCCGTGTTGCCGCTGTCCGTTCAACTGTTCCCGCTGTTCGCCCCGCTGCCATGGGTAAAGAGCAAACGATGATTTATGATTTTATAAAAGACTCATGTCATTTTCAATAATAGGCTTGACCAAGCGTTTCTATTCTGCTGGACATGAAGACGAAAGCTTCGAATCTTTTACCGACCGTTACGTCAAGTTCTTTAACGGTGTTGAAGATCTCTTCGAACTCCAACGTGGCTTGAACAATGCATTCGCTTACGATCTTGTTCCTGCTCCTTCTGTTATCGAAGCCGCTCTTAGAGCTTCTCGTCGTGTCAACGATTTCGCCACAGCTGTTCGTGTTTTCGAAGGTCTTAAGGAAAAGGTTGAAAATGAAAGCCAATATAAGCAATACCTTGAAGAATTGGCACCTGTTAGAGAAGAATTGGGTGTTTTGACCAAGGAAGAATTAAGCCAGTAAATTGTTTTGTAATCACTTTTATTTAATGTAGCCTACATAAAAGCCATTGTTTTAAAAATGCATGACCTGATTTTTCTGTGATATGCCCTCTTTTTGTCTCTCTCTTGGAAAACATGGGTGTAAACCCCGAAAGTGACATGAACACCTTTGTTTTTTCTTTGTACTGTTGCTTCTTGTTCGTGATGAAAAGCATTAGACTTTTGATCCCAAAAGTCTTTTCGGATTGCTTAATTTATTGAACTGTCAACCCATGATACTGAATCTATAGCCAAAATGCCTATTCTTTAATAGTAAATAAAACTAAAGACACAAACAATATATTTCTTTACATAAGCCTAAAAGTACGCTTTGTATAAAAGAAAGGATGGTACTTTAATGGCTTCTATCTTGTTCATCTGTAATATCAATTATCGGTTTTGGAACCAGGAGGTATTACCACCAAAGACCTTCGCTGCACTGTACTGAGAGGCTTGTTCGGGAGTCAAATTTTTAGCAAATGAGGCACGCGCACTAGTCCAAGGGCGAGCTCCAAAATTCTTGTATTCTCCATAGACAACATTTGCAGTGTTTGGACTAGCGTCACTCCATGCACTCCAACCAGCAGGCTTGATATGGCTACCGATGCTGGAGTTCGTGATGATGACACGAGAATATTTGCCCCAGGGACGAGCAAAGAAGCATGTGTTTTCAAATTGAGAAGGGGAAGAGAATGAAATGGAAGGGTCGTATGTCTTGGACAAAGGACCAGATGGAACAGTAGCCTTGAAGGTACATTGATTAAAGTAAAAGCCACCAGGGCCATTTGGAGTATCTCTACCGTGAGCAGTGACAGAAGTACCTCTTTGGTTGGAAGCAATGACACTGTTAGAAAAGTAACCTGGGATTGAGAGTAATCAGTTATTAAGCTTTATATTTGTATATGCTTTTTTTACCAGTGCCAAATCCCCAAATAAAGTCAACTGAGCCTTCAATATAACAGTTATCGAAGTAACCAGCACCATCACGATTGATCAAAAGGGTATCTTGGAAGCCGTAGATCTTGACATTTTTAAAATAAGCTTGAGGAGCATTCAGATGCAAGGCGACATTAGCTACGCGTCCTTGTTTGTAAGTGTTTGCAATAATAATATCTTGGAGTATGACATTCTTGCCCGTAATAGTCAAGACAGCAGAGTCAGCAGTACTTCCAGTTTTAGAGCTAGTATCATGGCCGGAAGCGAACTGGATGGTGACACTACCACTAGTAGGTTTTAATACGAGGTTAGGTCGAGCAATAGTAAACTGTTCAGTGTATGTCCCAGGAGCAATTAAGACTGTATATGACTCGGAATTGTTTGGAAGAGAAGTAATGGCCTTACTGATGGACTTGAAAGCACAAGAAGAGCAAACGTTGACTGTACCTGCAAAAACCAATTGGACGCATAAAAGTACCAAAGTAAGATATCCTAAAGAGAGTTGCATTGTTGTTGTTGATAAAAAGGAGCACTATACAAATGTAAAGCTTTATATATTCAGGAAGATTGATATTGTAAGACAAAAAGTAAAACCTATAATAAATTTCTGTTTGAAACACAAGACTAACCTGGATAATCTTGCTGTTATTTTATAGTGTTGGCTTTTTTTTTTACTTACGCTAAGCAGTGTCAATGTATATAATCTTCATAGCTGTATGATAATAAGCTGGACAATGCTTATAAACTCTAAAGGGTTCCTTCACTGAGTTGTTTCTATAATGATACACAATTTAATAAGTTGTAATAGGTAATAGTAATTCAGCTATAAATAAATAGAATATGTTCATGTGCAGCATTGACAGCAAGACTTTAACAAGAGACATGTAATGGAATAACATATATATCTATATTAAAACACATTATATTGAATAGAATAACTGTAACATAAGTTAAGAAAATAAGTAGGCGTAATTTAAAAGAAAAAAAAAAGAGGGTAACATTAGCTCTTAGCTAGAGGAGGGCTTAAAGCCTTCCCGCTTTGAATGCACTTGGGCTATTGTGTAGGAATGTCAACGGAAGAACGGTATCTGGACTGTGGCAACTTTCTCTTCTTGAGGACGCTTGTCATTTATGAAATCCACAGCAGTTTCCATTAGTTGTTTGGACTTCCACGTTGGTTGAATCAAGCGCTTCATGTCTTCAACGATTGTGCTGTCGCTTCGTGGAAACTCAAATATCTTTTTGTCTTGGTCAGCCGGCAGATCCACCTTTATCATTTGGATGTCTGCCCCTATTCAACCAAGCAAAAGATGTTAAATGCTAGTCCAAACTATTCAATACTTGGAACTTATGGTGGCACGGTGTGGAATCGCGGTGTGAACAGTGTATTAAATGTATATACGGTATCTTTGTTTACAAACCAAAACATGACAATGAAAGTCCGTTCCCTCCTCCCTTCAAAAGACTAACGGCGTTCCTGGACTTAATGCGGTGTCCATTTTAACGGCAATTCATTTTTTAACACCTCGGAAAGTACAAAACGAATAATATATTTTTTTTTTATTCGTTAGTCTTCTAGATATATATGCTTTTTCTCAAATAAATCCTTTATTTACTGTATACATTTATCTTTTAGAATGGTCTAATGCATAAGACTGATCAACTATGTAAACTAGTATCATATGATCCTTTCCTCTCTCTCTCTCTCTCACTAGAAACTACATATATATTTATCAAAGCGGTAGTATTAAAGAATAATGATAATGATCAACAACCCCCTTTCAAACAATCAGGAATAAAACATGAAAGAAATAAAAAAGGGGGTCAATAGTGCGACAATCACAAAAATTATGATGCATGGGAATCATTTTACCCTTGTGCAGACAACGCCAATAAGTCTACCAGTGGTTTTCAGAAGCGGCACTAAATGCAGCCGATAAAAGCTATTGGTGCTGAAGTGACTCAATTGGTAAAAGTTTTATAGAGAACTGCATAGCTTCTTTAATACACGATCCATTTGTTTTTAATCAAAATAAAATAAAGTTTATGGCTAAGCTATTGAATTCTTTTAAAGACTTCAATATAAGTTGTTTTATTTTTCATTCGTGTCAATTTATCCGTGATCGGAGTATCAATATACGCGTAGAGTGGTCTTCTTTCCAGCATGTTCGTCCATGTGACCACTGCACTAATTAATAATATCGTCATTCCCCTTTTTTCGCCTTTTTCTTTCTTTTCTTTATTCTCACTTTTTTTTTTAATTAAAAAATGATGAACTTCGAAGACGTTGTTAATATGGACTGGGTGTCCAATGAAGAAGTGCTAACCCCAGATTACTCTTCTTTCTTTGTTGATCAGCAAAACAATTTTATCTTGGATCAACCATTGCCCCCCCTTCCTTCTCCAGAACAACAACAACAACAACAACAACAAGAACCTGTCAAGGGTGAGATAACCATGCATACCTTGGAACAGATTAAGCAATTGATCGAGTTGGCTAAACAGCAGCTCGCCGCAAGAGAGCAAGAAATACAGACTGCTGCGCCTTCTGTTATATTTGCTCCTCCTGCAGAGAATAAAGAAAGCAATGAGAATAATAATGAAAATACTGCTACGGATACTAGCATGAGAGACGAAGACGCCATCCAAGACTATAAGCAATTTGAAGAAGAGTATGACTTGATAAAGAAAGGAGATAAGCATAATGAAGAAACTGTTACTACTTTAGAAGCCTATGCTGCGGCTGATGGAATCGATCTAAAGAAATTGACCTCCAAAGAACGTCGACAATTACGTAATAAAATATCTGCAAGAAATTTCAGAGTTAGAAGAAAAGGTAATACTATTTCTCTGTTTACATAAACAATAGACTCACATGTATATAAAGAATACATCACTTCCTTGGAGGAACAAGTGGCTGAACACAAAAAAACAGCTGAAGAATTAAAAGAAAAATTAACCAAAGTTGAAGAAGAAAACAAGACGTTGAAGAAAGAAATGGACGTCTTGAAGAGACAAAACCAACAACTTTTGTCTATGCAACAACAACAACAGCAACAACCTTCATCACCACGCGTTTCTGCATCATTACCCAAGCCTAATATTAACAAGGATATCAGTTTGTTAGGTACAAAGCCTACAGAATCTTATCGTCATCAACAAGACCATCACTGTATTCTTGTCTCCAACGCAGTTATGCCCGTTTGGGATTACAAGACTATTTTACAGGATGCCAAGAAACATAAAGAATCAGCCTTGTTTCGAGAATTGGCTGGTCATTTTCTGCTATTTGTCGTACAAATTGCAACATCGCTTCAACCCAAACCATACATGCCTGATGAACTTCAATTCTCACCCAAGACTAAGTCCACTTCATACATGGAGTATTTATATGATACATTAATTCAAGCTTCCTTGGTCAGCAGCTCAACAGTTGACAAATCTTTTCTTTGGTCTGATAGCCCTTTTGTAATTTAAATTCCTTTCTCTTTCTTTCACTTTATTCTGTCATGTAAATACAACTTCGCAATACTTTATAACCCCCTTTTTTTCTTTCTTTTCCTCTCCCATTTCTTTTTTATAGTTCATCTCTCTTTTTTATTCAATAAATGCATTTATCAACCACTTTACATTTAAATCTATGCCTCAAATAAGTAACAAAGAGATTCGATAAGGAGATGTTCGCATGATCTATTTGCAGCAGGTTGTATGGTTGAATGTTGCTCATAATCACGTATCAATGAAAGTTTTTTTTTTGAGGGGTAGAAGGTACATCGTACCCTTCCGCGGATATTCTCTCGTCTTCTACAACAGTATCTTAATTAAACCGTAATTTCCAGGGCAGATGTCATTTAGAGATATAAGCAACAGTAACCATTGACTTATTCCCTGCAAAAGATACTGAATTATTTCAAGAGAAGGCTACATGCTCTGAAAGTGATATCACATCACTCCCCCTGAATGTCCTGCCCCCTCTTTCTCCTCTCTCTTTAACCACATAAAGCACACAATGTGTCGATCTATAGTCATTCTCTAATCTCTTATCCGCTATCACTCATGAAACGTCAAAAGAGTTTTATGCTAATGAATTATTCTTTATTTTTTGAAAAAGAAAGGGGATTAAATAATTATATAATTATATTAAAAAAATTATTTTTGGTATACAAGTTTAAGAGGCAGGTGCACATGAGTGACACACACCTTGACCATTAGCCATGGAAAGAGGACAGTTATCAGCGGCAACATAATCCAGGCCGGAGTAGACTTGTCCACCAGATCCCCACCAGTTGAATTCATAGACGTTCGAACCTGTTTGAACACCAAAAATGATGAGCGTAGCAATACTTGAGGCAGTATCAAAGGCAGCTGCCGTAACGTAGTTATACTTGATCCACCAGTCGTGCTTGTAACGACGAAGGATGGTCATGAAGAAGAAACCGATGGAGCACCACATGAAGTAGTTGATGGGAGTAGCAGGAGGCATCATACCAAGAGCGTTGAGGAAAAGAGGAATATGGACGTACTTGACCCAGCTGTTGGGATATCTCTTGGCCAAGAAGTAGAAGGGAATAGGAAGGAGCAAACCGATGAGCAAGAACCACAACATGGCATTGTAAGGAGATCCAGGACCAAACATCTTCTGGGGACCAATGACACCCCAAATAATAGAGGCAGAGTAGAACACATTGGCGTTAGGACAGGTCCAAGGAGCAGCGCCGTCGCTACAGATATCCTTGACAGTATCCATAAGCCAGGTACCGGTAGCCAAGTTGATAAGACCAGCAAGGATAGTACCAGCGATTTGTGCCCAGAACATGGCTCTAGGAGGAACCTTGGTATAGTGGCCAAGCTTGAGATCACTGACAAAGGTAATGGCTTGAACCATGGAAATGTAACCATAAGTCTTGAAGGTGACGTTGGCAATGGGATGACCAGGCAAAGCAAAACCGATGATAAGTTCGGTAATGATGTTCAAACCAGGAGTTTGGTTGGTAATGGCGGTAATGATACCAATGGGTAAAGAAAAGATGACAGAAATAGCAACAGCAAGGATCAAGCCCCACCATGGGAGAAAAATGGGCCAGCCATAAATCACACCAAAGGAGACACCAAAAGAAACGATAAAGATAAGGGCATACCACCATTGAGGGACTTCAGGATAGACACGCATCAACTTCATGTGGATATCATCGTTGTTTTCCTTTGTACGAGATTCCTTGAATCGTGCTACGATTTCCTTGCCGTGATACAAGTAGGTGTGAACCAAGATACAGGTGATACCAGCAAAACCAATACCGTAGTTGAGGGCAAAGAAGGGAGCCATACGAAGCGGACCGTATTCAGCATAAGCTGCTTCGTCCAAGAGTCTATCTGCAGTCAAGACCTTGCTGTTGACCCAAGAGTCACCATTTGTGGTGAAGAGCTTGGATGTGATCATAGGGAACTTTTGAGCGTCCCAGACGTTTGAGTAGTACATGGCAGGACCGATGATCCAGGCGACAATAACGAAAGCAACGGCAATATTGGCAATAGCCCAACCAGGGACAACAAGGGGGTTCATCAAATAAGATACGATTTGACTCCAATCGAAACTGAAGGCAAGAATACCCATAGCTTTTGAACCAGTCACTTGACTCAAGATGAGATTGCGAGGATTGATCCAGCAGATCCAAGAGAAAGCACCAAGAATTGGCCAGAAGTAACTGGGGAGCCATTGGTAAACAAACATGGCACTAAACATGTACAAAAACCATCTGAAACGACTGGGACCAGTCCAGTTGTCTTGTACTTGATGCAATGAACGCAAAAGAGAGATTGTGGCCAAGTTTGCAGGCCAGACCATGGAAGCAGGGTACACAAGATATTTACGAAGGATACCACCAAGACCGAAACCGATCAATTGGGTTGTCCAAATCAACAGAATACCTCCACCCCAGCCCATATTTTGGCCGTAGTAGATACGTTGAATGGTAATGATATCCATAGCATAGGCAGTTTGGTATGAACAGTTGGCCATGACAACAATCAAGACATGTTCTTTAACATTGAAAGGACCGGGGTTGAAAAATTTGGATTTAGGGATAATCTTTTCCATGAATTTGGCAAGAGGGAAACTAATCAATTGAACAACGAGGGCACCAACAACCATTGGGTTGTCTCTGTAAAAGAAGAATTGATTGACAAAGGCAAGGAAACAGGTAAAGACTAAACCAAGGAAAACAACACGGAAGGTGTATACTGGCAAATCGGGGTCATCAGTGCTATAGACAAAGTTTTTAGTCATTAAATATAATCATATACACACAAAAACCCTTACTTGGGGACTACAGCGCGGACTTCTTCAATAGGAGAGTCTTCTTCTTCTTCAAGATGTTGCTGAGCAGATGCTCTGTCTGATAGACCATAATGTTCCTTCTCGACAGACGTGCTTAAGAAGTCCTCGACCTTTTCTGAGGTGACGATTGTTTCTGATGTAATATAATGCTCTTCGTATCCTCTCTTTTCTTGAGAGGAGATACTTGTTCCAGTCATTTACGTTATGTAAAAAGAATGGAGGAGATTAGATTAAGAAAAAAAAGAGAGAAAAATAAAAAAAGAACGAGAGCTTTTATGAGCTGAATCGTATCAGAAGAACCCTTTTATATTGGAATTGTAATCTATCATAAATAGGAATCTTTGTGTCCATGGCGTATGACCGCAAAAGCATCAATTTCCTTTTTAGACCAAAAAAGCCAATTTAGGAACCACCAAAGGCTACCTTCATTGGCTGGTTTTTGTACCTCAATGTCTTAATCTCGGAGTGAAGGCAATAAAAATGTTACGCATAATATAATTTGTTCTTTGTAGTAATCTTAGATGTTCATGGTAATAGAAATTGTGCATAGAGTTGTTATGGTAACCATTATCCTTTTTTTTTGTTGATATTGTAAATGCTTTGAGAAAAAGATATATATTTATTAAAAGGGTATTTTCTAAATAAATAAAATACTGCCTTTTATACATATTTCTTGATTTATCTATCCTGGGAACTTTTATAAAGGTCGTGACATGATAGCTAGTAAGCCCTTCAGCGATTAATTACCATTTTAACCCTCAGTTCACCAATTAGTTCTCTAATTTTAAAGATGCATCACCTGACAAATGAAGTTTAAAATCGAATATCGCTTCTCACTGGTAAGAGTAAGTGCTGCAGAGTTCAAAAGAAAAGGGTATAAAAAAGGACGAGTTGAATGATCAAACAAAGGTCTGTTTATTTTGTATTATATTTACAAGTTAGAATGATAATATACATATACTACAACTACTACTTTTGTGTGTGTGTCTTATCTAGCATGTGCTTTTGATAAAGATATCCAAACTAGGATTACCGACTGCTCTTTCCTTTTTTGTTTTGTATTACTCATTTTGCCAATGTCAGATCATCTTCTTAGCCTAAGATAAAAAGCATTCTTGCTATATAGGCTGTTTGCTGGTAAATACTTGTCATAAAAGTTGACTATAAACTCTTCAGGCTTAAAACCAAACTTTTGATAGAGAAGCTATGTGTATATGAGTATTAATAAGAGTATATCATCATCAATGATTTTCTTTTACCATGGCTGTATTATTCGCTGACACATGTAGTGTGACATCTTTACTGATTGCTGTCTGGAACAAGTGGTAAAGCATAAACCTATTCATGGGTTGTTACACTTTTTATGCCTGTCATCAAAAAGGCAAAATACTTACTGTCCAATACCAGCGTTTCCCCATCCAGGATCAACCGCAATATAAGTAACGTATGCTTCTGGAGTCATAAATGCGCAACCGATCACCCTTCGTTTATAAAGACAAACAATGCTGTATTCTGGAAACAGGAGAGATTCGGAAACATCAATGCCATCCCAAAAGGCACGCTTCAGTAACTGATTCACCTGATCGAGGTGCTCTTTCTGGAAATAGACATAATCAATACTTTCGTCTCTTACCAGTTCTCTGGGTTCTACCAACATCTGATCACGACGACGAGGCCTGCCCTGGCACAACCTGATCTGGGCCATCAACAGCATCCTTGTCGGTTTTGTTTCAAAGTTACGCCAAATAAAGGGTCTTAATTTTCTACCATTCCAGGAAGACAGCCAGGCTTCGTCACGTGTGATGGTATTTCGTTGTCTGATAGCACCGTATAGTCGAGAGGCAAAGGAGCAACTGTAGGGTGTAAAGGTAATTTTGTCGAGCAGCTGTTGAGCATCTTGTGTGCTGTTATTTTCATCCTGTTGTTGGTTTGCAGTGGGCTGTATGACTGTGTGCTTTGCAATTGGCTCCAAGGTATGTTTTGCTCTGAGCGACTGTAGAACGAGGTTATCAAGATCAAATAACTTGATTCCCAGGTTTCGTTTTAACCTTCTCACAGCTAGTTTCCTTTTATATCTTGCTGCTGAATATGGTAATCTTTTTGAGGCATGTTCTAACTTTTGTAACAGGAGCCATTCGTCTTGTGAGCTCTGTAAGACAGGTAAGGACTGTGCAACCCTGGATGATATATTAGGAATAGTGCCAAGTGATTTAGAATCAAGTAAAGATGATTCTTCTAGATCACTCTTGATAGGAACCGCTACTATCTGATCATTTGACTTTGCATTGGACTGCTCTTTTTCTTTTTCTTTTATATGCAGTTCTTTTTTTCTATCTTCAACGCTGCTATCCTCTAATCCTGGCGTTACTGGTTCTTTAGAAGCGGGTGCTGAATTTTCTGATAGTGGTACTTGTAACAACTTTCTAACTGATTGTTGTGCAGCACTAGACGGAGTTGCATTAGGTAAGACTATATTCTCATCTTTCTTAACTTGGCTCGTGCTTTCATTGTCAGAAAATGCCTCTTCTGCTGATGATAATTCAGAAAGTGAGCTGAGGTCAATCAGATCTTGTTGCTCTTGCTTCACTGTCTGTTTTTTTGTATCCTGTGTTTTCCTCGTCTTTCTAGGTTTTGTTGTCTCTTCAACAGGTTGACTACGCTTCACTGGTTTCTTCAGGTTCGGTCTTGCTCTTGATCCTGCCTTTGTCTTCTTTTCTCCAGTAGGTGGCTCAACCTTGTGTAGTGTCCACCAGGCTAATTTAACAGGTGAATATCATGTATTCTATATATTTTTTGTTTTCTTTTTACCGCTCTGCTTGAACTTTTCAAATCCTGACAAAAAGATGTTGCTGTGAGTAGACAAGACACTGGCAATGGTGTTATTCCAAGTAGCGGACCCTATAAAAAAAGATGCTGCATATATGAACCATGGGCTTTTTATATAGATGTTCATCTTACGTTGTTTATCTGGTAATAAGTAATCCCAATAGTCATCAATAAAGGCGCATACGTCTTCTTTCCATCTAAAATAATAGTGTTCTCGTCTGTCTTTCTCGGTTTTTTTTGAATCTTCAATCTGAGCCTTCTTGATCAGGTTGTAAATGACTAAATGAACAATAATGATCCAACTTAGGCCTTTTCTTTCATAACTTTCTGTTCCACCATTGCAAATAGAACAAGTGAATGTGCCAAAGTTGTCCCCAAACAATAAGGGTTTTGGTAAGCATTGAACACAGTCTAATAATAAAGTATATCAGTGACATGTCATCGTACAAAAGATATCTACCTCCATGAAATAACTGCTGACATGTCGAACAACGAATCATGGGCTTATCTCTTTGCTTGTTCATTAGTTAAAGTAAAACTAGTTTTGTATATATAATTGCTTACTCTGTATATTCATTTCCACAATAACAATACTTGTTTTGTTTATTTTTCAAGTGGTCTTTATCCCATGTCAACTCATTTAACTACATGATAATAATTAGTAGACAAGAAAAAAAGAGAATGGATCTGTTTTTACATTATATGGAAGTTCTTGCATTTGTTTAATGAAAACAAAAAAAAAAAGGACAAAAATATTTCACCTATGAAGCAGAGGTTCTCTTGAACAGTCACCCTATTCTTATATCTCTTCAGTCCATCTTTAGTATTATTGCAATGACGACATACGCAAACTAGTGAAATAAGAGAGAAAGCGATAATAAAAAGAAAAAGAACCTAATAAACGAAAATGTATGTCAATGCACAATGCAGAAGGGACCATTATGTATGCATTTATAAATTTTTTCCTTCTTTCTATTTAAGCTTCAAACCATGGTTATGATGTATTTTATTTTGGTTGTAAATGAGAAGCAGGGGGTGGAAGAAAGTTGATATATGGCATCTGTTGGTGATGATGGGGTTGTTCTACTGATTGCTGTTGTTGTTGTTCTGTTTGGTGATTTTGTTGTGGTTGATGCAATGGCGGAGATGGTGGTTGTGGATAGAGAATAGGTTGATGTGTAGGATTAAATTGCATGCTGTATAGATGTGAGCTCGATGGAGAATCATATCTTTCAGAAGTAGTAGAATTGGGGGTAGTCGTAGTATTAGTCGTAGTATTAGAATTAGAATAATATAAACGGCCATCTTGTATAATTCTTGATCTATCTACACACGAAGACTCTGCTACTCTTGGTCGCTTTTCTTCACTTGTTGTATTACTGCCACTCTCTGGTAATTTTCTCCTTTGCCTTAGTTCTTTTCTTATACGAATCTTTAAGCCTTGATCTGCGAATGATCTTGACAAGAATGTAGATTCTTCCATCCCAGGGAATCTAAATAAAGAGTTAATCATGGCACATGTATTTTTCTTTGATTACTTTTTAGCTGAATAAACAAAGAATTGATCCGACAATATCGATTTACAGTGAAACACTTCTTTACCAACAATCTCAAACAGGCTTAACTTCAATCTATAACATCCTTCCATTCGAACTGACAAATCGGGAAACACGAAAAATCCAGCATCCGTATTATCAATGTCCTTGAGATGATAGAGTGATGATACGACAGACCCTGTTGTGCTCCTTGTCTTTCCATCCCTTAATAAATGTAATTCTTCATCCAAGTCAGCTGCCATTAAAGATGCATACATAAAATAGTATGGATTTTGTAAATAACTTGATGATAAATATCAGTGATTAAAGTTGCATAATAATATTCTCTTGGTCTTACGTTTTATCGTTGGATGGTAAACTAGGATCGATCACTCTGAATTGTACTATCGCTAAATGTATATGGATAGAAATTAGAATATTATATTAATAGGTGAATCGAGATTACAGTGATTAATCAGTGTCATTACGTGGTGGGTCAATAGGTCGTCTATCAGCTATAGAGATTGTATTATTATCAAGGGTTGTTCTTCAAGAAAAAGAGAGAAAGAGAAAGAGAAAGAGAGAGAAAGAGATCACTTGCCTTTTTCTCCTACTCCACACATGCGTGATTGCTTGGGTTGTTGTCGAATGGTCAATTGATATTCACTTTTTAATCTTATTAGAAATAAATACTTCATTCGTCACTTATTTACATCTCGTGTCTATTTTCTCTTCTTTGTCGAACACTGGCAAAATGGTAAGATACAGTTTCCTCCATTCTTGGATTTAAAAAAAATAGAGAAAGAAAAAGAAAAAAAAAAAGTCCCCTCTTTTTTATTTAATTTCTCTCTCACACACACTGACTCTTTTTATTACTTCACACGCATTACTTGCTTATAATCCTGACTCCTTTAATCTTCTTGCAATCGTATCTTCGCCATGTTCCCTATGATAATAATAACAGGGTTATAAAATAATTCATTATTATTATTATTTTTACCTTGGCTCAAGTTTCAAACTAAGGTTATACAACTCTTCTTCATCACGACTTGACTGTAAGTGTGTCTTTATGAATTCTTGTATGTCTGGCACTGCATTCAACATATAATGTATTGATTGATACTGTTGTAAATCCTGAATGACCTCAGCTGTCTTCATACGTTTAGCAAAATTAATGAAATTATTAGACTTTTTCAAAAAGTTTGAATTTCCATCTTCAATAAACGTCAAATCCTGCAGATAAATACCCAAGAAAGGTATACAAGGGGGGATGACCCGATGAATGATCTCTCGGTAGTTGCTAAAGTTACGGTTAGCCCCCATCACACGACGAATGTTTCGAAGGATTTGTATGGATCGTCCATTGATGAGTTCCCACGTACGCTTGAGTCGACCAATAGAACCATTGTCAAATGCAGACAGGATGGCCATGCAGGTATTAAAATTATTGAGTATACGACATCGATCAGCCACAGCGATCCAGTGTTTTAACACAGCCGCTCGCTTCTTCACTTCTTCTTTGCTCAAAATAGAGTCTGTCACCCAGGCAGTGACCTGATTTGAGTGTTCAATCGATGCCTTAACGTTAGCAGCAATATGTGTGCCCTCTTCCGTGTCGGGCTTTCCCCAGTTCTTGTCGAGACATTCGACTGGCTTGATACGGTTGTATAACCGGAAGTCCATAATCGTCATCTGTCGTGCCAGTTCATGAGGATCCAACTCTAGTAGTTTAATGCGCTTCATATTCTTTGGAAGAATGGATGGAGGCATCTCTTTTTGACGCACGTTTAGCTTCATCTTGCGAATCTGACCGGATTCTTCTGCAAGCATGCGTTTCTTGATCAGTCTGGTGAGTTGCTCAGCACCAAACTTCATCGAATGAGAGATCACATGGTCTGTGAATTGACTCAGCTCAAGTAACATCGGCCGGTCTTCTTCTTCGTTATAGTATGTCTCGAGCCACGATTTTATCACATTGAATACTCTATACCTTATATTAGTATCTTAATGTAACATCAGTCTCCTATAAATACCTCAAACGAATAAGCTTCAGCTTTCTTTCGCTCCATTGTTCTCTTTCTTCTGCTGTCAATTCTTCAGGTGGTTGAAGTTGGTATCTTTGGAAAAGTTCATTGAATAGTTCCTCCGTCGAGCAGAACGAGCGATAAGTCAACAAGAATGTTGTATTAAATTTAGCATCTAAGTAAATAGTTAGTATTCGTCTTGGCATTTGCTTATGTGTGTATACGTTACCGAATTGATCATGCTGAGTCAGCCGTTTAACCAGTCCATGCAGTGTACCACCCTTGACTTGACCTTCGACATTAAGCGCAATCTCATTTGGATCAATATCTGCTGCGAGGAACCAAGGCACCTCACCCTGCGTGTTTGTAGCGGGAACCCCTGCACTAGGCGAGGAGGGTGTCGTCGGTGAAGGATTTCGAGGAGGAGGAGGAGGATCTTCACCAAAGAACTTGGCAATTTTGACATCCTTTACAGGTGATGGGTTACTTGACGACGATGGCTTGGGCTGTTCTTGATGCTCTTCTTCCTTTACCTCTTCATCCTCGGTCTTGACTTCTTCTGCAATTTCTTCTTCATCCATTTGCGAGTAATCGACTGCGTTCTCAATACCGTTTTCGATAGCCTGAACTGCTTCGTTGATACGCTCGTAAGCTGCCTCCGCCTCGACAATGTCCATCCCACTGTTTGTGATTTGCTGTGTGACGACAAAGAGGGAGCCCATGGCAGCATAGATTGGGTGTTTGGCCTTCATGATAGCCACTGATTTCAAGTTATCGTCCTCATGGACCTGTTCAACCGTGTTCATGAACTGACTGGTCGTATTGCTCAGATTTCGAAACTGGGCTACGAGGAGCGGCGCATTCGCTTTCAGTTTCCTTAGCGTGCTCTTGATATCCTGATCATTGTGAATGTGACTATAGGCATCCCTGATACTTTCCATAAACGAGCTAATAGCACCTCGGACGTTATCAGCCAAGACCATGATCGCTGTCACTGCGTCAGGCTGTCCGCTCAGCATGGCACGGTGGTAGTGCTGTGAGTTGACCTGGATCGGATTCTTCCAGAGCGGTCGGTCAACGGCCAAGGTGGGTCCTGCCTTTTCCTTGAGTTCGATACGCATATCCTGAGCCCAGGTCATGAAGTGGCGAACGGACACAAGGATCTCTTCTGCTTCGTTCATCAATTTACCAAGCGCTTCAGGACTCGGCCAGGCAGACGATGTCATCTTGGCGGACAAGATCAGTTTTGCCACAGATGCAAGTAAGTTTCGATGGACGGCACGAAGTTGCTTGTTCGATTTCAAATGAACTGAACTTTCCTTGTCGAGACAGTTGGAGACGTAAAGAAGTAGTCGGATGCGCTGGACGACCTGTGCCGATTCCTGTCGAATGTACGTCGTCTTGCCTGCTCGTATGCATTCTTTTAAATTATGAATGGCGTGTGCTATCATGGCTGAGAGTGTGGACCAAGTGATGGGTGTATCCTTTAAATCAAATGATATCTCTGAAGGCGATGATGGTGGTGAGTTGGGTTGAGAAGGGATCTGATTAGAAGGATCAATACTCTCTCTCTCTACTTTTCCTTTTTTTTTATTTTTATTTACTAGCATTCCAGTATCTGGATCAATATTTTCCAGCTCCCATGTTGTTTCTTCTGTTTCCGGATTACAGTAATAATATCTTCCCTGCGGTGTTATCTTGCGCATCCAACCAGGCGGTAACTAATAATCATATCATTAAGGAACCACAATTTCTATACTCCCTCCTTTTTTTTTTCTTACCTTATCATAGACGTCATCCAACAACTGGCTTGATCCTTCCATCGTACGATTCGCCGCACGTACCGGACGCGCAGGCGGTATAAGATCATCCTCTTCTTCTGTCGTGACATATCCTTCAGGAGGAATCGAATGTCTCATTTCGTGTGTTCGAATATTATAGTAATACTGCTCAGATCCGTCTTCAGTCGTTTGCAGGATCCACTCTGATTGATTGTTGCTATGACTACTGTTGCTACTGACTAGTGCATTAGATTTGTTCAATATCATGTCAGATGCATGTAAACTAAGACGAAGTTGTTCTTTCATATGTTGATCCGTCAAGGTACGTCTGCCTGATGGCTATAAAACGAAAAATGAAAATAAAAAAAGTCAGTATGTCATGGTCGATTGTTACTGAATAGTATAGAGTACCGCTTGCTTGAGAATTTCTACATAATTGCTAGGAAACCATCCTCTTCTACCTTCACAACTAACTCGCTTATTAAAAATGATTAAATTATAAAGCTTGTACTTGCTTCACTTACCAACCGTCCCACCAGCCTGATTCCAGTTGTGCAAAGACATCAATGATGGCATTAGCCTTGAATGACAATGCAGAGGGATCTTTGGGTTCATAGGGATATAAAGCTCGAACTTGACAAATAATATCCTTAGTGTTCATCGGGGAGAGAATAAATATAAAAAAGAAAGAAAGGGAGTATACAAAAGGGAAGGGAGAATGAGAGACACAAAAAGAAAAGAGAGAAAGAAACGTCAAAAAGAAAAAGAGAGAAAGGAACAGATAGAAAAAGGGAAAGAAAAAAAAACTTGCTCTCTGTACGTGAGAGTGTGTGCTACATATCAAAAGTTTATATTCAAGATACGCTGAAGCCCTTTTTCAAATAAAAAGGAGGAAAAGAAAAAAAGGAGGAGCAAAAGAAAAAAAAAAAAAAAGAACGTTTGGTTTAGAAAAAACAAGTTTAATTTATAAACTAAATGACAAGCTTGTATTTAGAATATATATAAAGAAAGGTCATCAAGAATTATCTTGTCTTCTTGGTTCTTATCGTTCTAAATCTTTTCCTCCTCTCTTGGCAATAATAAACACACAAAAGCAGTAACAAAAAAAAAGAGAGAGAGAATAGGAGAAGGTTGTAAGGGTATTTTTTTATTGTTGTTTATTTTTTTATTATTCATTCTCTTCAGGGTTATGAGTTACATCGTATCGTTTACCACGAATGCCCCAAATACCATAATTTGCAAAAATGGTTTGTCGAAGGTCCATCAAATTGACATCCCTCTTTAAGCTTCTATACTCATTCACCGTTGGCTTCAAGACCCAATCGAATTCACCTTGATAATCCTGTTCGACAGCTGTCACATCATTCATCATATCTGCTTCATCATAGCCCGTGATGAACATGGCACATTTGGTCTCGAGTGCTTTCTGGATCGATGGTTTCCAACCTTCACGTGCACTGTGATGACCAATACCAGGAGAGAACAAGAAGAAGAAATCGGTATAAGGATCAAATTTCTCGATTTTTTCATGATAGTCGTGATACATGGCGTTATCAAACGTAAAGAAAAGGCGTTCATTTACTGACTTCATGTGAGGTTCTTGGTTAGGGGCTAAGGCGTCGGGCCCAATAAAATGGATGTGGAAAGGCGTTGATGGAAACAGGTAGGCAAGTTGTAGCCAGATGTGAGATGGTAAGGTTGCCTCCGCACGAGCTCCTAAAAGGTAAATGTTGATTGTCTCTGTACGAACTTGAGCTTGGGCATCGTTGACAAGTCGATTTTTAGGATACAAAATGGTTCTAAGGGCTATTTTTTTTTATGTCAGACATATGCACATATAGACATGTATTCATATTACCTGCTATTGATCGCATGCCTTCTGCTGTAATCTGATCTCCGTATTTGTACGGACTTGATTCATGCAAAACGGCAGCAATGGATATAGGATATGTCAATAGTTTTGATACATGACGCATTGATCTATCAGAGTCCATGGATGGGAAACTACGGGTATAAAAGAACATATCCCAGTTTGCCATATTGACCGTTTCATCAAATCCCTGAGCACCTATATAGTTGTGTGTCAATTGATTTTTGTTTAATCATTTATAGAGTCCTTACTAGGAAATTCAAATTCTCGCATAGGTCTTCCCGAACGTAAGTCATGATCGTCTTCATTAATCTCTCGTAAAACAGAACATATTTCCTTGTGCGCCTCTTTTCCTTGGTGATAATGGTCTTCGCAGCAATGTGTAGGATATCCACATTCGGGACAATCATACGTTGGCTTCTGTTTAGGTGCCTCGTGGTTGTCACAGACAGGACAGGTACCATATTTGTTAATGATGGCAGCTCTGTCTCTCATTTCTGCTATAGGTGATTTCGATAGAATGTGAAATAAATGGTCTTGATCTATAATGACCTGGCGCTTATTATCTGTGTCCTGAGCTGAGGAGTTGCGAAAGATACCCTTGAAGATAGGTCGAACAGCAGTTTGTGTCAAGGATCGTGTAATGACATGTCTAGAAACTGATGACTGGCGAACAACGCTACGTAGCAACAGTCGTCGTGAAGCTGTTATTAATGCTCTATTCATTCTAACAAGTTTATAATAAAAACCAAAAAAAAATAATGACAAAAAAAAAAAACTTGGCAGGGTCCAAGTTTAAAACAGAGGTCACAAAGTGACAGGTGTCAGCTTTGGCCCGTCAAGGCGGTAACTGAAACCTCAGTTATAACCAAGTGCAGTGATACTTCATCTTTAAGGTTTAATGGCATTGGTTTCAAGCAGAATGTTCCATTAAGCTACATTGCTTTGAATTGATATAATCATATCTACAACAAGAACAATCCTTCTACCACTTTGATAATTGTAACATGAATACAGGAAGCATGAGCGATTTTTCAGGCGTGATAGCCAAGCCTGACGTGCTTAGTCATGTGCAATACTGATCTTTACGACTAACTTAATTACCTGTGCCTTGTTTATAACTTTATTTTTACTATTCTTTTTCTCCATTATTCTCAATAGAAGGATAAAACAGAAATACTTCACTCTACATTTGCTTGAGCAATGATGATAACAATAGTAAATCAAGAATATATATATTTTGAACAACAGATGATCTACAGGCGAGCTTTTCGACAATGGGCGCCTTGTTGAACATGCCTTCATGCTGCAAAATATCCAATCATCTGTTATGAGCATAGTCGCCAACAATGGCGTTCTTAATATTCTTGTGATGTCTATAAAAAAGTCCTTGGGAATTGTTGTATCTAAAAGTGACTTACCTCAAGAGCTTCCTTAGGTCTTTAGGGCCTGTTGTCAGCCATGCGTATACCTGCCTTTGAGCGATTGAATAACACGTCTATCATTCATGCTAAGTAATTTGTGCGACTACCACCGCTGTGGTTCTGCTCGGAAGACTTTCTTGCATAACCAATAAGTACTAAGCTTTCAACCATCCATTCTTGAACCTTGTTCAAATAGTTCTTTTTGGTTCAAATTTTTGCGAATATCCTTTCGCTGCTTTAACCCTGAAACTTGAACGTAGATGCATGCATGTCTTATTGGTTAGTGGCTGTTTTGGAAATATCTTTGTACTTTTACTTTCTTTTTTGATCGTGGTTTTCAGTACTTGTATGCTCAAAAACGTATACATTTAATACTATCTTTATTGACTCAATGCTACCCAGCTGCTATTGGATCATTTTTATGCAATAAGTCGAAATGAACCGTCACTTTTGATCGCGATTTAATGCTTTTTTTTATAACGACTGTTATTTTTTATTCCTTTAGAATGCAACAACCATTTGGAGAGTCACCATGCCAACAGTGGAGGATTGCTTTCATCTATGCTTTTGCAACTATCTTTAACTCTCAACAATCAATAGCACCTTCACTCTTTAAACTACCGGATTTTACACCTGATGTATTCTATAAAAAGGATAAATAGTCTTCCTCAAGGGATGGCATAGTAATTAGTTTTTTTATTAGCAATTAGAAGTAGAACTTCAAAAGGAAGACAGTCAACTTGTACATAACATCATCTGCTCTTGTCTTGGAAACATATTTAATAGAAAAAATCCCGTAGAGTAAGATACAAAGTTGCTTAACTTGTATAAACAAGTGGCTCATATTTTTATAGATCATATACCAAATCACTTCAAGATATTGTCACTGAAAAGATAAAAACAATGGATATAGAGTTGGAAAAGAACCCCTTGTCAAATCAAAAGTTTAATACGTTATCTGCAGATTTAAAAGTATATATATTTATAACTATAAAAAGAGAAAAGATATCTAAAACAGCATCCATAGTTACTCATCTTATATTCTATGGTCGAATGGCAGCTACAGGATAGTCAAGCAGTTCGATTGATCATAGATTACTATAGCACAAAGAGAAGCCAGCATAATCCGATTGAGGTTCGTCCTATTGGCATAGACAAAGAGAAAAGCACCTATTGGCAGTTTGGTGACTCACCTTATATTTGGAAAGTAAAAAACAAAAAGAAAGAATGGACATTAGGTAAATATGATGATGAAGTTGATGAAATATTGATCAAATCAGTATGTAAGGATCGTCAAACGATGGAAGCATGGATAAGTACATTATCGACCACACATCGAGCAGAAAAGGCATTATTTAAGTATGTTGACGAGCATGTGTATCCGCTAATAGAAAAGCAAGAGAAACGAAAGGCTAAACTGGAACGAGAAAAATGGAAGAAGCTGAATCCGGTTGAACCAGTGACGACGCGATCGTATACGAGAAAGAGAGAACGAGTGAATTACAATTATGACGAAATCTATACAGAGCAAGACTTTGATGAATATCTTCCAGAGTCTTCTTCTAGATCACCATCACCTGATCGATTGGCAAAAAAACCTACGAGATCAAGCAATAGACTCAAAGGGGCTCTTGATGCTTGATGTGTGTATAAGATGATCTAATGAATAAAGACGAGTTTTATTTCTAAAACGATTTCTCGAGCTCATTCTTTGCTTGAAAACACGATACGTGTCATTCTTTCATACGGTCTTTGCTTAAAGTACAATTTGGGTATTTACCAAGTAGTGAATTCTGGCCCTTTTTTTAGACGAATTAAATTCAATTTCTGTCTTTTTCCTCTTTCTCCCTTTTCTTTCTTTCTCTTATTTCCTTCCCCCTTTTAGCTACGTGTTATCTATAATGTTTTCGTGGAGTAGAATAGTGTTTACTATTCTTACTTTAGCCCTTTTAAAGACTTCACTAGCGGATGAACATAACCATGTGGTAAGGAATACACACACAATAAGAATAAAAAGAGAGAGAAAGAGACACTTTACACGTTTGTTTAGTATAAAGAAGGTGAAGAAGTTATTATTTGGATGAACACCGTTGGACCTTTGCACAACAGACAAGAGACATACCCTTACTTTCAGTTACCCTTTTGTCAAGGACCACACAGCGTAGAACATCACCATGAAACTTTGGGAGAAGCCCTTCTTGGAATGGATTTGGTTAATTCAGGCATTCCGACACAATTTAAAAGTATTGAAACAAGAAAAGAGAGAGAGAGAAAGGAACTAATATGATTTCTTTTTATAGTCAATGAAGCAGATAAAGCGTATTGTGAACAAGAACTGGAGCCCAAAGATGTGGACGTTCTTCGATATGCAGTCGATAACCAATATTGGTACACCATGTTTATCGGTATACGTGATGAAGCGAATGGATGACCTTATTGCTTATATTATGTATAACCCATAGATGACTTACCTGTAAGTGGAGTGGTAGGAAAAGATGAAGAGGAGGAACAAGCGACAGAAACGGATCCTCATGCCAAGAAGCTTTATGTGTATACGCACAAGAGCTTCATGTTTGAGTATAATGGAAATCAGGTTATTATGAATATATCATTTAGGCTTCCATTACAACTCACGAGTATATTTATATATAATAGATCATTAGTATAAGCTTAAAACATGGCAACCCAGTAGAATTAAAACACGGTTTATCGCCCCTCACATTCACTTACTCAGTCACTTGGAACCCTACGGATGTCTTGTTTGAAAACAGATTTGAAAGGCTTTTAGAAGCTGATTTCTTTGAACACAAGGTAAGTTCCTCTATATGCGATTCGGGATACTATACTGATCATATTTAGGTTCACTGGCTTTCCATCTTTAGTTCATTCATGATGGTTCTATTCTTGACGGGTCTTGTCTCTGTTATCTTGCTGAGAACAGTCAAGAGAGATTTCACTAGATATGATCGAGAAGAAGGACTAGCCGACTTTGTAAGTAAAACTTTTATAATCTATGTAAAACCTAACGTTTTTTTTTTTCTTTTTCTCTTTTTAGGATAGAGATTTAGGTGACGAATATGGATGGAAACAGGTTCATGGAGACGTCTTTCGACAACCACCACGACTGATGATGATGTCTGCCCTTATGGGAACTGGTTCACAGCTTGTTATTCTATCAGCCGTTGTGATCCTATATACTATTTTGGGTGATTTGTATGCTGAGCGTGCAACTATCTTAACAGCTACGATCTTCTTGTACGCATTTACTTCATTTGTCGCAGGATACACTAGTGCAAAATATTATGCAAGATATGGGGGTAGAGATTGGATCAAGACATTTGTAATGACAGCGAGTCTCTGGCCAGGCGCTGTCTCGTTCATCTGTGGGCTCATCAATACCCTAGCCATCTACTACTCTAGCTCCCGCGCTATCTCTTTTTACGCCCTTTTATCTATCATTGCTCTTTGGATATTTATATGTTTCCCACTTACCCTTCTTGGAACCATCGTTGGCCGTAACTGGGGAAGCCAAGCTGATTTTCCATGCCGTGTTAATCCGATTCCTCGACCTATTCCGGAAAAAGTATGGTACGCAGAACCTTTGGTCATTGTAGCTCTAGGTGGTATTTTGCCATTTGGATCAATCTTTATTGAGATTTACTTTATTTTTACTTCATTCTGGACGTACAAGATCTACTATGTCTATGGCTTTATGCTGCTTGTGTTTATTATCTTATTGATAGTCTCTGCCTGTGTGTCCATTGTCAGTACATATTTCCTGCTCAATGCAGAAGATCATCGATGGTAACATCATATTTAAAATGAGGCGTACCCTTTTTAACTTTTATTATTTATAGGCATTGGGTTAGTTTCATGACATGCGCTTCAACAGCTGGTTATATTTATTTATACTCTGTCTATTATTTTATGACAAAGACAAGGTATGGAAAAGAAAAAAGTTTTTTGATATATACTCACACATTTTTATATAGAATGACTGGTTTATTCCAAACAAGCTTTTATTTTGGTTATACAGCCATCTTGTCCTTGGGGATGTTTTGCATGCTAGGTAAAATGATAATGCTTGTAAATACTATATATGCTCATTCTATTATATATTCAGGTTTTGTCGGTCATACAGCAGCTTCAAAATTTGTACGTAAAATATATCAAAATGTCAAGATTGATTAAAGAAAGTGTATAAATATACAAGTTTATTTTATATTAAATAAGCGTATCCGTTTTTGTAAATATTATCATTATCATTAGTATTTTAGTATAATGTAAAACGCATGAACTATTATACATAAGTTAATATCCCTTGTTATAATGTTAAAATATATGTGCGCTACTTACTGATACCAGGAATATATCCAAGACAGGTTAAACCAATGTTAATCAGCAGATCACAAGTACAGCCTCTTTCCAAAAAGACACCAAGAGGAGGAAGAACGACAGCTAAAGGGCATTATTCATACATACTTTCTTTTTACATAATGTATTGACTTACCGAAAAAGAATTTAAAGATATCAGAACAAGTGAGAGCCATTATTTGTATATAAATAGTTTAGTTAAAAAAAAAAAGAGAAAAGGCAGCTCCCTTTTTATATACTTTTCCTGTTGCTTCCAAAAATAGAATGGTACATTCGAACAAGTAATTAGCCACTCTCATGTCCCTTTTTTAGCTATTAACGTGATTTTCTAGACATTCTTATGCCAAGCGGAAGTAGTACAACAGCCACAGTGATGTAATCGATTTTAAATAAATTTATTAAAATTCTACTCAGCTAGTTTTTAACTACGATAAGGTCAAGGCTTGCCAAGCGTTTAGCCGCCATGGTGCAGTGATAACTGCCTTTTGTGCATACTTTTGTGCCAAATCACGGTCATTCTGTGCCAAAGCAGCATACTCATAAGCCTCTGACGTTGTATTGGCATCATGTTTTCTCTTTGAAATGATCAAAGACGAACTAGCCACTCGTTCAATCACTTTAGCGTCTTGTTCTGATGTCATAATCATTTGTTTGCAAAGACGAGACCAGACAGTAGCTAACCAAGGCGCTTGGTGAATCCATTTAACTAGACTACGACTAGCATGTACAGAGTCACCCTGATGAAGAGCACACGCTCAGTATCACATGTTGTAAAAATATAGTTTAAATTACCTGAAGTTCGTACACTTTAGAAAACAGCCAAGAAATTTGCTGGTTCTTATCCAGCGTATCTATATCGAATGTCAAAAAAAAAGAAGATTCAAGTAGTATAACAAAAGAACTTACAGGCATCATCTGCGGGTATCTTTGCTAATTCTTGTAATGCTGCCAAAGTCAGCGTTTCATCATTTTCCATGATGCCCATGACACACAAGGAGAAAATCGCCGGTAAATAAGTTGGATTTTCTGAGATACTAAGCGGGGAAAACATTAAGCAACCATTCGCCATATCACTTTTTTGAGTTTACCTTGAAAACAATTGCTCCTTTGCTACCGATCTTTGTTCTTCTCCTTCTAGCGCCCAGAGTACCTTTGCTAGTAGTACTACTACATCTTGACGTAGTGTGATATCCTCCTGTGTGGCATTTAAAGCTGATTCAAACAACGATAACGATTCTGGCAGCTGATCTAAAAAGTAGTGAGCAATGCCTGCATTTAGTTGAGCATAGACACTTTGCTGCTGATGGTTTTCGTAGCTAGCGATGCCTCCCTGGAAGTCACCAGTAGCCACAAGACAACGACTAAGGTTAGCGTGAATCTTGCTCAGTCGTGTTTGTCCTTCTTCTGTAGTAATCTTTTTTTCTTCTATTTGTGCCTCTACAGCGAGAATAGCAGAGGCAAAGGATTGAGCAGCTCGATGATGCTGACCTAGTCGTTCAAGTAGCATTCCAAGTAAGTTTAGAGAAAGTGCATCATGCACTCGTTGTTCAGTTAGCTTTTGAAGAGCAAACACGGGCGTGACCAATTCGTTGGTGTTAACATCCGTGGATAATCTTTGGAATGCAGTCTCTGCATATCCATAACTGGCATCTAACTATATAAAATAAGGTTAGTATCGCTCTATTGAAATACAAAAAGCAGAACATACAGCTGATCCGTTGCTTGATTCAAACGCATGCTCAAAGATTGCAGCCGCATCATTGCCCCATAATGAAGCTACGTATGCCTGTCCGACCCAGGCAGAGATCCATTCTGGATCAAGCGAGTGTGCCATATCAAAGGCTTGATTTGCTAGTTCATAATCCTTGAGTGATAAACAAAGGAACCCGTAGTTTGTCCAAGGTATGGCACTTCGATTGTTGTATTCCATCGCTTTAATGAATGCATGCTGTGCAAGCTTAGGCAGGTGAGCCACTGTCATGGCAATAACACCTAGTGTGTTCCAGTACATGTACTGTGTTGGCTCCATCGTAAGTGACACCTTTATACACTGAATAGCCACACTTGACTCATCGTTTTGGTTCAAGCACAAATAGTAGTAGACTGCAGCCAGATCATGCCAAAATGCGGGAGACACAGAGGGATGATTCTTGGATACGACAATAGCTTGCTTATAAGAATAAGAAGCGCATGATAAAATAACGTCCAAGGCAGCTTTATGAGGTAAGCTCAGGTCATGCACATCGTCTGCTAAACCCAAAAATTCGTTTACCCAATGGCTGGTCGAGTCTTGTTCAAATTTTAAGGCACTATGTGGATTTGTTGTGATCTGCATGACTCTCTGTAGAGTAGAATAGGCACATAAATGAATATAGCTAGGAATCTGTCGGTAAAAGCAGCAGGCATCACCTATTAACTTCCAAAACATAATGATAGACTTGTCTTGCTGCAACCCAAGCAAACATGTTTCTATCACACGATTGCAGCCATCTGCTGCACGTCCAAAGAAGCCCAGCTGAAAATCCTCCTTGGCATGCTCCAAATAAGTTTCAGCAAGTCCAGATAAGGCAGGGATATAATTGGGCTTTCCTTGCTCTTCAGCAAGCGCTAGTGTGTGTTTGAAACTTGCAATAGCATCGTCTAAGGATCCAATCTTTTGCTGTACATACGCTCTCTCATTATTCGCGTGAATTGAGTGAGGATTAAGCTGAATGGCTCGACCAAATGCCTTCAAGGCTGCCACAAACCTTCCAGCTCTCGAATATGCTTCTGCGAGGCCTTCCCAACATCGAACATCACTTGTGTCAGCTCGAAGTGCTTTTTGAAAGCATGATATAGCATCATTGTATGACTTTTGATTCTATTGGTAACGTTAGATTTCTCTTTGAAAAAAAAATACTCAATCGTACCAAGTTGAGATGTCCCATTCGTCGCCATGCCCAGCCTGTCTTGGGGCTGGATTCTGTCACTTGGCGAAACACGGCTTCTGCTTCGTCTTGCTCATTATCAGCAATATAATAATCCGTTAAATGAAGCGCTGCATCTGTATCAAGCGGATTTAACACATAAGCCTTTTGATAACACTTTTTGGCTCTTGCATGGTCCCTTTTATGCTCTCTATAATAATGACCAAGAAAAGTAAAGCCATGAGAGAAGAAGGGATCCATTTTGACAGTTTGCATAAAATACTTGAATGCACTGCTTGCATCTTATAACATTGGCCAGTATTAGTAAAACTCTTATTCTCTAATAAAATATAACTACATACCTTCCATAGCCCAATATACCCTTCCAAGCCTGTAGTAGTAATCTGGAACGTCCTTACCAGCAATGTCTAACGCTGTAGTAATAAATCGGATGGCATCTTCATACTTTTGCTTTTCTAAATAGATCCAGCCCATTTCTGCCACAGATGTATGGTTACTGGCGTCAAGTTGATGCACTTTTTCAAAATAACCACACGCTTCATCTAATCTTTTCTCATCTAGTAAAATGAAGCCCATGCCCTCTAAAGCGCTGGTTTGCTCAGGACAACGCTGAATGATAGACCTATAAAGTGCTGTTGCATCCATATAATACTTCTTGTCAATCAAACGATAACAGTGAGCCATATGTAGTTCCATAAATACAAGTATACTACAAGAAGATATAGATGAGAAATATGCTCTGTCGAGAATTATTCTTTGTTTACTTTTCAAATATAATGCCCCATTCTGACTTGTACTTTCCTACCAAGTCTCTACCCTTTGTAGCATATTCTAAGCCTGTCTCATATTCTTTAGACTCATAGTAAACCGAACTTAAGCACTGATATCCAAATAAGCTGTTTGGCTTCTCTTCCAATCCTTCCTAAAGAGTGGTGTTTACTTTTTTTTTCATATACTGAGCGCACTTGAGTATTTACACTAAACAGATCGAATGCTTGGTCGATATCCCCTTGTCTACTTAACCTGTATCCTCTACCTAATTTCGCCAACCCACTATCTGGAAATCTCTCTATAAACTGTTCAAATAGATTCCAGTCATATTGTTCTACATTTAACGTTTGTTACACTCTATTCTTGATCTCTTCAGTTTTTAATTACCTGGACTATTCGCATCCACAAACTGTATTAATAGTTCCAATGGAAGAGGATCATCCATCGACACTAGTTCACTAGCCAGTGACATGATCTGTTCATACAACTCTGCCTTATCCCTTACGCCTGCAATCCGCTTGACGAGAAACTTGAGCAGCTTGAGTTTCCAAAACTGCTTTGTTTCTACATCATCATCAGAGATGAGCGCCAACACGTTCTCGTACATGACACCTAATTTGGATGCACCGTATATCTCTGCCTCTACCTCGGCCAACACCTGTGCTGGCGTTCCTCCACTAACTCTGAATCTTCTTGATGCGACTTCGTTTTCCACTGTCTGGGCCTGCTCTTTCTCTTGCTTTTCAATTATGATCTGCCATATCTCAATCTGTGATGGTAAGTCTGGCTGATCCTTGATTAAGTCATAATAAGTGCTTCCAGGCAAAAAGCTTTTCAAGACTTCCAAGTGTTGGTTAGGGTCTGTTGACTTGTAAATATGCACAAGTTTCTTCAAATACTCTGCCAGTCGTGCTCCATCACCACTAATAATAATAATAATAATAAAGTCAAAAAAAAAGAAAACCAAAAAAACAAAAAGGACAACATACGTTGCTACAAGTCGAGGAATGATATCTCGTATCGTCTTTGACAGCTCTTCTTGTTTTTGTCTTTTTTCATAAAAGTTGATCAGACCGTGCCATCCGAGCATATTGTCTGGATTGATCTCAATAGCTCGTTTATATGCTTCTTCAGCCTCTTGATCTTGCTCTAAATTAGTATGAGCTACACCTAAAAAGACCCAGCTAATGATAGCTTAATCAACTGCATCAGAAATACATTTATATCTTACGCGTTATAGTTTTCGCCTTCCCAAAGTAAAACACGTTTACAAGCCTTGACGGCATCACTATATTTCTTGGCACCAATAGCCTCTCTTGCAGCCTTTAAATCTGCTTTTGTGTTCATTCTGCAGAAAAAGAGAGAGAGAGGGCAAAGGAAAAAAGAAGGAGTTTAAACATTTCTCTCCCTTTTCATCTATAAAAAAAATGAAAACGACAGGTGTCATTGTACTCTTGCTTGGACTGATTGCCTTGTGTTGGGCAGCTGTAGAACTTACAGACGATAACTTTTCGCAAGTGGTAGGGAAGCAAGACGAATGGTTGGTTGATTTGTAAGTTGATCTTGTTGGTCTATATGTATACATATATTCATAAGGCATTAGTTATGCGGATTGGTGTGGTTATTGTCAAAGATTCGAGTCAACTTTTGATGAAGCCGAAAGACAGTTACAATTAAGCAACTATAAACATGTACAGATTGGTAAGGTGAATGTAGATACCAACCCTGGACTAGCAGCAAGATTCTTTATTTCTCGTTTACCAACTGTCGTGCATATCAAGGATCATCAAGGTAACAATGGATACAACAAGTAGAAAGCGAATACTCATGTTACAAAAGTCCGTAGTTTGCCTTCTATCAAGACAGTAAGTGATGTTGTCGGATTTATTACTCTGGAACAGTGGCGTCAAATTGACCCAAAATCAGGCATCGTTTCTCCCTTTAGTTTATTGTAAGTGATTATAAAAAAAAAAAGGAGCATATAAACTGACCATAACAACCAGTGGACGACTTTTGGGATTTGTGGGTAGCATAGTAAAGAAAGCATCAACATACTCCTCACCTTGGACATTGATTGGAACTTTGTCTGGAATCTTAGTCTGTGTACTCTGTTTACCTGTCATCCTTGACAGATTCAATAACAAAAAGACAGATGCAAAGAAAACACAATAAGATTATAAACACATCCTTTAATGAATAAAATACAGGAGCAATATAGTATATGTATAACTGTATTATAATACTTACCGTATTATCTCGCACTCTCCCTCTCTCTATTCAAGGCTTGTCTATCTAATCTTAGATATCGCCTTTCTCTCTCTCTCGCACTCTCTCTCTTTTTATTTATCGCATTCTCGAGTTCTCTCTCTAATTCTCTGGGCTATCGTAGTTAATCTCTCAAATCCAATCAAAGATTTAATCTCTAATGTATTCTCCTTATAACTGTTTTCTACAAAAGCTGCAACAGATAATCAATGCAAAAACGTTCTCTCTCTCGCTTTGTGATAAATCCACTTTATCCAAATGATTTCGTCAAAAATTTTTTTAAAAAAGTATCGACGCGTTATTTTATAAAAAGCAATATTTTTGGAAGAAAACAAGAAAAATAAAAGCATCACATTCGACTCTGCTAATGTCTCTACCTATTCTCTCTCTTTTTCTCTTTTCCATTTAGCGACGATAAGGTTCAGGTGAGTCGCGTCTGTATCCACGAGAATCCATAGGAGGAGGAGGAGGGGGAGCAGAATCTAAGAGAGTATTAATACATGTTGAAGAATAGAATTAAGCACTTACAAGGATCGCTCATATTTCTGTCACGAGGGTCGTCCATAGGTGGAGGTCCGTTTGTTGAACGTCTGGCAGGACGATGTTGTTCTTTCTTTGAAAGTCCAATGTCCCTACAGATGTGTGTTATAGTCTAATCCCCAATTTCCTTTTTTTTTTTTACCAGTCAAGTCTTAAACGACGGCCTTCGACACTGAAACCATCGAATTTTTCAAATGCATCTTCAGCATCACGACGATCCTCAAATTCAATAAAAGCAAAGCTACCATATCATTCATTAGTACCACATATACTCTTTTTTTCTCTTTGACGTACCCTTTATTCTTATTGGTTACGGTGTCCATTGGAACAGTTACTGACTTCAAACGACCATAGCGTTCAAACATGGTGGCAACCTATAACCCTTATCAGAACTCTCTCTTATATCTGCATGTATCATCTTACGTCTCGTTCAATGAAATCGTAGGGAAGGTTTCCTGCGTAAATAGTAGTTGATGACTTTCTATCTTGTTCTGTTCCTCGTTCAACAGGTCTTCTTGCTCTTGCTTTAGGAGGATATCTTCCTCTTCTGTCGTCATAGCGTTCATAACGGTCTCTGTGCTCATAGCGGTGGTCGTATCGATCGTATCTGTCTCTGTGGTCATAACGGTCTCGGTCGTAGCGGTCTCGGTCGTAGCGATCGTCTCGGTGGTAGTAATCGCGACGAGGATAATCGTATCGATCTCTGTGGTACCTGTCATCATCACGGTATGAGCGTCTGTCGTCATAGTATCGGCCACCAGCAGAAGGAGAACGACGGCGTGGTGACAAGGAGCGATCACGACCAGGTGATCGTTCTCGACGGCCTACAGATGAAGATGATGACGAAGGTGGTGGAACACCATTGTTTGCAGGAGGAGGAGGTGGTGGATAGTCATCGGCCATTTTGCTAGATGGAGGTGATAATTCACTCATTCTGTGAGAAACAAAAAGAAAAAGAGAGCTAAAAAAATGTTATTTCCCAAATTAAAAAGCCACATGAAAATTGCGTCATCACCTAAAATAAGGCTGGGACTCATTGGCACTGTTTTTGATTTGTTTTGGACACACCTTTTGTGCTGAGTGATCGTAAAGGCGTGAAGCTGCATAAAATGAGACGGAATAGTGTTGGTACGGTACTATGAAGGATTGTATCCAAAGAGAGCCTAAAATCTGTTAAAACGGTATGTGTAGTGATTTCAAGTCCGTTCAAAGGGGCAACTCTTGAAAAGAATGAAGAAATGATCATTGATGGTTTCGAAATATAAAACACTCTTTTGCAACAAAAAAAAAAAAAAATAGAAATACGCAAATCCTTGGCTTTTTCGTACATTGTTTGGCTTTGATTGAAACAAGTTCAATTGATAACCAAAACACTTCTATTTCTCTTTCTCTCTTCTTCTCTCTGTACTCGTTTACTAGACACAAGCTCAACTTTGTATTGTTTATTAAAAGAGTTGCTTGTAATAAAATAAATACAAGCTCATGACTATCGCTCGTCTGTTTCAATTATTTCAAACAATGGCAAAATATGAAAAAAGTAGTATTTCATGCTGAACTGATCCCGCCACCCAGAACTCTTTAAAAGTTTATCTTGAACAAATTTCGATCTCAGAGTCGTCATCATCCCTTTCAGCTTCCTCGCGGCGGAATCGTGTACTGAGATTAAAACTAAATGGAGTAAAAGCGACGTTTTATTCCAAAAGAGGAATAATATTCCGGAAGGCTATAAAAGAGCAACTTTTTCCACGCATTATTTTTCCTTTAATTCATTTTTATAGTCATGTCAACAGAACAATTTAAAGAAAACACTTCGTTTGTTCTTCAAAAGATCAACGAGATCACTTTTGTAAGAGATACACTTTTTTTAGCCTTGTAAACAATGCACAAGCTTATTATTTGCTTCTCTCCCTGTAGGAACCAAGACCAATCCCAACTGCAGGACCAGGAGGTAAGAAAAGAAGAGGCGTATTTTATATGCTGACATGTATATACAGAGGTGATTGTCAACGTGAGAGCAACTGGTATCTGTGGCTCTGATGTTCACTACTGGACACACGGCCGTATCGGTCACTTTGTGGTTGAAGAGCCCATGGTTTTGGGCCATGAATCAGCCGGTGTCATTGTATCCGTTGGACCTGATGTTACCTCACTCAAAGTGGGAGACCGCGTGGCATTAGAACCTGGTGTTCCTTGCCGAAAGTGTGATATGTGCAAGCTGGGTAAATATAACCTTTGTCCTGATATGGCATTTGCTGCTACCCCACCCTATGATGGTACACTCTGCAATTACTACAAGCATGCAGCCGATTTTTGTTACAAGTAAGACATATACTTTCATGTTGACCAGAAATTGACTTTTTTAGGTTGCCCGATCATGTAACACTGGAAGAAGGCGCTCTCATTGAGCCATTATCCGTTGGCATTCATGCCTCTCGCAGAGGTGACGTTAAAATAGGTGATAGAGTCTTTGTGTTTGGCGCTGGACCAGTTGGGCTTTTAACTGCTGCTGCAGCTAAAGCAGCAGGTGCAACCCATGTAACTATTGCAGGTATGTTGTGTACAAAAAAAAGGGGAGAAGAACTTGTAAATAATCTTTTTGGCCAGACAGAGATCCTACTCGACTGGCTTTTGCAAAGGAATATTGTGCAGATGAAGCAATTCATTTGACTGGAGCGCGTAGAGTAGACCAAGATAGTAATGACTTTGCAAAGGAAGAAGCCGAGAAAATCATAAATTCTGGATTTAAGCCTGTAAATATTGTATTTGATTGTACAGGAGCCGAGATTTGTGTTCAGATGGCTGTTTATGTAAGACCAAGTGGATTATGCAACTCAAATTTTTTTGTATAACCTTCTTTGTGTGAATAGCTTGTTAAAAATAGTGGATGTATTGTTCTTGTTGGTATGGGTGCCTCAGTGCAATCCATTTCAGTTGCTGATGTTTCTGCCAGAGAAGTGGATGTGAAGGGTGTGATGAGATATTGTCATGTAAGTATAGTATAAATATGTGTTGAAGCGTATCTTTTCGTATCTAACGAATGGACATATATAGACATATCCGACAGCTATTGAAATGCTTAGTTCAGGCAAGATTGATTTAAAACGCCTAATCACACATAGATACCAATTCAAAGACGCACTTGAAGCCTTTAAACATGTCAAGGAAGGAAGACAAGGGACAATTAAAGTTGTGATTATGAATGATTCACACTAACTTTGTACAAATAAGATGATATGATGATGATGAAAAAAGTAATTTACATTTTATGAAAAATAAATAGAAAAAATAATCTAGAAAAACAGTTTCCGAAATCGGAAGTTCTGACGTCTGTCATTGTTCATATCTTTGCAGAGAGAGACCGTTGCCATGGCATGTAACATGTCACCAATCTAAAGAAATAAAGTTACTATAGTGATGTTAGTATTAAGAAATAAAACTTTTTTAAATCGAAATGTCCTATATAAAAAAAAATACCAAGGTCAATCTTATAGGGTTACAATCTTCACATGTCAACTATTGATTTAATCTCAGTCGGACACAAGCAATGTTCTTGAAGATATATAAACAAGGCATTTTACACAATATCAACCACTTTTTATAACACTTTTTTTCACATTTCTAACAATGACAAAGAAGCACAATCCACTTCACAAAAAGATCTCTAGCAAAGAAGAGTTTGATCAAGTTACAGAATCCATTCCGACAGATAACCCACTTGAAGTATTAGATAGAGAAGTCCATGCACCTGGTAAGAAATGTGCAATTGTTGCATAGCGATCATTTACTAAAAAATTCTCTTTAAAAAAAGATAATTTTGTCGTTACCACAAGCGAAGCTAATAAGCCAGTAGAAAATAACTTTGCATTCTTTTCACGACTCTTTGCCATTCCTTTGATTCGTGATAGTACAGCCAAGGTACAAGAAATTGCCAATCAACACATGATCAGTCGATTCGCTATGAATCAGGCTGAAGCTACTGCCAAGTTAGCTGCCAACATTGCTTCCCCATATGCTGAGAGATACAGAGGTCATTTAAAGAAGGCTGATGAATTTGGTTGTAAATCACTTGATTTGGTTGAATCTAAACTTCCTCCCAGCGTAATGTTGTCAAGCCCTCAAAAAGTCTACAAAGATGTCAAGGGGCGTATTGTTACCTACACCAGTGAGAGCGTCGAACAGTTGGTCAATAGGTATCTCCCCAAGGAAAAAAATGACGCAACTATGCGATCAGAGAATGGTAAAAAATCATTAGCCAATGAAGTAAAGGACCGCTTGGCGTACCGTGCAAAATCCGACTTGTCTCGCTTGGCGGAAACAAGTCAATTCCTTCAAGAAGCTCTCCACTCTATTCAAAAGGCAAACACTCGCTTACAAGACTTTGTAAACTCACTGAAGGATGGCTATACTACAACTCAACACAAGGCTAACCAACGTCTTCATGAACTTACCGTTGATGTGATTAAACGTATTGATTCTGCTGCCAACTATGCTAAAGAGAAACATGTTATGGATAATCTGCCTTGGCTCGTTCAACCTTTGGTTCACTTTGCTTCTAATGAATATGAAATTGTTCGCACTGAAATGTTAAAATCTGATGTCGCTCCATTACAAAAGGCAACAAATATCTTACACGTAAACCAGACTCAGATCTTTCCATTGTTTAAAAACACCATCCATGGCTTACAAGAACAAATTCGTGAATACAGCTTAAATAACAAGGTTGTACGGGAAGTAAAGTCAACCCTTGGTCTTGTCAGTACAAAAGCATAAAATAACGCATCTATTTTTTTTATTATTCTGTACAACTCTTTTTTCATATTCGCTCTGTTTATATTCATAAAAATAAATCTATTGCTAAACCTGCATTTTACCAGAATTACTTTTAAAGAGGGTAGTGGCATGATATTCTCTGGTACTACTAATACTTCCCCATTTGTGGAAAAAAAGCAACTATAGTTTATCCTATCTGAAGTTACTCTTGGAAGGGGTATCCGGAAAGTAAAGTCGCACCCGTAGAATTGGTGTCGCATTCTTTCAAGAGTGAGCATCATGCGAGTTCTAAAAATAAATGATATACACACACACACAAAAACGCCCTCATTAACGAATGAAATAGTTCCCTCAATTATTGGATAAAGGCAAACACTTGTCCTTTACATTTCGAAATTCAATGCAAATTACTTTTACTACATAAACTTCTCGCTTCAAGTTGTCTCGTTTTCGTTCTGTTGGTTTGATGAGCTGACTCATTGTCTTGTGCCTCTTTCCATTTTTAGATTTTGAAAACAATATCGTTTTTATCACCATAACTTTAAAATAAATGTCAAAATGATAGAGCAAAGACAAAGCTCTTGTAAAATTAGCATGTGTAAAAAAAAAAAAAAAAAGAAAAAAAAAGACAATATTAACGAAACAGTGCAGCGTCTTTATTCAAAAATAATTAAACATACCTGCAAGAAATAAATGACTCGTTAGCTCAAATGGAGGGAGGTACAAGTATTAAATACCCATGTTTACAATGCAGGAACATCTTATCAAATGAGCATTGATAACACTATGAATGATCAAAGGGATATACACGGACTATTTGTTATTATTCAAGAGTGATATGCACCAAACTATTTTTAATAGCCACCCTCCGAATAAGCACTAGCTCTTGATGATTGCATTTAATTATTTATTTTTAAAAATGCAACACGCATAAATACAATGCCAAATCATTCAGCACCAGAAACATTTTGAAGCTTGAAACATTGAATTTTCCCAGTTCCTGTCCTTGGAAAAGAAGATACCTCGAATATGCCACCACGCAGTTTTTTGCTGTCAGGTAACTGAGAATCAGCATATTCCGCTATCTCTTTCAATAAACTCTCTTTATCGTTCACTTTATCCAGTAAAGAGACATAAGCTCGCGGTAGTTCAGTTCCTTCTTCTTTGGAAAAAACGCCAATGACAGCACAATCCGTTACCTGTGGATGACCAATAATGACTTCTTCAATTTCGGCTGGAAAAATATGAATACCGTAGTACTTTATCAAATCCTTCTTACGAGTAACGTAGTAAAGAAGTCCGCTTTCATCTGCTTTAAAAATATCTCCTGTCTTTAAATAACCTTGCTCATCAAAGAGCTCAGTTGTTGCTTCAGGTTGATTATAATACCCAAGTGTTGTTGTGGGACCCTTGATACGCAGCTCGCCTTCGCTCCCAGGCGGTAAGTCATTACCATCGTCATCAACAATACGTCCAAGTACTCCATTTACTAAACGACCCACTGTTCCTGCAATAGATTGGTCGACACTGGCCCTAAAAACCAAAAGAATTTCTGTCATTCCGTATGTGTTGATAAAGTGTAGACCCAGCTCTTCCTTTGCAGACTGTATTATTGACTTGTCTACGTATGCACCACCAACAATTACTTGAGACAAGGAGGACACATCATAATTTTTAGACAGATTTAGCCTTTTAACGAGTTTTGTTGCCATGAAGGGGGTCATCATCGTTATGTTGATTTTTAAACGTTCAATTGCTTCCAACACATGTTCCAATGCTGGCTCGTTGCTTTTGAGGAGATACGACGTCCAGCGACTGAAAAGGCCAAATGTTGAGTAGATAAAGAGACCACTAGCATAACTGAATTTAGCGATAATTAAGCTATTCAGAGTACCAACGTCCAATGGTCCGTGGAGCAAGTAATGAATAAGAGAGCTCTGTCGGATCATAACCGCTTTGTTTTTGCCTGTTGATCCTGAGGTATAGTATAGGCAGCAAGGGGAATTTGTAAGGTCGTCCTTTGTGTACCGGTAAGGTTCTGCTAGTTCCTCACTTGAAAAAAGAGTGCCCTCAACCGTCGAGATGTTTGCAAGTAGGTTGATTTTGGTGCTGTCACAGGTAAGCAACAAGATATTGGATTCGGAAATCCTTGCCTCTTTAGCAGCTGGAAGCACAGCATCGATTTCGGTTTGGTATATAATGAAGAGCTTTGGTTTGGCGGTAGTGATGTTATAGACGATATCATCACGGGTGCAATCCGCAGTGGAACGTATTGCAGCGACAATGCCGCCTATATAGTTAATAAATATCTGGTCTAAACAATACTAACTTATACAATCTTACCTGCAGCAATAATACCATGAAATAATATAGCATATTCGATGTTGTTTGGAGAGCAAATGGCAACAACATCGCCACGCTGAATCCCAAACTTGTGCTTAAGGCCAGCAGCACACTTTAGTACTTGTGTTTTAAGCTGCCCGTAGGTCAAGGAATGGTCAGTGTCACTTGCTTCTGCAAAAGCTACGCGCTCTGATGGCATCTCGTTGTATGCATCTGTGAATATCGTGTCAAATAATGTAACTACTTTTGTATCCCTATTCTTTGGCATATCATTGTATGAATGAGTGGATCTGTAATATATAGGTTCTTTGCTCTTTAACATTTTTTATGGCTCTAATAAGAACAAGAAAGGTTGTAATAGCTTAAGGAGGAGTGACCGTTTATAAATAGACAGAAGTGAAAAACGTTTTAGAACCTTTATTGCCTAAATCTGGTTCTTTTTTTTTTTGTTTTCTTAAATAACTTTTGTATCATAATTACATCCGTTCGATATATATACCGTTTGCCCCTCCTTAGAGGCTCATCATTAGTATAGATCTAGCTTGCAACCTGTTTCAGGTACGTTGCTGAGAATTGATACGATCAGAACTTGGCTTGAGAAATGAATACAGCATTGATACGTCTTTATGATATATAAGCTGGGTATTAATGCTTGATAAATACATACAGCTTTCTTTGTTGAATTAGTTTTGGCTCTAAACCAAAATTCTTGCTGATATGTGTAACACTGCTACAGCATTGTTCTCCATAAGCTACTTTATCTAAACTACGCATTTTTTACTCATTTTATGCTGTATTATTCTTAAAAAAGACTTGCCACACGCGTGATGCTAACAGTTTGCTTATATTGAAGCAGATAAGTTAATAATTTATCTTATTTCAAAGCGGCGCCTCTGTCATGTCTGTATATCATATGTGCCATCTCAGACTGTTCAAAGCATAAGCTCAACAAGACAAAAGTTTATTACACTCCAAATACTGTTGATACAGCGCCAAGCAAAAAAAGACATGCATTTTTAAGACATTAAATTGACCACAATAAGTCATTGATCCAGTGTCCGTCATGCATTATGTGTTTTGCATCTGGCCAACGCTTTAGGTGTGTTTCTTACTTAAAAACGTAATGCAAAAACACTTTTTCTAATTGGACTATTCATTTGTGACTTGAGTCAAAATCCAATAGCGATGAGTCACTTTGACAGTGACTGCAAATTCGTCCTTCATTGGATTACCTGTGGTCTGACCATCATTTTTGACACCTCCACTTCTTTTTTCTTTTTCCTTTATTGCTTACACAATGAGTTCCTTTGGACGTCTTTACAGAGTTACAACCTATGGAGAATCCCACTGTAAGGGAGTGGGTGCCATTATTGATGGTGTACCTCCTGGTATGGAATTAACTGAAGCCGACATTCAACCTCAATTGACTCGTAGAAGACCTGGCCAAAGCAAACTGACTACACCTGTAAAAAGAATTATAACATTTGAAAAGCACTTGTATTAATGCTAATTTTATATAACAGAGAGACGAAAAGGATAAAGTGACCATCATGTCAGGCACAGAATTCGGTGTAACACTGGGTACACCTATTGGTATTATGGTCCCTAATTTGGATCAACGGCCTCACGATTACAGTGAGACAGACATTTACCCTCGACCCTCTCATGCGGATTATACCTATCTTCAAAAATATGGTGTAAAGGCATCTTCTGGCGGTGGACGTGCCTCTGCTCGTGAGACGATCGGACGTGTGGCCGCTGGCGCCATTGCTGAAAAATACCTTCGTTTAGCTTATGGAGTAGAGATTGTTGCTTTTGCTTCTAGTGTAGGTAATGTGGCCATGCCTTTTGTTCAGGAAGAAGATCCTGATCCAAAGCACATTGAATTTATGAACACTATCACACGAGAGGATGTCGATGCTGATATCTCCAGATGTCCTGATTCAACCACAGCAGAAGCTATGAAGAAGCTCATTGCACAAAAATCAGAAGAAAAGAACTCTATAGGAGGTTCAGTAACATGTGTCATCCGTAATTGTCCTGTTGGCTTAGGAGAGCCTTGCTTTGATAAGCTCGAAGCTCTCTTGGCACATGCCATGCTTTCAATTCCTGCCACAAAGGGATTTGAGTTTGGATCAGGATTCAGAGGCTCTAAAATGTCAGGCGATAAGCATAATGACCCCTTCTATTTGAAAGAGGATGGTCAATTTGGTACAATCACGAATCATTCAGGTGGTATTCAAGGTGGTATCTCTAACGGTGAACATATCTATTTCCGTGTTGCTTTCAAACCAGCTGCTACCATTTCACAAGATCAAACTACTGCAAGTTACGATGGTGTCACGGGTGTATTGGCAGCAAGAGGTCGTCATGACCCTTGTGTGGTCTCAAGAGCTATTCCTATCGTTGAATCTATGGCTGCTCTGGTCATCATGGAGTAAGTGTTTGAGCATACTGATTACACGAGTATTAATCCTTCTTTAGCGCTGTACTGCAACAAGAATCTCGCAATGCTGCTGCTTCTAAATTACCCAAGATTGACATTCATCATGCTTTATTAGGAAAGCCTCCAAAGAAGGACTAAGCCTGTGTACATTTAGAATTTAGAAACAATAAAAGGATCTTGTTGGGCAACCATTGTGACTGCATTTTTCTCAAAATAACATTTTCTCGGACGTTCTTTGCTTTTTTTTTTTTTTTGTATTGATTAGTAAACACCATGTCAGAACCTATATTCGTAGATCTCAGCGAGAGTAAGCCTACTGAAATTGAAAGCTTGTGTATGAAATGTCAAGAGAACGTAAGTGAGCTTTTAACTTTGAAAACGTACACAACATTAACATGTCAAATGACAGGGTATTACCCGTATCTTGCTTTCCAAGATCCCTCACTTCAAGTAAGTATGAGCAGCTTTGATATATATCCAGTGATTAAAACATCAATAGAGAAATCATTATCATGGCATTTGAATGTCCCCACTGTGGTTTCCGTAACAACGAACTTCAAAGTGCTGGTTCTGTCAACGAAAGAGGCCACACAATCACTTTATCCATTTTAAACAAAGACGTAAGGAAATGAAAAGAGATAAGAAAGGAAGATTAATGGTGGATATATATAGGACATGGACCGTCAAATCGTTAAATCCGATTACTGCTCTCTCAAGTTTATAGAACTTGATATGGAAATTCCTGCAAACAGAGATCGCGGTCTTTTGACAACCGTTGAAGGATTGGTCAGTAATGCCATTGATGACTTATCTGCTGGACAACCTATTCGTAAGGCTACGGATGAAGCCGTCTACAACCGTATTGAGGAGATTTTGGCTACCATGAATGAATACAAGGAAGGCAAACCATTCACATTGGTGCTAGATGATCCCTCGGGTAACTCTTATGTCGAGAACAGATGTCTACCTAACCAAGATCCTCAAATCAAGTTGAGATGGTACACACGTACAGCTGAGCAACAAGCCTTCCTTGGTCTTCAAAGCGATCAGGCACCTGCCGAAGAAGCCGCGACCCGTGCAGCTCAAGTTGTTGCATCCGAAATGGTGAATGAAGACGGTATACCTGAAGTCATGTCCTTCCCTGCCAGTTGTCCTTCTTGCCATGCACCTTGTTCAACCAACATGCATGTTATGGAAATTCCTCATTTTAAGGAAGTTGTCATCATGGCTACCAACTGTGAGCATTGTGGTTATAAGAGTAATGAAGTCAAGGCAGGTGGACCTATCTCTGAAAAGGGTAGAAAGATTACATTAAGAATGACCGACGCCGAAGATTTGTCAAGAGATATCCTCAAGTCAGAAACTTGTGGTTTGAGTATTCCTGAAATCAACTTGGAGTTAACACCAGGTACTTTGGGTGGCCGATTCACCACTGTTGAAGGCTTGATCCGTCAAGTCCATGATGAATTAAAGGATCGTGCACCCTTCATCCAAGGTGACTCAGCTAGTGAAGAAGGAAAGCAAAGATGGAATAAGTTCTTGGAAAGCTTAACTGCTGTAGCTGATGGACAGAGATTCCCTGTGACCCTTATCATTGATGATCCTTTGTCTAACTCATACCTTCAGAATCTTTATGCTCCTGATCCAGATCCAGAAATTACTATTGAAGACTATGAACGTGATTGGCAAACAAATGAAGACTTGGGATTAAATGACATGAAATTAGACAACTATCAAGAATCATAATTAATTTCTTATAACTGCTTTACTGTAAATTAAAAAAAGTATTATAAACACAGACACGTTGAATGAATGATTACAGTGTCTCCACTTTGAATTGGGCGAAACGAAAAATTAATACAGGCAGGAGAAAATTAGTTTTCAGACAAAAAAAAAGTATACCTTACCTGCATCATGGTTTACTCTATCAATGCCCACCCTAGACAAGATCGTTGCCATCATCGAGTGACATAGAACGGACTTTTTTGAGGAAGAGGCTTCAGTATACGTTGAAGAAAGCTCGAGGGTCTGCCTCTGAAAACTTGAAGGGCAACCAAGTGCTTCACCTTGTAAGACGACATTTAATTTTTTAAATTTTATTATATTGTCTCTGTTGGTATCCTTAAAAACAGGACAGCTTTCTTTGTCATAGATCTCACATTATCGTCTTTTAATTTATGGCAGTGACGTGCGATACTGACTGAACTCAAGGGGTTTTCAGAAAGCCGTAACTCGATTTTGAATCATCTATTCTCTCCCATGATGCTTTCAGAATGATCAATTACTAATCTGTCTAAAAAACATATCCTTCTATTTGAAAAGAAAATTGAATTCATCCAAAAAAGGTAACCTAAATAACCGAAAACTAATTTTGATTTGTCCGGAAAAAAGCCAACATCATCTGAATTCAAAGTGGAAACACTATATGTCAACTCTCTTTCTTCTTTTTTGATCCACTTGATTCTTTTAAAGAGTAAAAGTAATGAAAAGATTGTTTAAATGCTTTGACATAATTTTTCAAAATGTTTTGATCTTTGCGTTATTCTTAATATATTTATTATCTTATACATCAGCCCAAAGTTTCAAACCCTGAAAGCGGACATCAAGATATCTGCCATTGGGATCTGGTTTTACTAAAAAAGTAAATGTCGCTCAATATCCAAGATAAAGGGAAAAAAAGTGGCAATCAGACAGTTGATTGATTTCCCCCTTGGTTAAAGATACATGTTTGAAGGAACTATGGAGTACTTTATTGGTATTGCACCAGCTGTGCCGACATACTTTTACATCAACTTCTTTCACACTGAAAAAAAACCACTAGAGTGGGAACACTGACCATAAAGGGAAAAAATTTCCTTGCATTTTTTTTTTTTCCTTTAGTTACTGGGAAATGCATGGGGAGAAGGGTTGGACAGATGGGAAACAGCCCAAAAGTGTGAATGTTTGAACACTTTGGAGGCGTCTATTTACTTTTGTCATCATGTTCCACGATTCGCTCTTATACTTTTCTTTGGTTTATTGCATTCTTTACAAAGTGACACAACTCTGTAACTTGATGCTGACTAAACGTATGTGTATAAGAACACTTGAGAAAGATGGGAAAAATACTTGAAGAGTTTGTGGGAATTTTATATGTCATAATGTTGTTATAGTTCTTTGACAAGGTTGAAGGTTGAAATGCGAAGAAGGAGGGCGCTTGGTTTTGGTTCAAACATACTAAAAGTCATCATGATGTACTTGATCCCTGTTTCCATAGTTTCTAACAGAGTCAATTAAAAACTTTACTATAAAAAGGAAACTTGGCGTCCCCAAGTTTATTTTCATTATAAAGGATACAGCCCCATCCATATACACTAAGTAAAATTATATAAACTTTATATCAGATGAATAAAATAGATATAGTATCAAACATTAGCGTCAATAGAAACGTAATAATGACAGTCCTCGTTTTCTGTAAATCGTATATATCGACCAGTTTATGATGACACTCAAAGCTTTTCATTTACGTGATTATTCAAATGACACTCAAACAAGCAACCTATAATGCTTCTCTTCAAAGAAGCACGTTCTCTCTTCTGTTCATAACGCGAGCTAACAATAGTTCCCCCTTTTTTTCGTCTCGTTCTATTAATCTCATTTAAGCCCATCCAATCAAATCACAACGGAATACTATGGGAATAACCACTGTTAATGCTTAAATGCAAATCATTCCCTCTGATTGGACAAATTAGTTTGCGGGGCAAAGTTTGACAAACATATTCTCACACTTTAGGGAACATCATAAACAAAGGAAAATATCGGATTCAACCATGCATTTTCACACATTTGCTGCTTACATAAGTTACACATAGAGTTTATTTGTTTTTAGAAATCATCCTCTCCAACAGTCCAATCATCCAGTACATTTTCACTTTCGGCTTTCAATGCACTTAAGCCTGTGATATCTTCAAGGTATATAGGATCATCGAGTACCTTTTGAACAAAGGATAAAGGATCTTGGCTATAAGCTTCAAGTACCTATATCATAAAGATGGTTATATCATTGATTCATCATTAAAATAAATGTACCTTGTCTGAACAGGCAGTGCATTTGTCATAAGATTGCCCAACAATCAGGAGATTATTAAATTGGCCTAGGAAACCACGTATTTGATGAGGAAGAAGGCCTAGAATAGAGCCAGCAGAAGAATTTGAAGCATTTGTGCTTGCTTCAGCGTGAATGCTATTTCAACAGGTTTAGCCCCCTTTATATTTTTCAAGAAGTTTTGAATTTACCCCTTGGGGTCTTGAAGGAGTGAAACCATGAGTTCAACAGCAAGTGCCCCAGCTATAGCAGCCAGACCAGGGCGGGTGACGGTACATTGCTGATCAAGGGTACGATCAGTGAGGGACTATTGTTAATTAGTATAATATATATAGAACCCATGTCGGCTGTATAACTTACGTCAGTTGGAGCCACGATGTCGTTACAAAAATAACATCCCATTTGATTTTGACGGGTACCGTGCCGCATAACAAGATAGCTATCGAACCCCAAAGCACTATTGATGATCCATTTATTTAATTTAGTGCCTATTAAAGTAGGTAACCATCGGCTTTCTCGACTGTCGGTAAGTAAAAAGATCACATCATGCTCTTTTATTAATTCAGTAAGGGTTGTCAAGTCTTGATCAAGGTGATTGTGAGTATGTCCTGGCATAGGGATTGTCAAGTCATAACCCTTGGCAACCTATAGACATGATGAGTTCCCCTTTAGTTCCCCCATTTATTTCTTTTTCTCTCCTTAAAACACCGCAGAATGACTTACCAACGTGGGCTGAATCTCCAATAATTGCTCCGCTGCTGTTTGTGCCTTTGGTTTACCTTTATCCTGAAATCGGTAAAGGGGTTGACGGACAGGGTTAGAATAGGATACGGTGCCACTGTCGACAAATGTAATATGCCTCACGCCCCATCCCTAATGTATACATATGAATATATTTCATTTAAATAAGCAGCCAATATACCATCAAACATCGAGCTACGTAGCAGCCCAAGGTGCCTGCTCCAAGCAACAGACACTTTGTTTGCTTAATCTTGTCTAGATCTAGTTCAGGCATCAGTCTCCATCGCATCAGCTTCAAATTGAGGTCAATCGCGGTATCTGCCAATCTACATTAAACATGATAAGAGGGTTTGTGTTTTATCATATGCTTTACATTTACCTTGCAGGATCCATGAGAGGGCCCAGATCGGCCATTCTGGGACCAAGTTTACCTTGCACGTTCCTTTCCCACCCCACTGATTTTGTTGTTTGATAGGAACAGTGTTCAGGTAAAGAAGCGTCTATCAGATAAGGATCGCTCTGTCGATAACAGAGTATCCTGACCTTTTTTAAACCCCAGACAGTGTAGATGAGATAGAGAAGATTTCTTAATGGCCACCCGGGTGACCCCTTGACGGGTGAAGGGTCAAGAAAGGCAAACCAAATAGTCTAGGTAATAAATAAATGACTGAATATATGCAAGTTAAACGCAAACTCACTTGATCATTTTTCTCAAATGCGTCCAAAGAAAGTATCTGCATTCGTTCGGTTTCCTTTTTTATCAAGAAATAATACTGACCTTGATAAGCTGTATGCAAAACAGATGCCTAAGGGCTGGTGTTATCATTCCCCCTCTCCTCATTCCTTACATATGATCTATACTCGCCTGTTCACTGGTTAAATTTTGTTGATGATCCAATTGCCATCCGTCTTGATCAGGTATGATAGCAGGAAATGCAAACCAATAATAAAACTTGTATTTTTTTAAATCGGCAAAGGTGAGTAATAGATAGTGATATAGTTTCTTTGGGTCCTTTAATGCTTCCCCTGACTCAACCGCCTCCTTTATCTAAAATACGATTATTCATCTTGTTTTATCATCTTATCTCTCTCTCTCTCTATGTATGCACCTTGAGTGTTGCCTCTTGAAATAGTTGGTTTTTATCAATAGTTCGAAAAGCTTCAACTGTATTTGTATTGATCAAAGTACCCTTGATACCATCTTTATCTTGACTAATAAATTTCAGTATGATTTCTTTATCTTGAGAAGCTTACGTGTTATCGAGGCCGTGAGAAGGAATGAAGAAATGACTAGGCATCAAGACGGTTTGACCTTGTTGGTCAGTGGCAGTTGTGGGAAAAGAATAGTGACCTTGAATGACCAAGGCCTCTTGAGATAGTTTTAAAATGTCTAATTTCTTTGTTGCGAGAGATTGCCAGAATGAGGCATCAACTGCTGAACTGAGAGGAGTAAACTTGAGCATATCACGTGGAAAAGAAATGAATGCACAGACACAATGAAATTTTCATATGTTTTGTGTGTGTGTATATGTGTGTGCCTATGTTTGCGCGAGCGGGCTGTGGTCTGATTTTATAATCGTGGAAAATTGCGTGATAGAAATTCGGACAGAGCTGTATTAGCGGGGAATTTTTCTTACATGTCTGGATTTAGAAATCATGATTACCCCACACTAAGGAGGTGAAGTGATATGGAACAGATAAGCGAAAAAATTTTTATATTTAATTTTTTCCTATCTTTTTGATCGCTTTCTAAAGAACAAAAAAGAACAAGGGTTGCTTAGATGACTTTTGTCTTTGTCAAACAACTCTGCTAGTAATGAGCATTTCTTTACTCATTTGAGTCCCTTTTTAATGATTTTTATAATCTTCATTCTTTTACTTTTTGCGTGTGAAAGATCAAGTTGATGATTTCCTTTTTCGGTTATCGCTTTCATCTTTTTTTCTTCCGGATGTGGAGTTAGTCTTACGCAAATACAGCAGCACAAACGGGCAGCACAGCACACCCCCCAGGATTCCCTATCTTTGTCTGATCAAATTTCATATTTATATAAAAAAAAATATATATATAACCCCACTTTTTATTAACAAATATAAAATCCCCTTCTCCTTTTCTAATCTTTTTTTCTACTTATTACCATGACTGCAAACAACACAACATTCTACAATGCTATTCAATTAAACAATATCACATTAAAAAAACCCATTGCACCTGTGGACAAAGCCAATATTCCAAGACCTTACAAGTGTCCTATTTGTCCAAAATCATTTTATAGATTAGAACATCAAACTCGCCATATTCGTACTCATACAGGTGAAAAGCCTCATCCTTGCACATTTCCTGGTTGCAGCAAACGATTCTCTCGTTCAGATGAACTTACCCGCCATGCTCGTATTCACACCTGTCCGAGCAAAAGAAGGGCTCGTAAGAGTGCAAGAACAGCCAAGATAATTCAACATCAGATTCGCTCTATGCCTCCTTCTCCGGCTTTATCAGCTAGTTCACACTTTTCGCAAGAGAATGACGATTTACTCACTCCCGATCAATCACCTACCCTTTCTCCTACTTTACTCACTCCTGCCACTTCTCCTAAAATGGTGCCAATCAAACTAGCTCCTTTGGAATGCAATCTGGATAGTATGCGTCAACAACAACTACAACCTCAGACTCACCCCTCCGATATCAACTTACTCGATCTGCTCGATAGACCTCCCCAAGCACGCGTATTACCCCCTATTCTTCCAAACACTTTACCATCCATTCATACTTTATTTCCATTCTAAGAAAGTTGCATTGTATTTTTATTATTTGTATAGAATTTTCCCTCATTTATGTGTACATAATCATTTTCTATTTTTTACCAATAAAAAATATAATATAAAAACAGCTCCGTAATTTCCCTAACAAATTAGAAATATTCCATATTTTCCCGTCGATTATCATTGGCTTATCCTTAAGGGTTCTGGTTTCGCATCGGCACGTGGCGAAAGAAATGTCTGACTTATCATTGGATGTTATAAAAGGGATTCGTTTAAGGTGATATCATTCTCCATGGAGAATTATCAAAAGATTAAATCGGATATAATATAGTTGCATTTCAAATTGGAAAGTCGGAAGTTGCCCCGTTTCATTTCATTACCTTTTTTATCCGTCGGACCCGACCGTTGTCATGTTTATGGTACAGGTACACATTATGGCCTGTTGTTTTTTTTTATTGTTGTTGACAAGGGGAGGGTTATATTTTATTACTTTATTAAGGTTATATTATAAATAAAGAATATCCTTAAAAAAAGAGAGAGAGACTAAGCTGGATGACTCATCCTAAAGGAGTGGGCCCCTTAAGTAGCACGTGCGTCTGAAGAGACTTGAGATGTATAATAGGACATTGGCTGCTGTATTCACATGCTGGTCTTAGATCTTTAAAGATAGCGTTGAATTATTTTTTTTAATTGTCCCTGGTTGTTATCTAAGCAATTTTTTTTTTTTTGGGAGAAACTATCTTGTTCTATTATTAATAAGGGTGTTATCGGAATATTCTATTTGCTGCGGAAGTATGCTGATATGCGCTGAATTTATTAGAATGACCCCCTCCTGTTTCAGAAGCAATAGCACATAATGATGCCTCTATAAAGTAGTTTAATTTAAGAATAACATAACGAATTGAGTCTAAATTACGAATGACTGATTTAGTGTAAACATTTGCTTTAAATAGTAGTCATTGATCCTATTATAATATCTGAGCTCAATAAAGAGTTTAACATACCAAGAGATTTGTATTTAGAAAAGAAAAAAAAGTTATATATGACCCATGTATTCTTATCAGATTTTCATTATTAAAAGATATTGAGAAATATATTAAATGCTTCAAATCAAAAGACACAGCGGGCATCATTCACTTTATTGACAAAAAAAGCAACTGTGCTTCTTTTTTTTTTGAGGCAATGTACGCATTGCTTAAATTGCAGTTGACTAGGATGCTTTGCCAATGCTAGTATTCATAAAATAGCATGTTGACAATTGTTGCCGTAAAGTATATGGTATTGTTACTTCTAGTAAGAGTAATGCTCATGTGAAGAGAAACAAAGAGAAGGAATAAGAACATGAATGGTATTGCTTGCGTAGATAAGCATAAAACTAGACCCAATGATGAGATTTTGACGGCTTCACACCCACTTTCAATGTGATATTGTTCTCCATACCTAGGAAACTGATAATACGAGCACTGTATTTGTATTGCTAATGTTTGGGACAAACCGGAAGAAGTTCTCCTCTGCTTTATTTACATAATCAAAAGACATGTTTAATGAAATAAACTATTATAATAGAACATGCGCTCTATTCTTCTCTCTCCATCATTTCCATTATTCTTTTGCTTGGAGAAAAAACATGAGACTAGATTGTAGCATTTTTGGCAACGGAATATTGATGGGGCGGGAATGTTTCCAGAAAGGATTCTTTGTTATTGCAAAAAGGCAGCTAAGTCGATGACTTGCAAAGTGACTTCTTCATTAAAAAGAAAGGAGTAATATTAAAATAAGACGCGTGTACGTTTTATAGGGAAAGAGGACCTACGGCTACTATTTATATTAATGTGGTCAATATGGTTATTTTAACTCGTCTTATATACTTTTCGTTTTACTACAGAATGTGTCTTTATAAAAGATATGTAGCTTATTGTCACGCTTCAGTCAATTATCAGTATAACTTCTGTTCTTAGACCTTCCCAGCCTATTCTTAATCTTTCTACTGTTACTCTGTTTCTTGTCTCGTTCTTTTTTATATAAGTTCTATATTCTGTAGATCAACTTTCAAACCCTTAACATCACCTTCTTTTGCCCTTCCAATAGTTTTACCACCCAGCACTCTTAGTTTCTGTCTGGTTCTATTCCTTTTCTCCTTTCTAGCTAAACATACAACCATTACACTTATCGTGTATCATATGACGACATTTGTGTATAAATAACAGCCATGCATCTTATTTTAATATGCAACACCTTTCTTTTTCAAAAAGGATTTTACTTTGCTTGTATTTGACTTATTATTTACAACTGTAGTAAATAACAACCAAGTCAACATCGAGTTGTGTTCAATAGAATGCAAAGCCCTTAATGCGAATAGCGCTGTTTTCTCCCAACAGGAATCAAAGAATTTAAGGACGAATTCCTGTATCTTGGGTAACATCCAGAACATGGTCAAAAAATCAGCAAGCAGCATCTTGTACATGGATTGGAAAGGTAGGCAAGGACATCTGGCGCAGCTCTTTCTATTCAAAGACATCATGGTTGCACAATATCTTGACTCTTTGTATATACCAAAAGAACCATGGAGCTAGACGATTTCAGACATACATTGGAATACCTTTACTTGTGGCGTCAAAACATGATCAAATTACGAAATGAAACCAAACTGGCCGCGTACAAAGAAAACAGAAAGCTTATTGTGTCGAACGTTAGCACATTCCATAAACTTTCTGTTAATCCGCCTAGATCGTCTTCCAAAAGGCTCTTGATTAGACCCTTTTTTTCTCCAGGCAAAAGGACAAGGGAGAAGATTAATAGCTTTTGAAATAAACAAAGACTTTAAATACGTTTTCTTTGGCTTTAATAGCACTTTATATAAAAGGCGGTTAATATATAATAATATCGATAAAGAGTAATGTCTTACGTTCTCTGTAAACTTTGAAGTTTGTTTAAATAGCCAAAACTATAGTGAGAAGAAAAGAGAACGTGCATTGAACAAGTATAGCTGAAAGCTCTCTAATGATCTCAGGATCAAGGTTGCTGTTTGATGAGATAATCACTATAATAACTGGAATATAGTTTTACAGCAGAGCATATATTATACTTTACATTCCTTTGCTGTATCTGATGGGAATAAGGAGAAGAGTGCTGACAACAATAATAAATAGTCACATTGATCACACTTAATCTTTCCTATAAAATGGACGCGCGTCTTATTTTAATAATATTCGTCGTTTAGAGACACAGAACAAAGACAAAAGAAGCACCTATTATTAATCTTTATTCTGAGATAAAGACAAAAGTAACATACAAATAAATTAGTGATCTACTATTTATAGTTACTATCAAATAACTGGTAAGCCATTATTCTAAGCGTGGGCTATAATTACTAACGGTTCCTGAGTCCACAAAGAAGACTTTTCATTTCATAATCTGGGCTATGGTACTACTTTTACCATAAGAAAGATGATCTTTTAAAGAAGTGTGCCCTTTTATATAAAGAAGTAATGACTTATGTTCAAAGAAGAGACTCTATTTAGTTTGACTTGTCATTGAAATTGTGTACACGTAATCTTATTATGTATGAATCCACGCTATTCGCATTGATTACAGTCGTTTATCTCAATGTAAGTCATAAACAGACATTGTTCTACGATAGTAGTGTCTTCTACTGAAGTGTCTTGACTGGAAGATCTTCAGTGATTCCCCATTTAATGATAAAATCGATTAATACCTGTAAGCTCCATGTTTCTAATTCGTGTAATTCTGGAACACGTATGCTTGGCTTGCGCTTGGCCTTGAAGAATTCCAGAATTAATGGATGCTGCGATATTATTAATTGTTGTGGGTACAGCACATTGCATACTGAACTGATGGCTGTGTTCTATTAGGAACTTTAGCATCGTCTTTGGTTCGTATGCCTTGAGGTCAAGTTGGCTGTTATAGCACCAGTTAGAAAAGACACGCCATACATACCTATACAATTTGCTCCTGCTAGGTCGTATTTGTTGATTCGGGAAATTCTGGGTATCTGCTACAGTTCCATCTTCCCTTTTTTGCTTGTTAACTTCCAGGCAATCAAAGTCCAGCTTTTTATCTTCACTGTTATTGGCGAAGCGATCGACTTTAGCTTTGTCAGCATGGATCACCAATACTGTGTCGGCCACAGTGGAGCGATCAGGACTGCGTCTTGAACCTTGATTGAGCACAGTTGCCATATCATTTTGGGGAACCAGTCTTCACGGTGGATTCAAATACAAACCTTTCTTCGGCTAATTCTGCTGAAATACGTCCGTTGTCATCATCAAAAGGTCCAGACGAAAGCTGAATAAGTCGGAAGTCGTTGATTGGCGCAGTGACACGAAGTTAGATACTGTTATCCTATTCACTCAGGTACCAGTGTGTGTGATACATATGAATGTGATTAGCAATGGTCCCGATTATAGACATATCAATAGTGCTCTAATTGGTCAAGTATGCAGTTGATGGGGGATAGAATAATCATGACGTTTTCTATGATCCCTGTTTATCAACAAATCATTTTCCCTGTTGAGATCTTTAACTAGGGACACACCAACCTATTGTCTCTGTTTGGTGAGACCCCTTTTTTGTTAACCCAATCTATCTGAGTTTAACAAGAGTTTTACTCTAAAAGAAAATTAATTGGCGTATTTCCATGCTTTAACAAGCGTCTCTATTTATTGTTTGAAAAAGAGAAGAGGGAGCATACAGTGTTCCTACTGTTTATCCTATTTAGTACTAATGTGTTTACTTTGTGACCGTTACAGAACGACAGGTCATCAGTGACGTCCAGCTTCGGAGTTATTTAAATTTCTCTCTATCTCTGTCTTTCTCTCTCTCTTTTTTTTTTCCCTTTTTTAATCACTCATTTATAATTACATTTTCATTCTACATAAAATAATATACATTCATATGCACAACTTAAACACAAGTGAATACTCTCGAGGTAACTTTAAAAAAGAGATAAAGAAAAACATGTCTGATAAATATATATATAATATAGGTCGTAAAAGAAGAAATTCAGAAGATGAAGAAATGGACGACATTTCACATCGATCATTATTAGCGGCTAGAAAGGAATTAAAGAAACATAAATCAATTCAAAAACGAACAGCGAGAATAGCCATTCTAGGTAAAATATGGCAATAAAGAAAGAGATAGTATCAACTAATATTAATGTATAGAAACAATGGAGAAGGAGGCTCTAATTCATATTATTCAAAGCTTTTTACATAAGCAGCCTGAGCTGATACGAGACGTTATGACTTATATTCCAGAACCTACGATTGCTTCAGCCATGAATGTTTTATTGGACATGGAAAAGAAATTTATTAATAGCTTCCCATTTAATAAGCATGGTCCAGGCAGAGATGATTATACGTTTTCAAGAGTGAGAGAACCCTTGGCAGACTTGATTGTAAGTTTGATATTTAAATGACATTTTTACTCATTTTAATAACAGGATACACTTGTTCGATATGCAAATCATTTTACATCACCTCGAGTATTCCCTACCACCACATTCACTTTCCTTGATTACGCAGCACATATCGCTCATCGATTACCTGTTTGGGATAATGAGAGTAAGTTTGGTAATGGAGTGTTATAGGTTGATTGCTAATCTCTCTTTGTTTAACAGATCATAATAGACTGAAACAAAACTTGTATCAACAATTAAATGAGTTTTGGAAAACGGCTATTCAGTCTACTGCATCCAAATTACGTGAAGGTGAAATTTATAGTCCCGAATCAGTTAGCGAATGGGCAAAGAGGTAAGACTTCTTTTTTATATGTATATCATACTGACTTTTTATATATATATAAATAGCCTGGCTCAACATGATAGCTTCACAGGTGGATTTTATTTTACAGAATCTGTGCATGAATTTACTAGGCAGCTGGGCTTTATGATTGGTTTAACCACTGCCAATGATCTTGAAGATAAAGCAGCAACACCCGTGTGCCATCTTGCTCCTTTAGAAACCACCTTTACTTCGACCTCTGTTGTAGGCGATAGAAGATAAGCAATAATAACATTTCTTTTTATGGAACAAATACAATTGATACAAGCATACACACGCACAAACACACAAACAAACGGCATTCCTTTATTATATATCTTCCCCTTTTTTATTTTATGAACTAAATACAGTTTTTTAAGCTAAAATGTGACGATTCAAAAAAATAAGTTAGACACTTAAAATAAATGAGACGTCCGTTAAAAAGATTTGAGACAAGTGAATGAAAAGAAAATAGACGGTTCTATTTTTTTTGTAGACACATGCCAAAAACTTGTAGACGAAATGAATTATTGTTCAAAAACTTACCTGTATCATGGGTTAATGTAGCGGTAACTTCAAAGGATTGGTTATTTTCTTGATTGGTCTACTACTAGCTGATGAGGTCCCCCTTTTTTTTGAAGCCTGTAGAAGGAGGTGCGTTGAGTCTGCAAAAGCGCTCTGGTCTTTTTCCGTTTTTACGCAGCCCAAAAAGGATGTGCCTGAAAGTTAAAGTGGCCACCATATCACGGTTCCAAAGGTGATGATGAGAAATTGTACCAATCATGGCCTCCAAACATTGTTGGTTTTTGCACCTAGATAATAAACATAAGAGTTGGGTTTATAAATACAGAAACGAATCACCTTAAAAGGCCATGATGTGTTACAGTTGGTTGCTTTTCTCTCTGGAAAGGTCTTGGATTTTGAACTTTCCAAGTTCACCGCTCAGACATGAAGGACAAAAGCTAGATGTTTTACACTCATCAAGAAGGCATATCTTGAATCCTTGTTTAGCTAGCACCCTTCTCATTCCAACGCCTCTAATGGACTCGTGAAACTTGACATTTCCGGCAGACCAGTTGTCAATTATCAGGGTAGCATTATCACCGAACTTTGTTTTCAGATTCCTGGCCAGTCGTTTATCTGCTTGCTGTCCATTTATAAAGCTGGAAAGTTTCATTTTTCGAAACGGCAACAAGTTTGTTTCTACTGCAGGAATATCTTCATTTGCGTAATACTTACTCAAGACTGGTGTTATTGTTGCTCTTTCTTGGAGGTACTTGGCAAACTTGTCTCCATTAACTGTTGAAGATTTGTACTTTGACAATGATACTTCGGCAGCTCTGACATCATCAGGCTTCAAGCTCTCCCGGAGCTTCTTAAATTTTCTTGACTTTGTTTCAATTGCTCTTTGATTGCTTGTGTATCTGTATGTCCTTTTGCTTTCTATGATACTTTCTTCATGCATGCAATATAGCATGTTGCACCGACCAGGATCTATCAACGCACAATTGCCGACACCAGCCAATAGCTCTTCTTTTTCCAACTTTTCTACATATTTGAAATCTTCTTCATCCACTGCTTTCGTTCTTCTACCAGCACCACTACCGCCTTTCTTCGTATCATCATTTTGTTTTAACACAGACACATCAATACCATCAGTGAACAGCATGCCCCTAAACTTCGTTGTTTTTCTTTCACTCTGTGGCTTCATTGCCTTTGCTGCGACATTGAGAACAGGAACCCGTACTATTTCTTTGCCCAAATGGCTGGTAACAGGGTTTTTCAAAATTTACGTGTTTAAGATAAGCGTATCTATAGTCATATAGGATTGAATGAATGTCCTCCTCAGCGGAAAGCAATTAAACGATTTTCTTTGAAGGATTTCACACATACTTGATAGTTTGTAAAATGCTTTTAGATGCTTCATGGCATTTATTTTTCAGTCATAATATATCGAGCCTTTCGCAAGCTGATGGTTAGGAGGATAAGAGCTAAATATATCATGAATCATGTCGACATCTTGGGAAGACAGCAGGTCTTTTGGTAAATTGTTTATCTTTCCAGACGAAATATACGTTTTGACTTTGTTGCATTATTTCACGATCGTCTTCACTATAGCCGACACTTCTTCATTTTGTTTTTTACTGCCTTTGTTCGTTCATCCTTTTCAAGATCATGTTCAAAAACATGTGTAACTTGTTTCCAAAGTAAGAGACACCGTTCAGGTACACAGTATTTATCTTTGTTACTTCATACGAGGCTATTTGTTGGGCATACTTTAAATCCATTGGTTCATAAGAGCAATACTGAAAATACATGTCTCGATGACTGTTGATAAGCTCTCGGTAGGTCCTTGACTTGGATGATATTTTTTGTTTATTTGGCATGTAGCTTTGAAGAAGTGATAAAAAGATTTCTCTGTAAAAGTCAATGTTGGCGAAATGCTGCAAGTCAAAGGCAGAGTTATATTCCAATTCTTGAATGAAGATGTACTTCAAAAAAGAGAACGTGTGGGCTACAAGTGTCTTGAGTGACGAAATATACTGTGGTTTCCATCCTATACCAGTAATGGAACTTTTAACTGTTATAATTTTAAAAGTAGTTTCATGAAGAAAAAGAAAAAGAAAAAGAAGGGTTGACAACTCTACATAGTTGTCAAATTATACTTAAATACGTACGGCATAGAATGTTAAATAGTATAAATGCCCAGCTGATTAATTACAAAAAAGATGATGAGTTGAGATAACTTGTAGATTTTCAAAGACAAAAGACAGGGATAAACAAGTATTTGTGGGTTTAGATATTTGAAAGACAATGAAAAGGAAGGCTCTGCTTATACTTTTGGTGCCTACTTACTGCTTATATATCACTTTATATTCCTTATTAATTGGGCGTAGGCTCTACTTTTACCTTTTATGGAAACTATGATCTTCATTCTATAACAACAGTCTACAAGTTTTTGGCATACGTCTACAAAAAAAATAGAACCGTCTATTTTCTTTTCATTCACTTGTCTCAAATCTTTTTAACGGACGTCTCATTTATTTTAAGTGTCTAACTTATTTTTTTGAACCGTCTCATTTTAGCTTAGGAATGGATATAAAACATTCAATTTTTAAGCTGAGTTTTACTTATGGATAATAGGAGCCATTTTTCTTGGCAAAAGGTGGCTTGATCTTTATAAAAGTGTGGCTCACCCGTTTTTATATTATTGCTTTCTTTTTTAAATGTCTAATTCACCTTCGCCTAGCACATCAAAGCGAAAGAGTCATATTGTGGTTGAGACATTGGGCGCAACCACATCAGAAACTGAAGAAGGTCTTCGTAAGATCAACAATTACTTACTTAAGAAGGAAATCGGTCGAGGTGCCTTTGGTACAGTTCATCTAGGCATTGATGAAATAACTAAAAAAGAATATGTAAACTATTTTATAATTCTACCATCGACACCGAAAAATTGATATAGCTTCTTTTAGGCTATCAAAGAGTTTAGCAAATCACGGTTACGAAAAAAGGAACAAATGGACCAGTTTCGTCGTTCAGGGCCTCGACGACGTTTAGCCGGTTTAGGCGTCAATCGTCAACAGGCAGTCAAGGGAAGCGAGAATCCACTGGATCTTGTTCGTGGTGAAATTGCCATTTTGAAGAAACTAGATCACCCTCACGTTGTTCGTCTGTTTGAGGTCTTGGATGACCCCTCGGGTGACTCACTTTATATGGGTTAGGTATTCCTCTTTTCTCTTGGCCCTTCGTTTTTTTTTTCTGACTTTACATACTCGCATAGTGTTTGAAATGATGCATAAGGGTGTTCTTATGAATATCGAGACTGACCAAGTGGCCACGCCCTATTCAGTTGATGTGGCCAGACGCTACTTTAAAGAGATGATGCTGGGTATTGAGTACTGTAAGTTATAAACGCTTCATTATTATAGAAAATGGTATTGATAATTATTCTATAGTGCACGCAAATGATATTGTTCATCGTGATATCAAACCAGACAACCTGCTCATCTCCAAAGACGATGTACTCAAAATCGTCGATTTCGGTGTCTCTGAAATGTTTGTCAAGGGCAACGATAGGTTGAAGAAATCAGCAGGCAGCCCAGCATTCATGGCACCTGAGCTCTGTGTGGCTCGACATGGTGAAGTCTCTGGAAAGGCGGCAGATATCTGGTCCATGGGTGTCACGCTTTACTGCTTGATCTATGGTAAAACACCATTCATGAGCAGTAATATTATGGAGCTCTATGAACAGATCAAGGAAGCACCGTAAGTCGTTTCTGTTTGTTTATTATTCAAAACTAACATTCAGTTAGAGTTGAGCACGGAGATGGTATAGATGCCAACTTGCGTGATCTGTTTGAGAGAATTCTTGATAGAAATCCAGAAACGCGTATTACTATGAAAGAACTTCGTGTACGTGCTCTTTATAACACTTTTATTTTTTATTCTTATATATATTTCCTCTCATTAGAACCATCCTTGGGTAACTAACGATGGCACAGAAACTATGATATCTGAAGAAGACAACTGCAACATTGTATCTGATGTCACAGATGAAGAAATGAAGAATGCGATCAAGAGTATTGCTAGCTTATATGTAGTGGTAAGTTTCTTTCTTTTTTACATGTATGTTTCTTGACTTTATATATATATATAGATGAAAGCTGTCAGTAAATTCAAGCGTCATTCACGCTCCTTGTCTCAGCAACAGACTGAGTTGCATGAAAAGCTACAGGATTTACATGTTTAAAGCATCTTAATAAACCATTCCCCCCCGTTTTTTTGATATCAATATATAATAATATGTAAAGATCAATCTGATTGTGAAATGCTCTTAAGAAGAAGTGTTTATTCTTTAACGAAATGCTGCACCTTCTGCACGATCTTCCTTGATCCTAAGTGCTCGTCTCATCTTTTCTAATTCTTTTTCTTTAGCTGCGGCTAATTCATGAACGTCATGTTCTTTTAATCTATAGATTGCATAAATAACAGTATACACACATAAAAAAAGAGTTCTTACTTTTTAGCATCAATAGGTTGTGACTCTTGCAGCAGTTTTTCTCTTAATTCTTCAACTCTTGTTTCAATCTCTTCGTCATCCACTCTATAATAAAATGAGACACTTGTATAGATGCATATTGAACAATTACCCTTCGTCTTCAAGCTTGATGCGTAGTTCCATGCACTTGACTTCTACTTGTCTCTTTCGGTTGTGTTCAAGAATAGCTGCATTTGCCTTTTTCAACTTGGGTCCTGATTCTTCCTTGGGTTCGTCTTTTCGTTGTGGAGGTGGTTTAACAAATGATAAATTTCTTGTGACATATCCGTTTGTGCCTAAATGAATAACAATGTTGATTATACTATTATGATACATAAACATGCACACACATACCAGATCCTCTAGGTGTTGTCAATCCAATACCGTTGTACATTTTATATTAATTAAATGGGAGAAAAAAAAGAGAGAAAGAGAAAGAGGAAAAAAAAAAAAAAAAAGAGTCTCTTAAAAACTCAGAACTCAAAACAGTGAACCTTTTTTTTTCCTTATAGACACATAATCAATACATATAATGAATATTGACGATATCTTCAAGGTGTGTAAAAGAGCCACACAATCATCAAAAACTAATCAATTCATATAGATCCCAGCTATTCCAGCCGGTCGTAACAAACGAAAGATGCCAGAGACACCTTCTGTAGATTTCTTTGACAAATACAAGGATAGTTCGGAAATGGCTGAGCCTTCACAGAAACGACAACACATGGAAGTAGAGCAACAAGAAGAGGAAGAAGTTTTTGAGCAGGACGACGAAGAAGGGGGTCGCTTCTTTGGTGGTGGTTTGACCAGTGAGCAGCACGATATCTTGGATCTCGTTGACCAGTACGATGCCGAAGAGGTAGTCATGACAATAGCAAATATATACAAATACATTCTCATTCTTCTAATAGGCAGAGACACTGGATGCCAGTACAGTGAAAAAGATGATTTTGAAATTTGAAAAGGCCATCAACAAAAATCAGGAAATGCGCGTTCGATATGCTGATCAGCCTGAAAAGTTTATGGAATCAGAGGCTGACTTGGATGAGGAAATCAAAAACTTGTTGGCATTGACTGAGGCTCCTGAGCTGTACACAGAGCTAATTCAACTTGGCACGGTCACTTCGCTTCTGTCGTTACTTAGTCATGACAATACGGATATTACAATTGATACGATTGATGTGATTAACGAGTTGATTGATGAGGATGTAGGAACAACAGAGGACCAGTTGGAACGTTCAGAACAGGTTCAAAGCGCGATTAAAGCCCTAGTTGAATCCATGGTAAAGAAAGAAAACCAAGCAGTAGTATAAGTGTTAACATCTGTGCGTAGTTGGAAAACGAAATGCTTCAATTGCTCGTACAAAACTTGAATCGATTGGATGAGAAGGAAGAAGCAGATCGACAGGGCGTGTTCAAGGTATTGGGCATCTTTGAAAGTATCGTGTCTTTAGATCCAAAATATGCAGAAAACATTGCATTAAAGACAGAGGCGTTGGCTTGGTTACTGAACAGAATCCAAAACAAGAGTTTTGATGCCAATATAGCTTATGCTAGTGAAATATTGTCAATTCTTTTACAAGACAGCAGAGGTACGATTTCTATAAATACAAAAAAAAAAAACTCACATGTATAAAGATATTCGTCTGAAAGTCGGTGAATTAGATGGCGTTGATATACTTCTAAGAGCTCTTTCGGTAAGACCATTCTTTGATGATTTATCGAATGAGAATGTTTCACTTACTTCAATATAGGCTTATAGAAAAAAAGATGCCTCTTCTGAAGATGAGTCAGAGATGGTAGAAAACTTTTTCAATTCACTATGCTCGCTCTTGAACGAACCAGAAAACAAGAATCGGTTCTTGGATTCTGAAGGCATTGAGCTAATGGTCATCATGTTAAAGTAATTCACAAGCATATATATATATATATATATATATATATAGTATATGTACGCAATTCTAATGATCCATTCTGTATCTAGAGAAAAAACACTGTCTCGCATTCGTGCGGTCAAGGTTCTTAATTATGCACTCAGTGGTGAAAATGGCCGAGAAAGATGTATGCGATTTGTCGAGGTCTCAGGATTGAAATACCTATTCCCCCTGTTTATGGGCAAGGTTAGACTTATACCACAGATAGGATGAGAACCAAAAAGAGAATAATCTATTCTTTTGTATAGGGAAATAAAAAGCTAAAGAAGACGCACCATAGTGCTTTTAGCGAATCAGAAGATGAAGAGCATATTACTTGTATCATTTTATCATTACTGCGAAACTTGGCACATGGTGATGTGCAAAGAATGCGAGTCGTGTTGAAATTCACTGAAGACGATTACGAAAAAGTAGACCGTCTGATCGAAATGAAAGATCAGTATGAAAAAAGAGACAACCAAGTCAGAGAAGACCTCGAACATGCTAAAAAGACACTAAGTGAAGAAGATTATGAAGAATTTGAGGCCGATTTCTATATTAGACGTTTAGATGCTGGCTTATTTACCCTTCAGCGTGTTTGTTTGCTCATTGCAGCCTTGAGCGAGGAATCAGAAGGTGTTCGTGAAAAGGCTCAAATGCTGTTGAAACGTAACGGACAAGATATGCTCAGTGTATTTAAGATTATTGAAGAAGAAACGGCGCTTATGGCCGATTTTATTCATTTACGTAATATGGCTAAAGGTACCGATGCTGCGACAGACACAAAAGAGACAGAGTGAATTGGTAAAGGTGAATAAAAAAGATTTGCATATACATCCACTGTGTCTCTATGTATAGACGTTTTTTATACCTGTTTTATCGACTTGACACAAATAAAGTAATCCAGTATTGAAAATGAGCAAAGTAGCCCTTTCTTATTCATCAGATATTTCACATTGACATGGTCAAACTTAGTACTTTAGCCTAATTAAAGACTACGCTTTGTCATTCTTTATTTCAGGAAAAAACGAATTAATGCTCATAACTGTCATCAGTAAATACAAGTACACGATTTCAATGCTGAAGTCAGTACTTACTGTTTAATATTCAATTGTTATCCTACTTATAAGTCAAATAGTCCATTTTCTCTTTTTTCTTTTACTGAGAAGAAAAACATGTTATCATTAAAATGGAATAAAGAAAATGGGCATTATATTTTGTTCCATTGCCGTTCTAATGATTATCTTCCTTTGTAAGTTGACGATTATAAACTTTACGATGCCCTTTGTTCTTAAAATGTAAAAGCTCTAATAGCACAGTAACACTGACATCGCTTTACTTAGTAACAACACCTTCAGGTCAGTGCCATAAACACACCAAGCCGCCTATTGGATATCTTCCAATAGAAAGTCAGAAAAGAGGTACGTTTCCTAGCAACAAAAAAAATCATGCAGCCAGTTCTAACTCAGGACCCCTATTCTTGTCTTCAAGATCGCAGATGTAAACAGACAATAGTAAAAAAGGTCTTTTTTCATTCTATTTTTTTTTTAAAGCTTTTCCGGTTTGCCCGAATTCTGATAGTAACCTTTATGATGCTTGAAAAAGTAGGTAGCCTTTCTCTCAGAAGGGAGGGATTGGCTTATCGGTGACTCTTTTATTACTTCGGAAACGCTGCCCCTGGCGATTGTGGCTACGATGCAACAGGGTGAGTTATAAACTAATGTAAATAAAAAAAACTCTTAACAACCGCTAAGTTACAAAGTTTATAAACTGATTACCATAACAACTTTCGCCGTACATATTTTATCAAAGGGATTTATAGTTTCAATGGAGTATTCTATTTTTTATATTTGTCATAGTTTACTTTGAGCAATATTAGCAGTTCAGTATATTCAGTGAATAAGACTAAAGCGGATGCGCTTGATAGGAAAAAGTGAGAACATTGCTATAAGTGAAATCTTGCTCAGTTTGTTTATGCATTAATATACGATCTTTTTGCTCTTTATAAAATAATGTTTTATTGAAGATAATTGAAAAAAAGGGGGATCAATAGAAGCCGTTTAAGAACAGTAAGAGATTTTGTTAGAGCCAGACAAGTTGTTACAGACATTCTTGGCGCCGTTGCTCTTGATATTGATGTTGGAAAGAGTGAAGCCACTGCAGGGGGTATTCTTGGAACAGTCAATGCTAATAGCAGGCTTCTTACCGGCAACGGAACCGGTGATGGTATCAAAAGTGACCTTGCTGATAGACAAGGAGCTGTCGTTGTTCTTGGTACAGAAAGACATTTGATTCTTGTCACAGTAGTGGGTGGTGACAATAACGGGGTTTTCGACATTGTTGAGTTGAACATTCTTGTAGACTACATCTTGAACAACACCCTTTCCACCGGGCCATGTCTTGATTCTGACACCGTTTTGACAGTTGGTACAGACAGAGTCCAAGACACGGACGAGCTTGACAGATTCTTGCTTGCCACCCTTACCAAGAGATCCAACACTGAAACCGTGACCACCATTACACTTGATGTGTGATAAAGTGACGTTGGTAACGCCACCGTTGATAGCAGTACAATCATCGCCTATGTTGAGTTCAGAATTTCTAAAGACGATGTTGCTGGAAGAAGAGATGTCTAAGGCGTCAGTGTTCTTTGGAGGGTTCTTGCTGCTGGAAGCAGTGTTGAGGTAAATGTTTTCAAGGACAACGTTGTTAGAACCGGTGATGCCCATATGAGCACGAGGAGCGTTGACAATCTTGAAGTTGCCAAAGACAGAGTTGGTAGCACCGAAACGAATGACGGTAGGTGCGGTGTGGTCTTGACGGTCATACCTATACATCAGGTTTATATCGCGTTATATAGCATTAAAAATAAGACTTACCAGCCTTGGCCGTTACCAACAATGGTACCGCCGCCAGACATGTGAATGTTGCTACCCTTAATAGAAATGTAAGAGTTACCGCCCTTATATTTCTTATCCCAACTAGGTAAAACGATTTGACCTTGGAAGTCAATGGTGACATCCTTAAGACCAGAGAGTTCAATCATACCGTTCAAGTTATAGGATTTACCCTTGGGGAAGGAGACAATGCCACCGGTCTTACAGTCGTTGAAGGCCTTGACGATAGCAGCAGTGTCATCATTACCAGTCTTGGCTACAACGCATGTTTTGGCAGCAGCAACGTCATTGATGCCAAGAGATAGCAACAAGAAAGCAGCGACAGTAGAGGATAATGAAAGTAATTGGACCATGATGGTGGTATAATAAGTGTTAGGATTTGTGAGTGTGAGTAAGTGAGTAATGAAGCCTTGATCCAAAAGATCGACCGCCTTTTATATTCGTTTGAATCGTCTTGTCCTACACATGGGATAATTGCTGGCTGCCACCCAAAGACAAATTAATTACTTATCATGAAGCGGAAATTTTACAACTTCAAAATTCTCCTGGAGAACAAAGCTTATTGAGTTGCAATAACACGAAAACAACGTACACAACAATCTGTTTCAATTTTTCATTTACACTTGTCTTACGCAGCGTCACAAAAGCAGAGCCATTCCGCAGTAATATTTGCTGATATAGCGTTTCTTTTTCATTAAGTAAGGTCAAATACCATTGCTTTTCCATTGGAGCTAATGTTTCCATGGCAAATAGTAAATAGTTTCCCTGGTATCTTCAAAGTAACCTATTGCCTTTGTAACACAGAATTTAAAAATTAATAAATGGTAATGAAATGAAAATCTCCATGGTTTTTGCGTGCCTCCGCGGCACAAAGGTTTACTGATGTGCAAGCGGTATTAAAACACTTTGTAACTTTAGAATTTCTGCAATAGAAAAAAAAAAGGCATTGTAATCTCTAGCTCTTGAGATTACAAACAAGGAATGTTCATGTACATATTACTTGTAATAGCTCGATTATGCTAAAGAGGCTGTCTCTATGGCAATTGCTCTAAATGTAAGCATGAAAGGACGCTAGAGCGTTGGTGTAACAAGATAAAGTTGATGCTGTTTTCAAGTTAATTTGGTTCACGAGTATTCCAGAATGGTATATCTCAACCTTGTCTTCACCAGTGAAACATAAACAGCAAACCAAAAAACTTAACTTTGCAATTTTTGAGCTAAAGAGATTATGGAAGCATCAATTCCTTAATGCTACTGATTAATTCATTGCGTTTTTATTCACAAATCAAAAAGTAGAAACAAAATAGGTTCTGTAACGAATAGTCTTACAATGTTGAACAAGGTTTATGGAATAAGAACGAGGTAGTTCAGTACCTGGGATATTTTTGCATTCTGTTGCTTATTAATAAAGCTGTCCATTCACCATCAATGAGCAGGTTACGCGTGAAAAAGAATCTGAAACAGCAAAGAAATAAGAGTATTTCTTGTTCTTTTTTTCTCACGGAAGAAAGCGAGTCGCATAAACCACCTCGGATAACTGATAAAAGGCCGTGCTACGTAGCGGATCTTTCAGAAAATATCATCAGATAATGGCAGAAAAACAACAAGAAAAAGCAAACAGAATTAAAGAATAAAGCGAGCAAAAGCAACAATTGTTGAGTTAATATAGTTTGTATCATTATATGTACAAAAGCAATATATAGCGAAAGAGACAAGGACGTTACTGGAGGGCAAACATGCAATCCAAATTTCATATCCGTAAAACAGGATTGTGCGGTTTAAGCAGCCGAAACAATATGTAATCGTTTAATTAAAAAATAATGTTGTTCTTGTCTTTATCCAATTCAGACCTTTTAGCTCCTCAAAAGATGACGAATTTGTACATTAGTCGTTTAAGTCATTTTGCGTGCGTAGAATTTATTGTACTAAGCTTTGCATATCTTACAATTTTCACTTTTTAAGTAGCAGTTTTTGAAGAAAGATTTCTTAAAGAGCTTTCAATATAGATTGTCTCACTCTTGTAGTCTGTTTAGCGAAAAAAAAAAAAAAAAGAATTTCCCTTTCTCTTATGGCTTTTACTAGCTTCATCATTCTTTTTTGGATTAATGTTTGTCATTTTGATTGAATGACATACATTTAGTGGTTTACTTAAATCTGTCATATTTGCAAAACAAAAACAATGTTTGAATAAGGACCTTTAATAAAGATTATACGCTGACCACGCTTACACCTGCAGTGAATACAAGTCAAGATAGTGATATGAAATATGTTATATTCGTCTTTTTGGTATTTAGCTTCTGTTATCAAGTGTTTATCATGTTTGAAGTGATTTAATTTGGAGCAATGCATATACTTGGAAGACTTTAGATGAATCACCGCGACAATTTGCTATATGTAAAGTAAAAGTAAACAAGAATAGTGAATCATCGTATAAAAGAGCATAGTATGGCACGTAGCTTATATTAAGCATACATTTAATGACTAGATCAAGTCCTTTTCTATTATGAAACGTAAACCATAATGTCTCTAAAGCCTTGTACATCACAATCTACATTGATTCAAGCAACTAACTGATAAAATACGCTATTTTATTATCAACAATGGAATGGTTTGCCATACAAAGAGTCATCTGAATATATTCCTTGTGTATGACATTACTGAGCAAACCAAAGACATGCCTACAAGCTAGACACCACTGCAGTAACAACAAGTGTAAGCATATTATTGCATTTTACATCAAGCTCCGACACAAAAAGTTGTCTTTTTTTTTTTTTTGACACGAAAACACACGGCTATGAGCGGACTAAACTCTTGGAATGTTACTGTAGAAGCACTTCATTTGGCATCAGAGGTCTATAACTTCTGTCAAGATCAGCTGAGTAAAGCCAACATTTCACTACCTGAATTTGATCAGGTCGTTTCTGTGACAAGCTCAAGCCTGGGATATATTTTGACACATTCACCTGCGGCCTTTAGACAGCTATACCACCTGTTTACTCAGCTACCACTTATTGAATACAATTTTGTCACCATTTTATTATTACTCATCAGTACATACACTGTGTACTGCTTTGTGCTCGCCACGATTCGCTGGTTTTATAGACTGTTTTATGGGTTTGTACGGTTCAGCTTTTTTATCCTATTGGCGTATGCACTTGTACTTGCCTTCAACTATATTACAAATATGCCGACAGATTCAAGAGGACAAACGGCACGAGCAAGGAATTATTAACGTCCTTTTATTAATGTACAAAAAAGTATCGTGTGTGTGTGTGTGAGTGTGTGAATAAAGAAACATAAATGCAAAAAAAAAAAATGAAGAGATATTATTGTTGAATAGTGAATTAGTATCTACGTGTAAAACGGATTCTGCTATCTTCTGGCACAACAACCATCGACGTATAATCAGGTTTTGGAACATGACCTGATACAATTTCAAAGTCAAATCGTTTTACAAAGGTACCAATGACGGTCTTGAGTTGAAGGTAACCAAACTTTTCACCAATACAACGGTGGCGTCCAGCACCAAAAGGGAGGAAAGGGCTACGTGACGAAATTCCGACGGCACCAAAGCCATAGTCGATATTGGCATCATCACCCACCTCAAGTTGATGCACAGGATCAGACTTTTCGGACCAGCGGTAAGGGTCCCATTTCATAGGATTGTGGAAATAGGTCTCGTCGATCTGAGTGACGCCTGGTGCAGCCAAAAGGTAATCGCCCTTGGGAATTTCCAGGCCATACTTTTCAAAGACTATCTTGTCTGCAACGACACGGCGCATCATGTTGAAAATGGGTGGATGTAAGCGAAGTGTCTCCCTGACGACATTTTCCAGTAGCGTCAGTTGCTCAAGGTTATCATAGGTAAAATCGGTTTCGAGTGAGCCAAGTTTTTCAATCATTTCCTTTCGGAGCGCTTTTACGATATCAGGTCGACTGGCAAGTTCCAGAATAGCCCAGGCAGATGTTGTAGAGGATGTGTGTTGACCACCAAAAAGAGATGCAGTCAAAATGCCGCAGATCTGATGATCCGGGATAGAAGAACCGTCCTTGTAGTGAGCATCCATGATAGCTTGAAGGAGATCGTTCTCACGAATATTGTTTTTTCGTCTGTTGTGAATAATCGAGGAATAGATCTTGGCTAGCTTTTCACGAGCCTCGTCACGACGACGATAGGATGGAAGTGGTAGATTCGGAAACATGAAATTGATAGGACGGAATCCCTGATCGAGATCATAATAGAGCTGTGCAATACCACTGTCTAATGCGTTACGAATCTCTGGCCCAAGAAGTGTACGAGAGGCAGTGTAGATGATTAAGGTACCAAACATCTTGTAAGCATCAACTTGGCCAGTTTTTTCAAATGATTCAAAGAACTTGTTGCATTCTTCCAGAATTAAAGGCACATCTTTTCGAAATGACTCGATATTTAACCCGCCCTTGATGATCCTCTTTTGCTCCATGAAAATACTATGTGCCGTATCAAATACAACGTCATTGCCAAACACGTACTTGGTCATATGGTTATATGCAGCAGCAGCAGATGCCATGTTTTGTTTTGCATTAAATACGAATTGGTTACCATCAGGACTAAGGCATGCAGTGACGCGCTTGTTTAAGAGACGAAAGGTAAACACATCACCATACTTCTTTTGACAAGATTGAAGGAATTGAATAGGATCTCTAAATTAGAGTTTAATAATACATCTTTGTAAAATGAGCACGGTTAAATACTTTACTTGCCAAAATCAACAGCATTTCCGAGAAATGGAATCCACGAAGGAACAGCTGGAGGAGCCTTGGGATTTTTGGGAGCGATCTGTCCTTTATCAGCACATCATGCAATCATTGTCAATTTGTGTTACCTACATATTGAGACAGAATATCAATGACCCAGTAAGCAAGAAAGGCGAGTAGGACCTTAGAGAGAATGCTTGTGATTGACGTCTCGGAAAGTAAAGTTGAAATGACAGCCATGAATAATGCAACAAGTGTAAAGAGAGAAAAAGAAGGAAAAAAAAAAGGTACTTTTTAAATACCAAGAAAAAAATCGTTCGATCTGTCATCGAGCCCGACAGTAACACACTTATTTTGTGCCTTCATAAACGTTGGTGTAGGTCTATAATCAAAAAGTTTTATTTACAAAAAATAACAATTATGAATGAATGCTCATCAATTCTTCAACCACTTTACAAAGATCTTCTACTGTCACATCCAATTTACGTCCGCCATGTAGGCCATCAACTACACTTTGCATTTGATATGACGATAAATCCAAAAAGCTTTCAATCAGATCACCATCGATAAAGTTAATCGCTTCTTCTTTTCGACCCATAATATTCACATTTCTCCATCTACATCATGTACAAATGAGCTTTATAGTTCTTTTTTGTTACTGTTACTTACTCTGCATGACTCAGGCCGCCTATACTTTTCACTGCTTTAGTCATATTATATTGCATCTGGTTCAACAACTTGAACCGTTCTGCAGATAGGTCCGCTACAACTCCTATTGCTCCACTGGATGTACCAAAAATAAGGGACGGCGCGACTGGACTACTGTCAGGATCCACATTGTTCATTCCAAGTGAGCCTAATGAAAAGCCCGTGATTAGTAAAGGATTTTCCCGTTCTAACTTTTTTCTTTTACGACTTACCAAATCTAAACCGACTCACCATGTCGCCCAAATGCCACCCACTGATCATATCTAATAATGGTTCATCTGCCGAAGCCTCATCCTGACAGTGCTCTAGGACAAACAAATGTCCATCCTTCTCTGCACCAATCATCAAATTTTCATCAATCGATTCAATCGCCAATACCTCCTTCACCTTTTCGTGAGCAGCTACTTCTACCAACTGCTGTGTGGATCGGTCAAATTGAAACATCACAACCGAGTAGACCAAATCGCCAGTCATAATATAATCGCCATGGGTTGTGATGCACTCTGTAACAGAAGGCAATCGTTTTGAGCTGATCGATACCAACTGACCCCCGGACAATGTGCGTTCCCACCGATAGACGTGAAGTCTGCCTTTGACGCTTGCTAGCAGTTTACCTTCAAACGCACGTACACAGTCTACCATACCCTCGGTTTTCAGTTGACTTACAAGGCGTAATGATGAGCGATCGGATGTGTACTGAAGCACAAGGATTCGGCCCACACTCTGATGCTCAAACACGTCCACGTCTTTTCCAGTTGCTACCACATAATATTCATTTGGGTCATTTTCAAAAACGACAGTTGTAAGCGACAATGGTCTTTCAAACTGCTTAAAGTAGACACGATCAAGCACTATCCCTCTCGGTTAATTTCTCTCTACCATGTTTCTCATATACAACTATACCTGTCAACGATTGATCATCCAAAACCTCGAACCCTCCAGTCACGGTAGATGCGTCATATTCAGCGCTTGAGATTCTTTCGGTAATTATACCAAAGGATTTAGAACTTTCTTGATATGCAATACGCCTAGGCGTGTCAATCGTGGATATCTTGGTAACATGCAGTTTCTGAATTTCCTCCATCCGGCCGATCACCAGGCCTTCCTTTGTGATCAACGCGATCGCATCTGGAAACGAATGACAGCTGAAGGATGTGCCGCACCGTACTTCTTTTAGATTTACGTTTGAGTAGACCAGTTTCTGGTTCCGACTGTGAATCACGCTTGGCTTATCCGATGCAGCAAAGACATGAGTGATGCCATTGAGGGTAAACGTCGTCAAGTGGATCGGCCATTTACCAAGAAAGGTTCGCTTTTTGTCCGACAAGGTGCCCTCTCTACCGTCCAACTTGAAATTATAAAATTGACCGTCACCAAGGGCCACAAGTAGGTAATTCGTATTTTCAAATTGAGAGATCAGAATGGATCGTGGCATGACCGTGCCTCCAATGCTCTCTTGTGCCACCACTTCAAGATCAGGTAGTTTCAACAGGCATACACTCACGTTGTTCCAAGTGCCTATAGCCACAAACGCAGATTCAGTGGCAGACTGAATTGGGTGAATATCGATGCATGAGATTTCATAAGGAAACTGGGTTTCACTTTTTTTTAAAAAAAAAAGAAGAAGGACAAGAGGATATGAATAATTGTTCTCAGCGGTTGCATCGAAAATGGGCTTACCCGATAACTTGTAATGTGTTATTCACGACTTGTAGCGCAACTAAAATTCCATACCCCAAAGAAACAACGCATTGTGTCAGATTGATACTGGCTACCGTGATAGTACCATCAGGTATCCATTCATCTCGTAGTGATCCTGCAGGATGCGCATCCATTAATCGTACGCTGCGAGGTGTCACCTGAATCATCTTGCCTTCCTTGATATTACCGGCAGCAATCGTTTTTGAATCAAGATCGATGGCTGAGTACGAGTCTAGTTGAATGATCATGTTGTTGGATTGCAGCTGCAATAGTCGTCCTTGATTGAAAAATGAGAGAAGCAAGAGATTATGACTCTTTTCAAATGATGATTGAAGTGCCCATATGCCCTGCACACCACTGACAGGTATCATCGCGAGCTCATTCAGCCCAACACCGTTTCGAATCACTCTCAGAGAACTATCCTTACCCGCCCCTGAACACGTAATAATCTGGGCTTGTCCCTGTTTGTCAAGATCAGCCACGCAAAAATCAACGATCGGTCCTAGATTAGCAAATTCTTCAATCACTTGTAGAATATCTCCACCCTCTGAAGATGCTGTTCGCTGAATATGTATCAGCTGTGAATCGCCCACGGTAGATCCTACAAAGACGACATCATTATCCAAATATTGAAGACAGGATGGGATTGATATCTTTCCAAGACTGATAAACGAAAGAGATTCAACGCGGTTTGCCACTGAATTGAGTGTGAGCAAGTAGAGCAGCCCTTCTGCATCACCCAACAAGACACGAGTTCCTGTCTCGTCCATCACTGTATAGCTTCATTACAAAATAAGACACACGCGTCATTTTCCCCCTTAATATTATACTTACCTATTGATAGTGGATGGTCTGATGCCAATTGCAATGGGTGGTTGATCTAGCTTAAGGTACCGTATGAACTGATTTGCTACCAGAATGGCTCCGCCCACACCAGCAGGTAGAGCAATGAGCAGATTAGCGTCTGATTCAAAGTGGTCAAGGACGATATCTCCTGGAACAAGTTGATGGTCCTTGATCTCGAATAATTGAAGAAACCGCTGTTCTCGTGCATCATCATAAAGTATAAGCAGTGCTGGTTCTACTGAGTCCTGTAAGAAGGCCAACGACACGATCTGTTTATCAAAAAGGCTTTGAAGTATATGTATATGAGTAAATCGCAAGTATATATACTATCATAATATATACCTAATGTTGATGTAATCTTGTGTATGAGGCTGTATAATCTCAACCTGTCGTCTTTTGCCTTCTTTGAGTCTTAGTGATATTTTTCTTTGTTGTTGTTGTTGCTGTTTCTGCGGTAGTTGTACAGCTATTTCTGGTATAATCAAAGTCACTGTAGACTCATAAAGGGTGGTTGCAATGTACTGACAAGCAGGATCCAGGGCAGTAATGACATTGCTTGTTTCGTTGTGTAGTTGACCAGGGAATCGAATATCGCCTGTACCTTCGGTTACTATTTGCTGTTGTGAAGCGTTGTAAGATAATATACAGTATTTATGTCGTGCAGTGGTGAGTAGAAGCCATGACTGTGCTTGATTCTACATGATGTTAATCATTGTTTTCCTTATTCTCTTTTATATAACATACTTTTGGTTTAAATAGTTCTAATGCAATAATGGTTCCATAAATGCTAAATTCTATTGTAGGCTTTAATCCGTTTGGATTTAATGTATAGATTTCAATACGATTTCCTTTTCTATTCTCTATAAATCAGCACCTCTTTTATCTCTAACACAACACACACACAAAAAGAGAGTGGGACGTGTAATGATGATTTACCCTAAAATGAGATTGGTTTCGAATGAAGAAGTAAATGATCCTTTCACTGCAAATTGTGTGGCTGTTGGTTTTTGTGCTGTAACAACATATTTATGATAGGTCATATTCAGTTCTCCCCCTTTCTCCCCTTTGATAATAAAAAGGAAGAAAAAAAAATTGGAGATCCACATCCATAGACAAGAGAGACGTGTATTTTTTAAGTTCCGTCAGAACGAAGCATTTCGTCGTGTTTAATATAGTATGAACGACGATAGAGGAAGAAAATGGGTTTATTTTGTTTATATGGTAAGCAGTGAAAGAGTCCTTTTGATTCTCATAAAGTTAACACGACGATGAATTTTGAAAAAGTAGATACTCAATTTGTTCCAATGATAGTAGAATGTATATAAAGCCTAGAGAACAGCTTAGCACAAAAGAAAGAAACAGAGAGAGAGAGAAAGCCGAGACCCAATTTCAAGTATGACCAAAAGAGTCATGCATCAAGGTGTATGGCATTCACGCTTATATATAAATAAAGCCCTTCTATTTATCTCTTTCTCTCTTTTTTTTTCTATATATATATATATGAACAACAATAACAACAATACGACCCTGACAAGTAATATCATCTACGGCTATGAGCGATTATTAATGATGACTACAGATGTATGCCCCTATAAATCAACGAGAGCAGTAATGATGTCTTTCTTAATTGCTTGGAAGAATCAGTGCTGTTGAATACATACTTATTATCATACCATGACTGAATCTTATCGGCCACTGTTACACCAGGAACCCGCTCATCATGCCGAACCCATCATAAATAAAAAGAAACCAATCAAGAAGCAACAAAAGAAACGAAAGAGAAAGACAACACAACGGTAAGCCGTCGATACCAACGCAGCGTTAAATCCGAAAAAGAACGACGGAATTAAGTAAGCCCCTGATACTGAGTGCATCCCTCTCTGTCATTATGGGTGGAAATAGAGAGGTGTGAATTGAGATTGATAGGGATCACAATGTTTCGCGTTTGAAAATACAAGAAAAAAAGATCAAGAATTTTATGCTCAATATTATTAATGAGCAAGCAGTAAATTTCTCGACTGTTTATAAAATAATTTAGTCACAATACTTGAATAAGTCTGGTTCTATTATCAATATTATTGTCGGTAGGAAATTTGCGAGCGTATCCCACAATCTCATATCCATGTCGAATAAGGTTTCTCAAAGAATCCTGATATCTTGGCAGGTAGCTACAAACTGGCATAAGATCGTATACGATTAAATGCATTAGATATGATTTTTTAATTCTGCTATTTCGGTTTACCATGAAAAATGTGTTCCATGACATAGAATTCTCTTGTTGCTTTATTGCACTAGAAAATATACCAGAAGGTAGACTAATGCTACGGGTGCTGCCTCTACCCATTGCCTATGATGTTGTCACCGAAACTTTTCCACACTCTTTGATGTAGAATACGCATTTATAAAGCCACCACCTTGGTTTGTGTTTCTTTTCAAGAAGAAGAGATAAAAAGAAATATTGTTATTTATTTATTCTAATTTTATGTTGTCAGTTTGATCAACAAAGACCACCTAATTCACTTGTAATTTTGATAAATTCGCATTTGTACTATTTAGCCTATTTTCTGCTGCATGTAGTATTGGCCATATTAATTTACTTTATTAGTTGTCAAGACCAGAGGTGGTTAAAAGACTTTGGACATATATTAAAACGAACCAACTGCAGGACCCAGCTGATAAAAGATATATTCAATGCGATAATAAATTAATCTTTCAAAAGGACAGAGTCAATAGCTTTGGTATGAACAGTGATTTGACAGCTCATTAAACAAAAAAGGATGAACCAGTTCAGAATCCGTTGAATGATTATTCTTTTATGAGAGGTTTTTCATCAAATGAATAAAGCAAATGTTTATCAAAATAAGCATATGTCATGAGTTGAAATACTTGGCGTGGGATGAGGTATCTCTAATACTAGCTCTTCGTTCGTCTCTGGAGCTAGTTTTAAGAATTCACTTTGACCCAGTTGTTGCTTTGACCATAATAAATCAGCCACATGAGGTGAGTTATCTACAAATGAATAGAGCATAGTTTCTGCATAATCATGAGTAGAGGGTGATACAATATCCTCATCTTCATCATCTTCATCATGACCTTGTCGATTACATGTCAAGTCGAGATAGACAATGTTGTTATCAGGTAAGACAGCAGTAGGGATGACACTGGCATCGCCAAAAGTGTTAACCGTGGCAGTGGCAGCAGTGGTGTTTGTAGTAGCAGTGGTAACAGAGGGCATCTTTATTTTTTTTTAGAAAGAAAGAGATAAGAAAAAAGAAAAAAGAAAAAATTACTTGTTTCATACCTCATCTCTATGCCTTTTTAAATGTCTGACTAACTGCTCACTTCTAGTAAAGGTCATAGTACAATTTCCATAACCGGTACATTGATAGACTTTTTGGGTACGTCGGCTTTTGGCGCCTCTCTTTTTTTGTGACATGCAAGAAATAAATAAATAGGAGAGAGATAGGTCTATGCTTCTAAAAAAGAAAGAAAAAAGAGAGAAAGAGAAAGAAGAATGAGAGATGATGGTGCTATTATATAGAAAAAAGTCTTTCCACTTTTTTAGTTGTGGGATCTTTCCGTCTGAAACCATGTGAACAGTCGTCTTTCTTGCCAAAGCAAATCGCAGTTTTAATAAGTGATGTCGTTCAAAGTCTTCTAGAAATGAAGTCTGGGTACCTTGATACAGAAGAACTCATTAGGTGTGATACTGATAGGGCTTCTGGCAATAATGAGCATGTTGCCATCCATTGATGTCAAACCTTCAAGTTTTCCCAAGCTCCTCTGCATCAGGTTCTACAAACTTCCCGCTTCACACTCTTGATAAAGCTCAGGATACTTGTATCAGGAGGATCTACAGTGCCCGAGGCAAGATTCCCCATCATACCGGAGCGAGTCAGTATATTTTATTTCTTTACATTCACTAAAAGGTGCACTGTTTGCTTCCCTGTTGTTCTACGTCTACACCGAAGGAGAGGTCAGTGGTACTCTTAACTTTAATGATTGATGATATCATCTTCCAAATGTCCTAATATTTGTTTATTCAAGTCCATCAAACGGTGCGTCCTGCAACCAAATCTGCAAAGTTCGTCAACAATGCCGAAACTCTAGCTAATGCTGATCGATTTTCCTGGACCCTATAATGTGAGTATCCATGTCCAAATCAGAGCGTGCTCGCTGTGATACACTGGGAGTCTAGGCTGGCTCCTTGGTGGCAAACCTAGACTATGTCCCAGGTACCTCACGGAATAACTCATTAAGAGCCACAGCTATTGGCTGCCTTAGTATGCGTCGGCATTTATTTATACCTTATAGCATTGTTATTCCTTACAAATAGACCTCCTCTGTATTCTTCGACTCCCTCCGGATTACCACTCTCCTGGTCACAATGACGGCCAATCATCTGCTCCATATTACATCAATTAGATCAGTTGCACCATGATAAACTGACCCCGACTAAACATCCACAAGGTTAAAAGCTCTTTGAATGGATCTGTCAGTTTCTTTAGGTTCTTATGAAGGCTTGTTGCATTTCTTTCCTTTTTTTTTTCACTCTTGATGCCCAAACATGGTCTTTTCTTTCTTAGTTGGATCATGTAAACAAAATAAGATGTTTAAACAAACTAGCACCAAATTTCAATCAGTCGGCTTCGTATATGATTGCATCAGATGAATGTTGCTGTTTTTCTGTGACATTATATTGGGCATGTTTTTGCCAGGAACCGACAATAACACCCAAAGAATAGGACCAGTTTTTCTTATTGTTATTGTGGCTTTGATTGCATCCCGTGATAGTTTTCGCATTCTAGCTACTTAATGAAGCTTTTTACATTAGTTGAACGACAATTGTGATTGTTATTTTAATATGACAATGTTCTGGATAACACACTATTTGTTATGATATTGTGAATCTTTTGCAACCATTAAAAGTTTTATTTCAGAGGAGCTTATGTTATGGTTGATTCATAGCAGCTGATTCAGTATGTGAGCACGTCTTTCATACATACTTTCTCACTAAAATTCTTGTTAAACCCAAGGTTTTATGCCCAAAAGTATATCTTGCAATCCTTTGTCAAAAATGATTTTTTATTTGTGCTGATGTTAAAATTTAAGATCGCGGCTTCTGACTGATTAACCCCACATTCTTGAGCAATCAGTTTCAATACCAACATGATAGAATGCACATATAAATATAAGCAATAATATCATTTCTCTTAAATAAGTTCTTTTACTTTCAAACCATGACACGCTTATCCCAAAGTGTTATCATTCTTGCTACTTTATGTGCATCCGCTTTAGCTGCAGGTGAGTGAATATTGTATAATTGATAACATCATCGTAACACAAACTCTAGTCGAACCTGGTTGTGATAAGAGTCTTAAGGTTCTCAACCAAGTAGACTTGGACGGCATCAAGCACTGCAAAGATTTCCAAGGTACCATTACCATCGAAAACATGGGCCCTGCTGCTTCCCTCAACATGGAAGGTGTTGAACATCTGACGGGTGATTTGCTCATGTCTGGCAACCTTGAGCTCGGCGCTTTTAGTGCTCCCAATTTAAAGACGGTCGATGGTCAGATCAAGATTGAAAACCACACCATCCTTTCAAAGGCAGACTTCCCTCAGTTGACTGAAGTCAAAGGTCTTACCTTCTCTGTCCTGCCTGCTCTTGAAACGATCAATTTCCCTGCTGGATTGACTAAAGTCAGCAACATGCGTATTGAGGATACACGAGCACCTAAAGTAGATGGATTCAAGCCAGAGAATATTGGCAACTTTGTCTTGACAAATAATAATTATATGAAATCATTTGATTTTTCCTCAGTCAAGCAAGCTGATGAACTCTTAATTGTTGGAAATAACCATGACATGACCTTTGATGTAAAAAAAAAAAAAGAAAAGACAAAAAAGCATATGATCTATTCACTTACCCTTTTAGCTATATAGGCTCCCAACTTGGCCGCTATCAGAACGGCTACCATCCTAAACTTGGCTCAAATTCAGTTACCTGCCTTGACCACTATCCATTCTGACATTTCATTCCATGAGAATGAATTCTCTTCTCTCCACATGGACTCACTTCAAACTATCGGTGGCACCTTTACCATTGCTAACAACAACAAGTTGACTGAAACTTCTTTCAAAAACCTCTCTCTCATCAATGGTGCTCTTTCTATTGGTAATAATACTCAACTCCTTGCTGTCGACGGATTCCCTAGTTTGGCAGCCATTCATGGTACCTGTGACTTGGCCGGTAACTTTGAACAATACAAATTGCCTTCCCTTCAGGACATTCGTGGTGGTATGCGTATCCAGACTACTTCATCTAAGCTTACATGTGCTGATCTTGAACGTGTGCTCAAGGGAGGTAATATCGTCAAGGGCACGACCTGGAGTTGTGCTGCTAGCATGCAAGAGGATCAAATGGTCCCCACGGTGGGTCAGAACCCTGCTAATAGTAATGGTAACACTGCCAAAATCAACTTGGGCAAAGATGATCCCAAGACCACGAAAGGCAACAAGAACGGTAATCAAGTCAACCAAAAGGAAAACGCAAGCGCAACGAGTGCTGCTTCTGCCGCTGGTCATACTTCTCTTGGATTTGTCGCTGTTGCTGCTTTAGCTTACTTTGTCCTTTAGAAACAAACCTTTCTCTTTCTCTCTCTCTCAAGTAATAAATACGATTTACAAATACTAATAATGTACACACGCGTTCTTATGTCATTGTGAACACATGAGTGGGTAATTGTTTGGTCATTAAACTCAAAGTCAATGAATTGGCATCACTTGAAAGTTTATTCTCTTTCATTCCCCTGATGACGATTTGTAAGTGGGGGAAAGAAAACAGTACGTTCTCTGAGTATCTTGTTCATGTCTTTCTCTTTTTAGCAGATAGCTTTATTTTTTTTGATCAAATCTAATGGATGACACCAAAGCATCAAATGCTATAAGATTTGAGCTCATCTTTGCATTTCTAAAAGCGACTTGCTGTCAGAAAAGACATACCTTGTACTGATTTTGTGTTCATGCAGTTCTGCATGTGATGTCGTGTAACAAGTAAAATTTTCTTAATTGTTCTTGTTGATCGCTAAAAAACCTATCAACAATGGAACAAGTCTTATGAAAGCAGGCCCCTTTTTCTTTCATTCTCTCTCTCTTTTCTAATCTTACCGAAAGATTCAAACGAAGTTAAAGCAAAGTACATTGGACTTTAAGCAGTAGACATCTCATAGGGGTTGTCTTTTTCCTGTACGAATTGGCTCAGCACAATTCAAATTTTCTTCAAGACCCCAGAAGAGAGAAATAGTTGTGGAGAGTCTTGATCACTAACCACGTCGTGAATTTGGTCAAGACGATACTTTTTCAGATGGATCATTCGCATATGATTATTCTCCAAACTTTTACAAACCATGAGGACGAGTAATTACAATCATTGTTTGTTGCTGCGCACATTTATACATGCCTCGTTACTCTCTTATCCAAGCGACCAAAAAGCTTTTTCAAAAACTAAAAATTACAAACCTTCATTTCTAGCAAATTGATAAAGAAGTTTTCATATAATCTGATTTTATGATAAGCATTTTCTTGATACTCGACGTAATCACTGCATATGACTCAAAGCTTTTTTGATTTGTGTTTTAAAAAACGACGTAATTTCGGCTAAAACATGCTTTTCCACCCCGCTTGGGGATTTGCTCTTTGGTAGCGGAACAAAATCCATGAGTCATAGATTCTTCCGCATTTGCCCTTATCGATCATCGTTTTCATACTAAATTGCTTCTTTTTTTTCCCTTCTTTATAAATTTTAGAAAACGAGTGTATTTTATAAAGTTTATTCAAAATGTCTTGTTTTTTTCTTTAATTGACTTGACGTCGTACTTTAGACTCGAAAAGGGAAGAAGGGAATATAGGAAGTCAGCCGGGTGCAAACTCCGATTATTTCCTACAGCTAAAAAAACGCAAGAATATATATATAAAAGCAGACCAAGGATCAGAAAAAAAAAATTCTTTAAAACATTTCAATTATATCATGATCAGAACTATTACTCAAACCTCTTTACTCAAGACTCTACCTTTGGCTCGTACTGTTGTCTTCCCTTCTCTCACCGCATGTCGTACGTTGACAACACATCAGAAGCTAAACATCAACCCAGATATGCCGATTACCATGGTCCGAGAAGTCCTTGATTCAAAGCCGGTGCCCATGTGTGAAGAATTTATTGCAGGAAATCGATTGACAACCGAAACACTCGAGAACATTGATTTTGGAGAAGGCAAGCATCGTAAACCAAAGACATTGGGCGACAAGGGCGCTTATTATACTGTCAAGTTTCTGCGATTGTTACCAGATACCTATTTTGGCAAGGATCACTATATGCGTGCTGTCATGCTCGAGACCATCGCCGCTGTTCCTGGTATGGTCGGAGCTATGCTTCGACATATGAAGTCTTTGAGACGAATGACAGAAGATCATGGCTGGATCAGTCATTTGTTACATGAAGCTGAGAATGAACGTATGCATTTGATGACCTGGATGAAGTGTCTCAAACCAAGCATGTGGAATCGTCTGCTGGTCCTAGGTGCTCAGGGTATCTTCTTCAATGCATATTTTGCTCTCTATCTCGTCTCGCCCAAGACGGCCCATCGTATGTGTGGATATTTAGAAGAAGAGGCTGTTATTTCGTATACACATTTCCTTCAAGATATTGATAATGGCATTATCAAGAATGGTCCTGCTCCCAAGATTGCAATTGGTAAGTCCTTTTTTTTTTTTGGAAGAAGACACGATGCTTAACTTTATCTTTAGATTATTACAATCTGCATCCGGAAGCTACTATTCGAGACGTTGTACTTGCTGTTCGTGCAGATGAAGCTGTTCATCGTGACGCTAATCATTTCCTTTCTGATCGTATCGCAGAACGAAAGGAAGATTTTCTTGAGGACATAAAAACAGAAGAATACCTACACAGACCTCATAACAATACAACGCCTTCAACCGCATAAATAGAAATATAATTCTTTAGAAATCTTATTTATCTTAATAAATACTGTAAATACTTTACTTATACCAAATCATTGCTGTGTGTGTACAAATGGAGAAGTCGAGTGACTTTGTGTATAGACCATTTTAATTCGTCTAAATTTCCAACCAAGAGTAGCCAGAAAAAAAAAAAAAAAATTCACAACCCTTTACGACTCTATAAAAAAAAATGGATCAAAGTGTAGGCCGATTGCACGAATTTGATCAAGAAGTATTACCTCATCCTGAGAATGCGGCCTCCTATGCTACAAGAGGGTTCTTAGAAACACTCACAGACACAGTTAATGCAAGATTAAGTAAAGAGGATGACGGAAGCGACACGTACAAAGAAGAATTGAGAATACTCAAAAGCGCCATTAGAGCATTTACAATTATTTTACCTTTTCTATTTAAGACAGTGTAAGTTGTTGATACTTTATGTCTCTTTTTAGTTTCCAACTCTTTCAATAGTTGTCAGAATGAAGCAGAATCCAAATTATGGGAACTGACTTTTACGTTTATTCAAACCGTTCGTTTTAAACTACTTCATCATGTCAACACAGGTGTAAAGATTCACGCTATCAAATGTTTACAAGTCATTGTTCTCTTGTTATCCAAATCATCTCAAGTAAGTCTTTTTTTTTTAAAGTGATTCCTTTTATTTTACATGTATCTTGTAGAAAGACCTTTCTCTTGGCTTAATCAGACCTAATCACCGCATATTGAATACCCAAGCACTTGAAAAGGAAGGACAAGCCATACTCGAAGATATGCTGACACAACTCAACTCGACTACAGAATCTGTTCTCACTGCGACCATCAATTGTCTTGTCGTGACCGTGAAAAGACGACATCAATTCCTAAAGGTTGTTATGCCGAGACTGACAGCTTGGAGAAAGACGAGGGACCAGAATGATTCGGCTGTTCTACTACGAAATGTTGAAAAAGTAATCAAGCTTGCCTTTATTGCCTTGATCAGGTAAAAAAAAAAAGAAATATACATGTACATGATCTCATCCAAAAGAAAAAAGAACCGAGTCGCTTGCGGCTTACCGTAACGACCTGATGCAAGGATTTGCATCTATTGGCGGTAACTTGGCCATGTTTCAAAATAACCGACGTGATGAGTCGAGACGACAAAAGAGACAAGTACATCATGAAGAGGAACGGCGCATAGAAAAGAAGGCCAAATTAGAACCGTACACACCAATGATACCGCCTGCCAATGCGCCCAATATACTTGCTAATTACGATATCACGCAGATACCTGTGTCGGCCATTGTCAATCTCTGCATGACCGTGTTGCAGACGGTGCCACTAGAAGTCATGACGGAACGTGTTGCAATGGTATTGCACATATATATAAAGATTAGATATGGGATATTAAACATCATATATAGTTGCCTAGAGAAGGTGTTACCTTGGCCGTGACACGTCCAGGCTTTGTGCGATCGACGACACCACCATATCCTCCACCTCCAGAACAGCCAGAGACGATTCATCATCCACGTATTAAGCGAGAAGAAGTTAAGGAGGAAATCGATTCGGATGAAGAAATGGTCGATGTCCCTCCACTACCTCAGCCAGTCAAAATAGAGCCGATCAAGGAAGAAAAGAAACCAAAGGTTGAGGTTTTGGCAAGTGCAGAAGAACGAGCCAGTCAGGCATTGAAGATGCAGCCTTATGAGCTAGTCACGTCCAAGGTCGATACATTCAACGATACCGAAAAGCGCGAGTTGCTCAAGATGACCTTTGAACGTATGCTCAAGGCTGAGCATGCTTTCAAATCTAATCTGACACATAAAGACGCGAATAGTAAGCAAGTCTGGTGCACGTTGATATCCAAGCTTGTGACAAGAGGAATTAACTATAATAATAATAAAAGTCTGACGAAAGAGATTAAAGACATGTTATTAAATTTCATTGTAGAAAGCCCATCTTCCAGGCATGTGTTATCAAAAAAATAGACGTGGTATATACATATATATTAATAATGGTTTGCAGAAACGAATTGGCTATTGCCTGGTTTAAGGAAGAGTATTCAATAGAGGAGCAAGACTATTTTACCTGGCTTCATCAATTACTAGAAAAGACAATCCCAACCTTAGATGCCAAAGATCGAACGTTGACCAAGTTCCTGTTGGACGCACCTGCACTGGATGCTAGATGTGTTGAATTAATCAAGGAGAACCTGCACCAGGTGCCCGAACGATTTGTTACGTCTATATCAACCTTGCGTAGCCTCGTAATGAATAAACCCGCTGTGCGTTATGACGCCCTCCAAGTTCTGCTGGATCTTTGCGTTCATTCGAACGATAAGATGAGACGAACGAGTATTGTGGCGGTTAAGAAATGGAACATGATGGATGAACAAGAGGATATTGATGCCAGAGTGGAGGCGTATTCAATTGAAGCGCTTCAGATATTAAAGACCCTTTCCAAAGAAAAAATTGAAGCCATGGAAGTAGACGAAGCAAATAACGCGACTGAAAAAGATGACGAAGCAACTAATGCACCTGAAAAAGAAGAAGAAGCAGCTAATACGATTGAAAAAGAAGTCGTTCGACACGCTGAGCTGTACTTTGTGTTGTGTACAAAGAAGCCTAGTTTACTAAAGGAGTGAGTTTATCAACCATGACATCATTATCAAGTGCCTCTCTTTATTAATTAACTTTTTTTTTTAGATTATTCTCAGTTTATATTGAATCATCCGAAGATGTTCAGTCATGCATCCGTCTTCATATCGTCAACATGGTGAAATCAATAGGTATGAAGTCACCTGACCTTATATCTATTCTCAGAGAATGTCCTGAGGGTTCAGGGACATTGGTGACCAGAATACTAGCGATCCTCTGCGAATCAAGTAAGTTATATAATTGTGTATAAAAGATGTCAAGCTTATAAGTTATAGAACCACCTACACGTGATATTATCTCAACCTTGGAACAATTGTCTACTGATCAATCAATTGATATGGAACAATTAGAGCCCATTTTGAGTGGACATAGTTTAAATCATTCATTAAAGAAATAATTTGCTTATTCTGGTAAAGAGCCCAAAACAAACAAACGTTACATTAGGTGGCTCGCTTTATATTTAAATTAAACAATGATTTGACAAATAAGGGGTGAGGGAGGACAAAGAAAGTGGAGGACTTTTTATAAATATACAGGCGAGCATCCTTTTTTTTTCTTTGTTTTTTTTTATATTTTTCTTTTTTCTTTTATTCTCTATATACCTTTTGCTCTTAAAGATGACACGAAGCGTAAGTTTTCTTGTATTTTTCATATGCAACAGTAACCATAGTAACCTTTTTTTTTTTAAAAAAAAAAGATTACACGGAAAAAGTTGGTTGTTGTAGGTGATGGTGGATGTGGCAAGACAAGTTTACTTGTCGTATACCAAAAGAAAGAATTCCCCAAAGTAAGAAAAAAAAAAAGCTACATAAAGATAAAGTAACTAATGTCTATAGGAATATGTTCCAACTGTCTTTGAAAATTATATAGCCAATGTCGCCTTGGATTCAGGCAAAATGGTAGAGTTAGCCTTATGGGATACAGCAGGACAAGAGGATTTTGACCGTTTAAGGCCATTATCCTACCCCGAGACAGACGTTATTCTTATATGCTTTGCCATCAACTTGCGCAATTCTTTTAAAAATGTTCAGGACAGAGTATGAATTTTGCAAATGATTGTTTCAGGACAAAGAAGAAAGAGAGAGAGAGAGAAAAGGACTGATGATATTATACAAATAATAGTGGTTACCTGAAGTCACTCATTTTTGTGAAAGTGTACCAAAGCTGCTGGTTGGAACCAAAGTTGATTTTAGAGAAAACAAACAAGAAATTCAAAGACTAAGTTCGTTCGGACAGACATTGATCACAACAGAAGAGGTTTGGAGAATATTTAAAACGTATATGTTATTTACACTTTTAATAATATCACAGGGAAGACAGATGGCAAAGGAAATTGGCGCAGATTATTACGAATGCAGTGCCATGAAGAATATCAATGTCGATTTAGTGATCGAAGCTGCTACAAAGGCAGCTGTTACTGGAAGCATCAAAAAGCTCCATAGAAAGTTTTGTAAGATCTTATAATAAACGTCGTCACATTTTTTTCCCTACCTTTTTTTCTTTGTTTCTAATGTCAAAAAAACAAGCCAAGAAATTAGGTGGAGCCTCTGCAAGTATACGTGCGGAAACAGCCAAGAGACCAGTCTATAAGAGTATTATCAGCACACCATTTTCGATACAATGGCCCAAGGTATCAGCCGAGTTAGGACAGACAATAGTTAATCACTTAATAAAGTACAGATAGTAAACAATTGCAAAGTATTAGCAACTAACACATATACAAAGGATACTAGGGCCTATTGGCACTTATCGAAAGGAACGCAAGACGCAAAAGAAACTAAAAAAGCCTTTGGATAGTATAGCGATGCCCGACATCTACTCCCGTATTCATATTGGCATCAATCAAGTGACTCGATATCTACAAAAGTACATTGACAGCAACGACAAGAGTAGTCAACAAGCCATTTTATATGTCTGTAAGAGAGATATTAAACCAGCTCAATTGTGTCAACATTTACTTTATATGGCTGCTGTCGCCAATATTAAGCTTATTCCAATGCCACCTGATTCTGAATCCAAATTGAGTAATGCGCTAGGGATGACCAAGGCAGCATGCATCCTTGTTGAGGCAAGTGTTTTTTCTAGCATTTGTTTTGCTTTATATTAAAACTGATGTTTCTCAACCTTGTATTAGGCGATAGAAAACAAGGAAGAGTCGTTATTGTTTGATGCAAAACAAGTTCCCTATATAAACGCGCCCTGGTTACGAACCTCAGAGGGGGAGTTACCCAAGTATAGAACGAATTATGTAAAGACAATAGAAACAACAGCACCGATACCAAATAATGCAAAACGTAAAGCAAAGGAAGAGAATAAAGAAGAAGGTCCACAACAGAAAAAGGCTAAAAATTAATTGGTTATTTTTTTTCTCTCTTGTTTTCTCTTGTAAATAAAATGAATACTTTCTGTTACAGTAAAGATAATAATACAGCAAATGAAAAGTCGCTTGATTTATACAATTGTCCTGATGCTAATGATAAGACACCTCTTGTTGTCTTTATACATGGCGGTGCCTGGAGAACAGAAGACAAGAGCGACTATAGAGCATTAGCTACTGATTGTCTCTCGTTAGGAATCACAGTTGCTTCTGTTAATTATAGGTTGAATATGAAATATGAAATAGGAATGCATATATATTAAACTGTTTATTTATAGACTGAGTTTATTAGAAAAGAATGAAAAAGTAAGCAAGATCAGACACCCAAGTCATATTGAAGATGTAGCAGAAGCAATTCAATTCTTGGCTACAACACCACCTACTTACACTTATGATCCAAACCAACTTTATCTCGTTGGTCATTCAGCAGGTGCACATATTGCAATGATGCTTCTATTGGACGACGCGTTCCAATGTCGCCAGTATATCAAGGGTGTCCTTGGTGTCTCTGGTATTTACGATATCCCTCGCCTGCTCAGTCGATTCCCTTCTTATACTGACTTTATTCAACAAGCATTTGGAGACACAGATTATGGCCTGGCTTCACCTGTCAGTAAGCAAGCACGATCGGATGCACTTGTCTTGATCGCCCATAGTCAAGAAGACTCCTTGATTGACAATCAACAATCAGAAGTCATGACTGAGCATGTAAAATCACTTGGTATGAAGGTGATACTTGATATGAGTCTAAAAGGAGACCATTATGATATTATGAAGTTTGATAAGCTAAAATCTTTATTGCAAACCCTTTGTTCAAAATGATCATAAAAAATAATTGAAAAGCCGAACACAGTAGCGTGTATTTCTTTTTTTCTCATTCTCTCTCTTTTTGTAACTCTTTTTTCTATTGATTTAATTATAAAATGGCAAGTAACGACGAATTTTATGTTCGCTATTAGTAAAGGAAAAAAAAAAGAATAGACAATAAACAAGGTGCTTAACTGTCCTTTTATTTTAGCTCAGGACATAAAGGAAAATATGGTCATGAATTTTTAGAATTTGAATTTAGATCGGATGGACTTTGTAGATACGCGAACAACTCTAATTATAGAAATGACAGCTTAATCAGAAAAGAAGGTAAACTATAGAGAGAGAGAGAGAAAGAAAGAAAGAAATATTTACAATGATCAGCTTTTGTCAGTTCTGCAGTTCTTGATGAGTTAAGAAAGATGATTAAAGATAGTGACATTTTAAAGTAAGGGTCATATAATAAAATAAATGAAAGAAAAAGAGGGAGAGGGCTCATATCTTCTATGTAGAGAAGATGACAGTCAATGGCCAGAAAAGAATGTTGTTGGTAGTCAAGAACTTGAAGTCAGACTTGGAAATGAACATATTTCTTTTGAAGTAAATAGTATTAAAAAGAAAAACAGAGGCACAGTGTACTGATGTATGATAGACTGCCAAAATTTCATCTCTTGTCGAAGTCAATGATAGTAAAGATCCTGAAGGCTTACGTGCATTTTATTATCTTGTTCAAGATTTAAAGGCCTTTGTGTTTTCTTTAATTTCATTACATTTCAAGGTAAATTATAGAATCTATTACTTACATAACAACTAACACAAACACAAATGTGTGGTTTATTATTTTATTATTTACTACTTATTAGATTAAACCTATTCACTAAACAAAACAAATGAAATAAACTATCTTTATACAAAATCTGTTGTTGTTGTTGTTGTGGTAGTAGGGTGTGATACTAATGACTCTTGGTGCGTATTTTCTAATTCATCTTCTTCTTCTTCATCCTCTTCTTCTTCGTCTTCTTGAAGCATATCTACTTCTTCATCTTCATATTCTATCATTTCTTCTGGTTTAATGTCTTGCTTTGACTTATTTGCTTCCACAGCAGCTGCTCCTTCTGCACCTCCGCCTGCTGCCGTATAACTCTTCATGGCTGACTCATATTCCTCTTGTTCTTTTTTATACAAGTCATAATATTTCTAAAGTGAAACCAGATGAATAAACATCCAAAAAAGAAAAAAAAAGTTTTACCTGTTTCTCTTCTTTTGTCAACGCCTTCCACTTTTGTCCAAGCAATCGAGTGACTTCACCCAAACTTTCATTAGGTACTTCGTCTTTGATATTATCCCGTTCCATTCGACAATACAAGAAAAAGACATTACCAGGACCCTTTGGTGCATTAGGATCTCTTTTCTTTCTAGGTGTTGCGGATGATGTATGGCCTCTTCTACCTTTGCCAATAACAGCATCCGACTGTTTTTTATAAGAATTACTGCGATATATAAAGTGTTTAGACTTACAAGTACAGATTCAGAAATAGAGAGTTCAGAGTCACTTTCATTATTGTTATTAATAAAGGGTGTCTTTTTCAATCGTCGAGCTTGTCGAAGTTCTTCTATTTCCTCTAATAAAATACTACATAATATAAATAATCAAATTCTTATCTTTTATCATGAAGCTTACACTCTTTCTATTCGAAGCCGTTTTATATGATGACGAGCTTTAGTGAGCTGAAGAGTCATTTGTTCATTTTCCTAGGGTATCATTGTTATTAGTATAATATATTTATATATTTATTATATAATGGCTTACATCTTCTATCTCTCTTATTCTTCGTTTATACTCTTGATATCGTTTATCATCTATATATTATTATGATTATCATCTTGATCAAATAGTTTCCTTTATTTCTTTCAATTACATTTACTTGGTTTATCTTCTACTAAACTCATGTTTTTTATTATTAAAGAAAAAGAGAAGAAGAAAAAAGGAAAAAGATATTTTTTTTATATTCAGATTTTATCCGCCTCTCTTTTAGTTTTTTCTCTGCTGGTTCATTGGAGTTGATATAAACCATTAATAAACATGTATCTTGAAAATGTAACATATAACCACCGAAACCAGACCAATTGAGTTTGATGTTGACGCATAGCTTTATGTGTAACTAAATAAGAAATAGGTGGCGATATCAACCTAAGCTCTTCTTTCTTTGGTGTCCACAAGTCCATGATACCAATGTATTTTCGATAAATTGGAATACTTGTTAACGTATATAACCGAATAGATGAGTTGGAGTCTGTAAATTTCCTATTGTGGTTTCATTAGTCTTATTGACTGGTTTTATACTTATATATACTTTGTTCCCAAATAGGCTGCTCGATGGTTTGTATGTCCTGATACTCCATAGCCATCAAATGTGATAATCTATAAACATGTATTATTATTTTTTTGTTTTGTTTTTTATTCTATATTTATACACTTACCGTGTCAATCTTTTCCTTGGTAACATAATGTTGTATATGATTGCTAATGGTTACTGGATCCCATGTCACTTCCATACTATCCTGTAGAGTTCTAAGAATAGACAATGAGTAGACTTTAAGACATGATAAAAATGATGTTACGGATCATTGATGCATTTCACATCACCAGGATGTACTCCAAGGGTTTGACAACTTCTCACAAGCTCTTTTTTACGCAATTGACCTAATCCTTGAGCATTGCCTTTTTAAAAAGAATTAGTTTGATTGTTTATTTCTCCCCAAAACAAATACCATTTGATAGACACAACACATGAACTCGACATTTGACCAAGGATACAAGTGTAGTGATGGTGGGTCCAAAGAACATGCACTCATCATCAGGATGAGCTGTCACCACAAGTACACGGTTTTGTTGTTTGAATGGTAAACTCTTACTTTTCTGAAACTGGGCAAGACTAAAATAGGCATACAACAAAACAGAAGCAAGGAATGACAAGACGACAAGAAACATTAGGGAAAAAAAATTGTTTTATTATTTCATAGCTTCTTCAGCTTCCTTTAAAAGTGAATCCATATTCGGTGAACACACAAATTTCTGTACAATGTGACCCAGTTCGATCGCCTTTTTTGTTTCTTCACTCTCGTGGTCAACGACCATCACGTTTTCCAGGAAAGAAGAGTGCATACCTTGGGTGATATCCAAAAGAATATTTCCAAACTGCATCTTCATCTTGCCGCTCTTGTACACAATCAGCTTACCGACCTGTCCCTCTGGCATATCTTCCAATGCAAGGCTAGCCATGGCGTCTTCTAACGTTGACTTGCGAGTACCAGATGGTAAGTTCTGTTCAGTTTTTTCAACCTTAACCGCCTCTTCATCCTTTATTTCTTCCACCTCTTGCTTTTTGGCTTCAAACTTGGGCACAACAGTAGGCAATTGGAAATAGAGTAGTTCTTCCTCGGCTACACAGACGAGTCGATCTTTTTCATCCAATGCAAATATATTTTGAGCGGGAGCATCAGAGTTCATGTACACTTTTTCCTTATGTTCTGTTTTTACTTCTTCTTTTTGTTCGTCTATTGCCATTCCATCTTCTTGTTCTTCTTTAACCTTGACGTTGTCATCATTTTCTTCTTTTTTTGAGCGAACTGTCATCCAAGGTATTTTACCCACTTTTTGTGATAATGTAATCGGATCCACATCACCCTCCAACCGAGACACATGGGGAAAAGTCACAGGTGTATATTCTGTTGCGCCCTCCGTGAACATCTCGACCATATCTGTGCCTGTACTATCTGCTTCTGCTCGATTACCCACATCGCCACCGTAGGTAGCAAACCCGCCACCACCATAACCAGGACGACTGGTTCCACTACGAGCAACGGCAGATGGACCCAGCGAGAAGATACCAGATGCAGTAGCTTCCTCAATAATCAATCCACGACCTCGACCACGGCCTCTGCCTCTACCACCTCCACGTCCAAAACCGCCACCTCGACCTCGTCCGAATCGATCGTCTTTTTGTTTTGAATTGAGCGCTTCATCAATAGCTGACGAAGTTACTTCCTTTTTGTTTCGTTTTAATGGCACCGTAGGTTTAAATTTCATCTTGACTGCACCACCACGTGTCTTTTGACCTTCGTTTACACTTTGTAATCGTCCTGAAGTAACTGATTCCGGTCGCATCGTTCCAATCGTTGTTGATTTCTGTTGTTCTGTCGATTCACTCTTGACTTCAGGTTCTGATGCTCTCGGCTTGGAGGGTCCTCCGCCTCGTTTGACAGGTGCAAAGCGTCGAGTTTGTTTCTTGACACCAGGAGAAAGATTGTCAGTAGAATCAGACATGTGTATGTGTTTAGAAAAAAAAAAAGTAACTTTGAAAAGTCAAAGGACACGCACACAGTCACTGACAGTGCGCAGTCACTCTAATCCATAAAAAGAAAGGTTTTTTATAAAAAAAACTCTAGTCTTTAAAAAGGAGGGGGTATCTTTTTTTCCGCTTCTCTTTTTTCTCTCTCTTTCTTTTTCCTTGGCTGCGTAAAAATAAAATACGTAGTTTTTTCTGATTAGCCAATGAGACTGTGTATTTTTTTTCCTGAAAGAATGTATTAAGCCATGTCACAAAAAGGAAGCGGAGGGGTCTTATGCGCAACCTCCCCCCCCCCTGTTGGCGCTACTTGTTTTGTTTTGAAAAGGCTAAAGGAGTGCGTCGTGCAGTTAAATTAAGGGTGACGCTGCGTATCAAAACGTTTTGGTGCAACTTTATACCTTTTTCAAATTTTTCTATTGTTTTCTTTTCAGAAAAAATCTCGAACCAATCACTTTTGATTCCCAGATTCTAAGCCACAAGTTGCCAAAAAAGTATAAATACGGCCGATTTTGGTTTAACAAAAACAATTTTTTCACATTTTTTTCCGCTTTTCATAACTTTTTTTTTTTTTTTTATTACTATTAAAAATGTCTGGTTTTAACATTGCTACACCTTCCATGGCCACACCTGCTATGCAGACACCCTCTATACAGACACCTTCGATTCCAACTCCTCTTCATAATTCAACGCCATTTGCACTTCCATCAACACCTGCACCTAATGATGCTCCTACGCCCAGCAGAGATGCTAATCCTTACGCTGTAGCTGGAATCACTCCTACTCTACAGTAAGTAATGCTTTCTGTGTTGTGTGTGCATAATATAAATATAGTTTTTTATTACATCAGAAACATTGTTGCCACTGTCAATTTGGATTGTCGTTTAGATCTAAAGACAATTGCTCTTCATGCTCGTAATGCAGAGTACAATCCAAAGGTACACTTATCTTTTTGTTTATTAGACATGATCTAAAAAGCATGTATCAAATGATTTCTTAGCGTTTTGCAGCTGTCATCATGCGTATTCGTGAACCAAAGACAACAGCTTTGATCTTTGCTTCTGGCAAGATGGTTGTGACAGGTGCAAAATCAGAAGACGACTCAAAGCTCGCTGCTCGTAAATATGCTCGTATCATCCAAAAATTGGGCTTTCAGGCAAAATTCACAGACTTCAAAATTCAAAATATTGTTGGTTCTTGTGATGTCAAATTCCCTATTCGTCTTGAAGGTTTAGCTTACTCTCACGGTCATTTCAGTTCTGTAAGTATATCGTAGGCGGTTTTAGTGCAAGATACTCATTCGTTATGTAGTATGAACCTGAACTGTTTCCTGGCCTTATTTATCGAATGGTGAAGCCCAAGATCGTCTTGCTGATCTTTGTATCTGGTAAAATAGTCTTGACGGGTGCAAAAGTTAGAGAAGAAATCTATCAAGCTTTTCAAGCTATATATCCTGTACTTACTGAATTCCGTAAGCCTTAATTTGTAAGAAAAAAACAAGAAAAAAAAAATATGAAGAAGAGAAAAAAAAAAGAAAAGGGCCACAAGAAATGTGTGTGTGTGTGTGTTTGCCATTCTTTATTATTATTTTATTGATTGTATGCATAACAAAAAAACAAAAAAAAAATATTCCCTTTCACGCATTCTCTCCCCTTTTTTCTTATCCCTATTGGCGATGATGCTCCCCTCCCTCTTTCTTATCCCCTCCTCTTTTTTTTCCTTTCTTACGTGTACAAAGTTATCTGAAAGTTTTTATAAAAAAATTGTATAATAAAATGAATTTTCAACATTAATTAGAGAACTGGAATGTTTGTAACACAACATGATACATTTTCCTCATTAATGAATTAGAAATTTATATGTACATTTTTTATCTTTTTTCTTTTTAACAAATAATTTATTCCAAAGCCTTCTTGGCGAACTGAGGTAAGATGAAGGCAGCCTTGTGCATATCAGCGCTATAATAGCGAAGGAGCTTATCTTCTTGTTCAGGAGTGAACTTTCGAAGAGGTTCCTTGAGGTTGGCATTAGGGTTCTTTGTGCAAATGACATGACCGATTTGACCACTGGGGTAAGTAGGAATACAGGTGTAAGCATATTCAACTTGAGGATACAAGTTCTTACAAAAGTCCTTGACCTTCTTGATCAAAGGAAGATGAAGCCACATACATTCGCCTTGAGTAGAAAAGACACCGTTTTCAGTCAAGGCATTCTTTAAGAGTTGGAAGAAATCAGGACCAAAGAGAGATTCAGCAGGACCATCAGGGTCAGAGGAATCAGTAATGATCACATCATATTGGTTCACCTTGTCCTTCAAGAACTCGAAACCATCTCCGATGTGTACCTTGACCTTGGGGTGATCGAATCCGATGGCCATGTTGGGCAAGAACTTCTTGCTGACACGAGGAACAGCTTCATCAATGTCAACCAAGATGGCTTCTTCAACGCATTCGTGCTTGACGACTTCACGGAGAACACCACCATCACCACCACCGATGACAAGGACCTACCAAAAGACATTTAGCTTTTTTTTTGTGTGTGTATGAATGTGTTGATCAACTGTACCTTCTTGGGACAAGGGTGAGAGTTCATGGCAAGATGAGTGATCATTTCTTGGTAACTATATATTAAAGTTAAAATCTTGTATATATAACACACACACAAAAACACACATACGAGAACTCATCACGTTCAGTAGCTTGGATGACATTGTCAAGAACCAAGACGTTTCCATAGTTGGAGGATTGGAAAACGAGAACGTCTTGGTACTGAGACTTTTCATGATGAAGGATCTCTTCAACCTTGAGAGACATGGCTATAAAAAGAGTTTATAAGATTATCCATACAACATATTCGATATTTACCTTGACCAGGCCACATGGTGGACTTTTCCATGAACCAACCGTCCACAATGCAAGGGTGTGAGATAGGGGCAGACATGTTTAAATGTAGAAAGAACAGTAAAAAAAATCTTTTTTTGTTGATAGATATATATAAAAAAAAAAAAAAAGTTTGTTGTGTGTGACTATTTTTACTGCAGCAGCTTCTTTTAAAAAAAAAAAAAGTTCTTTATTCCCTCTTTGTCTTTCCAAAGAAAGAAAAAAGCTGATCATGTAGAGAGAGAGAGACTTTATTTAAAAGCATCATTTTTATAATAAAAACGATCATTGTTTCTATATAAAACAATCATACCATTTCTTTATTATTGTTACAGTCTTTTTAAAGCATGTATTTATATACATGTATCTCATTTAATATCAAAAAAGAGAGAGGGAGTTGTCCTTTTACTTGTATGTACCTCTCTCATTCATACAGTCAAAAAACTTAATAATCATACAAAAAAGGGTCGACAATCCCAGACAACCAATGGAAGGCGCCGTGACTTTTGGACTGTCTTTATTTGAACAAAAGCTGAAGGGACCCTCTCTTTTTTTTCTTTTTTTTTAACAAGACGAAACCATGTTGAGCAAGTTTGTTGGTTCCAAAAGCCTGTCACCTGTCTTTGCTCGAGCAATACATACAACCAGCATTCTTCAAAATACAGCAGGTACTATTAATCATTACGATGATTGCGCCATGATTGACAATCTATAGTATCCAGGATACCTTCTTCAGCACCAAAAGGAACAGTATTAAAGGGTTTACAATACTTGAAAGATCGTCCAGAGATAGTTGCACTTGACGATACCGAATATCCTGAATGGTTATGGGATTTGTTGGATGAAAAGAAACAGAAACAGCTCAGCAGTAGACCATCAAATCGTCAATACCACAGAAAACAAAACAGAGAGGCTATCAAGGCATCCAATTTCATGAAGGATAAGAAGAATTAGAATAATAATAAACAGACAAGCATTACAGCTTTATTATTAAATGGAAACTCTTTTTACTTGGTTTTCACCAGCGGCGTTCATTAGGGAACGCTGATTGACCATCTATATATATATATTGGAAAATGAGAGGCGTGTTTGTGTATTCTGTATATATATAAACTTACATTGCATTGATCCTTGGGGTGTAAAAATGCTATGGGCTACACCAGTAGGTTGTGGTTGAATGCCTGTCATTTGTGGTTGCATGTAGCCTGTTGGTTGTTGGGATTGTATAGGACTTTGATTAAATACGGTAGGACTTGGTGTAGAGAATTGAGCACCTGTCATTTGAGCTTGTAAAGGAGCGAGTGTAGGTGATCCAAATGGATTTTCAGGAGCTATAATAAAGATAAGACATGGTACTTATACATAAAACAATAAAGTACTTACTAGCATGATTCCAGTGTCTTCCCGTAGGCTGAACACCAATCGTGTTGGATCTCTGTAGGTTGGCTTGCTGTCCTGCAGCGGTTGGCATCAAAGGTTGATGGAGAACAGAGTTCAATGGGACACTGACCGGTTGTGTCTGTTGATATCCTCCCACAGATGGGGCCGAAGGAGGAAAGCCTGTCATCTGAGGTTGGAGCTGTTGAGCCTGCCAAGCTGGTGTTGTCGTCGTTGTAGAGTATCCAGTCTGCATCTGTTGTTGGTTATTGAAGCCCGAGAAACCCGTCTGCATTTGCTGTTGAGGAGCACTCTGGAAAGAGTTTGGTTGGTTCCATTGGCTTAAAGAAGGTCCAGTCGAAAGTCTGTGATTAGGCACAGGTCTGGGTCTGCCAGCTGTCATCTGCTGTGGTTGTTGTACAGGCACCAAAGAAGGTTGGAGCTGAGCAGGTTGTTGGGCAAGCTGGGCCTGAAGCTGTTGTTGTTGCAGCTGCAATTGCTGCATCTGTTGCTGTTGCTGTTGCGTACCTGTATGCATGGCTAATTGTTTTTGAAGTTCAAGCTGTTGCTTGGTCAATCGTTGAAGCTCTTCCAATTGCTTCTGCTGTTCTTCTGCTTGACGCTGTAAGCTCATCAATTTGATCTTTTGGATTTGTTCTTGCTCAGCGATACGTCTGCGCTCCTCTTCTTGAGCTCTAAGCTCCTCTGGAGTAGGACCAGTTGGTACAGGTACAGGTACAGGCGCAGGAGCAGGCGGAGGAGGGGAAATGGACTGAACTTGGGGAGGAGTTGCTTTTACAGGTGTGAGTGGTACCATAGGAGAAGAAGATTCAGGACGAGGTGTCCAAGCGTCGTCGCTAAAGCCTAATAGATCGTTCTTTGGCTTCTCGGGCTCCTTGCCTTTATCTGATGTGGTCAATTGATTGCCAATTAATCCCAGTAAATCTGGATGAACATCTTTAGGCGCTGAAACAGAGGGTCTAGGTCTACCTGCAGTCTGATTCTTGTTGTTCTTGTTGGCCTCATCAAACTCTCTTTGCAATTTTCTAGCAAGTTCAGCGTCTTTTTCGATTTGTGATTGTTGATCCACTTTTTGAGCCATGGCCTCCTCAGGTTCTTCAGGCTGACCGGTTTCAATATATCGTTCGACTCTTCGTACATGCTCTTCCTTCATGCCAAGCGTCTTCATTTGCTTATGAGTCAGTTTAGGAATATCGCTATCATCTAATTTATCTGCCTTGAACGCAGAAGCGTACTGAAGAGAAGCTTGCATAGGAATGCCGACCGTCATGAACCAATCGAACCAATCCCAGTTTTCATTGGTCTTCTTTGCTGTTTGGACTGGTCTTGGTGGCATCGCAGGCGTTGGCTCTTCTGTAGGTTCAGATTTGCTATGGTGTCGAGAGACCCATTCGAGATCGGTTACAGACATTTTTTCGACAGGGACATCAATCTTTACACCGTTTAGTTTATGAAGCCGTAATTTGCCATTATGAATATCAATGAACTGTGCTTCCACCTTGAATGAGCCGGTGCGATCCGTCCAGGTACGGATTTTGGAAAGATCTGGCTTTGGGAGGTCTTGTTGGCGTGTACTTGATTTTGATGAAGTTGAAGCAGCACGAGATAGTGTGGCCTTACGTTCGACCTCTTTACGCCTATATTCCTCTTCGATCTGCTTCTGTCGAGCGGCCTCGGCGCGTTTAGCAGCCTCTTGCGCTTGTCTTCGTCGTTCTCGTTCTGCCTCTTCCCTGCGTCTTTCTTCTTCTTCTTCTTCTCTACGACGTCTCTCCTCTTCCTCACGACGTCTTCGTGCCTCTTCTTCTCTCTGTCGTCGCTCTTCTTCTTCTCTGCGTCTATTTTTTCTTTCTTCTTCTTCAGCAATACGTCTTTGCCGTAACTCGCGTTCCTCTTGCTCGCGCTGTCTTCTGATTTCGTCTACATTGTCAACTCTAGTTGTTGATGGAACGGCAGGTTCTGCCGATTGATTGTCGTCTTGGTCTAACTGAACATAACTCGATGGGACCAGGCCCACATCACCATTTACTTTTTGCACACGCCACCAGCCATCGTCGGTTAAATAGTCCAAAACGTAAAGCTGCTCATTTTCTTCTATACTCAGTTCGTCACCGTCTTGTGCATGAAATTCGTAAACGGCAAGACCCCATTTGGGTGTGCACTTGGGCTCTTCTAGCTCCTCATGATTGTCTTGTTCTGAAACTGCCATTGGAGGAGGGATAGCCACTGCAGGAGAAGCAACTTGACTGCGTTCTTGATGAACTAAAGATGGAGAAACTTGAGTTGCGGACATCTGAGCTGTTCGAATAGAGTCACTGATTTTGACCAAGATGGCCTTAGCCTCTGATTTTGAAGAAGCCTGGAAATCGAGTATGGCATGTCTGTCTCCTTCGATTTCAATGTGAAGGTTTTTATTATCGAATAGGTATTTCTTAACGTCCAAAATCGGGTATTGCTGTACTGGTGATGTCTTATCGGTTTCGCTTCCATAGCAAAGCATGCCGTTGCCAATAAATAAGTTCCCTTTACTCTTCTTCTTTTTCTTTTTGGCTGGGTCGTATTCGTGTACTGTCCAGGACTGTGCATCATCATTGATGACATCTCTAGTGCCAGTCTACGAAGAAAGAGAGTCAGTTTATGGTAATAATAAAAAAAAACTTACCGAATGGGCCAGAATGGGCTGAACTATTGGCGGGGGAATACTTCCAGGCGTTATTGCATTATTTAAAGGGGGCAATGGTGGTGGCACAGGAATTGTTTTCTCTTGAGAATGATGTTGTTCTTCTTCCCCTTCCTCTTGTTGAATGAATTGAACATAGTTACTGGGAGCTAAGCCTACTTGGCCGTTGGTATGTTTGACTAAATACCAATCAGGATCATCTTGTTCTAATAAATCCATCTCGTCTCCTTCCTGAAAGGAAAGCTCCTCTTCTTGCTGTGCTTCATAATCATATTCAGCACGAATTCTTCCAATAGGAGTAACCTATCATGTTTTAGTTTTATACATGTCATATTTAACTTATACTTGCCTCTTCCAAGTACTGTGCTGGAACTAGACCAACGGGTCCTGCTTCTTCACCAGAGGTCTGCTTTAATTCAGCCTTCCACCAGTCATCGTCCTCTTTTTCGATAACATAAAGAATATCATTTTCTCTTATACTAATCTCGTCTTCTGTTCGAGCATCATAGTCGTACAGTGCTTTTGATACCTGTACGTACTTCATTATAGGAAATGTGTAATCTATATGGAAAAAAAAAGAACAAAGAATATAAAAAAAAGAAAAGAAAAGAAAAGAAAAAAAAAAATAGAGAGCAAGTTTATTGTGAGAGACAGTAAAAATTTCCCTCTTTTCCAAAAGGGAAACAAACAACATGCTGTAACAAAGCACAATGCGGTTAATTAAATTTCCCTATTTGAATAATTACGTCAAGGGTTTTCTTTACGTTTAAACATTTTATTTATTAAAACCTCCATTGGGTACACGGTTATAATAATACATCTTTTCCGTTCGAGGCAGTTCAGAAAGGAAGGGACATGGTGACTAAAAAGCCTTTTTGGGATCAAGTGTAAAAATGATTTGGAAGGAGTGAATGTAAGATACACTAGCGAGAAGGAGAAGAGGGTACAGCCTGCTTGACAGGACCTTTAAGGTAATTGAGAACATGAAGGATACGACAGATAAACAGGATCACACGCGGCGCACATTCTGTTCGCTTGGTCCCAACTGTCATAGTCGGGATCACGAAGGTTCTATTATCTAGCTCCAAGAACTTTAGTATTCGTCCAACGTAAATAGTACCTCTGGTCAGAATTGTCAAAGCGACCAGACAAGAACGGCTCAATGAATTGTGAGCAGAGCTCAGCCTCGTTGACATCCTCTTGTTTAGCAGCCCTGAGTAGTTTCTAAATTAAACCACCAATAGCCTTGACAATCTTTTGTTCTGCATTCATTAACTCTATTCTCATTAATTCCCTTGTAACTTGGAATCTTGTGGGCTTCTCAATGTTAGATTGATCAACGATGCCTAATAAGGGTGTAACTGTATCCATTGGCATTGGTACAGTTCTGATGCTTTGGCATATCTTCAATATAGTAACTTAAAATGATTTAGAAAAAGTATTTATTTTCAATATAAAGAGACAACAGTAAAAGTCATTTCAAAAAATATATTTATTTATTAAAGGTTATTCCCAAAAGCCAATGTTTTGCAAAGAAAACCTAAAAGAGAAGAAAAAAAGATCAGCGACGATCCCAAAAGGCTTCTAAAGGTTCTGATTGCTGCTGTGATGACATTCTTCAGGTCGGTCATTGACCATCAGAACAAGGATCAGGCACCCATAAAAACCATCAGACCATCAAATACCAAACAGCCTGCAAAGACCCACAGTAATAGACGTGCCGTTGGAGTATGCATTAGCTAAGCCTTGTTAATTGTCAACTAGATTATGTACCCCTTTGCGCCAGCCAGGCAGCAGGAGGCATCATCAACAATCTGCTACAGCTGTGATCTCAGATAACTAGCTCCCAGCTAACTACTAGCCCCCTGCAAAGATTCCAGTCGAACTTCCATAACTCTCCTTTTGGCTACCTGAAAGCCTCCAGTTGAGTGATGAAACGAACGACCGTTGTCAGTGCAGGACACGTGCTGAGCATCGTAGAAAGAGATTGCATAGAAATCCTTGAACACGCAATCATCGCCTTGCTGAGTAAGTTTTATAAAAAAAAAAAAAACTTACACTGACCAAAGAGAGCCAGTAAGACCAGAAGGAACAAAAAAGAGTAAAAGAAAAAAGTATAAAGAGAAAAGAAAGAGAAAAAAAAGATAAAGGCAAATTTCTCTCTTTTTATACTTTTTTCTTGGCTATGTGAAGTTATTGTTTTCTAGTTGGATAGCATTTTACTCCTTACAAGAAAATAGGGTTTACGCTCACACTTTTGTTTATTTCCTATGTATTCCATGTCTTTTAAAAGTTTGGCCAATCTTTTTTATACTTTTTATATCCATTCAGACTATCATTTGAATATATACTTTAATGAGGTTATTCACCTCTATTTTTATATAGTAAAGGATAAAAGGGCAGTAAATTCCATGCATTCTTTGTTTATGTCACGCATCCTTGGGCTTATTTCCTAGTCTTGTTCACACACGCTGTTTGTATTATTCTGCTAAATCCTTTCTTTTTCCTTTGACTTTTTGCTAGTAAAGACTAGATAAATACTATCTTTAGTAACTGTTATATGAATTAATAATATTGTATAAAGAAATAAAGTAAGCTATGCAAAATCTAAAGAACGGCGTCACCAAAAATGGTAACAGCAAATGATAGACACGTTCCGAAACCCTGTTAACACATGTAAAAATAACTTTATTTTGAACAAATCTAGACACAGGCACAAGATGATGGATTGCCAACATATCACTTTGCTTCTCCATTAAATCTTTAAACAAACATGAAAGCCCAGTCAACATCTGTGGCACTTGATTAGATTGTAACTTTAGAAGTGTGGAGAGTGCTACGATATTTATCTTCAAGTCATGGGTCCTACAGAGAACAGTTTGTTTGAGTAAATGGACGCATATCCTTTTAACAGAAAAAGGCCTTGTAAAATCTGTAAAGTTTGAAAACCACAACGAGAAAAAGCACTGAGACCAAGTGCTAATTGAGGATTATAATAGATACAGTTTACAATGATTTCCAAGCAGTGTATTTTAAAGCTAGTGAATTGTATGTCATTGAGAAGATATCGAAAAGCAAGGTTCAAAAAGGAATAGATATACTTTAAAGAATATGGGCAAAATGGTCAGTGTATGCATATATCCATACACTTACTTGGTCCATTTCCTCTCTGCAATTTAGTAACATTGGCTCTATCAATCTACACGTAGGCACTTTCTCACCTTCATTTAGGTCTTTGTTGTTCATACACGTATTGACATATCAAACATCGCGTACTTTATATACATACTCTACTGCATTTCCTCTCCATAACTGCTCATCCTTTGAAGAAAAGCAAATGAAAGGAAAGATGAAATGAGCAACCAATACGCCGGTATGATTTTTCAGTATCTGCCGTCTTGCCTTGTACTTTACGCGCTCATCCTAAAAATCAGCAGATAAAGCCAAACATTTATTTGACATGTAGCAAGCCTTCTTCATCCAGCTATCCAATTAATGTAAGTAGGCTGTCAAGATGATAGAGGCAAAGTTTGTCATGGATGATTGTGAGACTTCTTAAGTGATCAGTGTGTACATTGGTAAAAGGGGATGGTAGTAATAATAGACGCTATAAGAAGAAAAAATGAGCTTGGAGAGGGATATACTCTGTCAATTAAAATCTTAGATATGAACACATTGTCTTCTTTAGTAAATAATAAACCCTTAAAACTTAGAATCCAAGCATTGAAGCGTTGTCTGATCGTGCATGTGAATCCAGAAAGGAGTTGCATAAAGTGGAGTCTAAATACACGTAATACCAGGCTTTTTTTTTTTTTAATACAGAAAGCAACTGTAGAATTGGACAACATAATACATGCACAAGAAGCCCTATCAACTTATTATGTGGTCGCAATTATGCTTCATAGAGATGGAGTATAAAAGCACGCAGAAGAAAAGCTAGTAATCATGTATTCCTTTTTTCCACATTTAAACATACCGGTTAAGGTTGTTTTCAATGGTGCTTTGGGCAGTAACATATTCGCTGTTGCCCGTCCAGATATAGTTAAGCAATGGAGGGATGGTTATGCTCTTTTTTTAGAACTTGTACTCGCTGGTAAGTACTATTCATATGTGAAAAACGTGTTGTTTATATTTTAGAAACAAGGAAAGAGGACATGCTATACATATATCGCAAGATAATGGGGCGGATGAAAGACTTGCCTCTTCTTCTGATGTAGAAGTGCCTGTAACGTTCAAGACAGTGAGTTCTTACGGAATTATCGACAAAATTCTTAAGGCGAAATAAAGGAAATGAATGCTGAGTAAAGACATTTGTGTATATGATAAATAGCCAATGAATAAACTCATCCTTTCTGAAATAAGGGCAAATGTAAAACATCTTGCAGAACGGCATAAAGTAGTCCACTTGACGCGCAAATATAAAATGTTAGAGTGGTGCTTAACATATGTCATTTTCATTGTATTTTAAAAAAAGATTGATAATCAACAAAAGTGTAATTGTTATTGATTTTATTCTTTCTTGAGCTTTTCACCCAAAATTTCTCTAAAGCCTGAAATGATTTCATTTTCTCGTCGAAGTTTCTGTTCCTGTGCATGTTGTAATACTAGTCGTTTTTCTTCAGCTGAAATAACTTGGTTTTCTTTACGAAGACGAACCGCATTCATACGTTGGTGTCGATTACCACTCATCACATAACCTGCTTTTTCAAATTCAGCAATCTGATCTCCACTCAAGCCAATTTCACCACGACGAGGAATACGTTTGCCCTGTTGCACATAAGCTGCCATGGCTGAACCTTCACCGGGAAGTAATGCGCTACCATATCTAATACAAACATGAGTTATTGATATAAAGCTTGTTTTTATCAACTTACTGTCTCTCGTTATGTATTCCATTTTCAATTAAAGGAACAGGACCAATAGGTGCCAGATCTTGAGGAAGATCCACTAAAGAAAGGTTTTAGTACATTATTATCTAACAACAACTATATATGCCTTTCTTACCTTGTTTTTCTACCCAAAGATCCTCTGAGGTTTCCAATTGAGATTTATCCAAAATCTTTTCCGGCTCTTCTTCCTTTTCACTTTCTGATAAAGACTCACTTTCTGTGTCTGAGTATCTCTTCTTCTTTTGCTTTTTGCTACTTCTCTTCTTACTCTTTTTATGTTTATGATGCTTCTTACGCTTTCGTCTACGCTCTTCTTCTTCATCACTACTTGTATCATCAGAATATGATATACTTCTTTTACGTCTTCTTTCCTCTGGACTAACCGAACGAGGACGTTCTGGAGACGGTGCCCAAATAGTCACTGTTGATTCATTACGTACACGCGTTCGACTAGGATATATAATATGATTAGCTGTGATTTCAAATGACAACACATTCTATTTACTAGTCGCTAAAGCTCTCTCCTGGTAATATGGGAATATTATTGATAGGTTTAAGCTCTTGTTGATGTCTACTATATCTCTTTCTCCTCGAATCTTCATCTCTTGAAACACTTCTTCTCCTTCTTGAATCTTCATCTCTTGAAACACTTCTTCTTCTTTTTGGACTATAATCTCTTGACGTTCTTCTTGGGCTATAATCTCTTGAATCTGATCTCTGTCGTCTGTCTCTTGAATCACGTTTTTCATATTCTCTTGAATCACTGCGATATCGTGAATAATGACGCTTGCTGTGTCTTTCAGGTGAAGGTGATCTCATATGTCTTGATCGTTCTGACATGTTTAAAAATAGAAAGAAAGAGAAAAAAAAAGGCTGCTTTTAAAATAGTTGCGTTGTCTTGTTGCTGTGCAGGAGGAAGGGGGAGAAACAGTTCTTTCCTTTTCTTCTCTTTTTGTTGTATTACTTTTTTTTTTCAAGCTCATTATTGGATAGAGTATATCATTAATTCTCTCTCTCTTTTATCTGTCCAATATAAACCAAAAGAGTCTGGCCTCTCTCTCCTTTTGTGTTATCCTTACCA